ATAAAATATTCAAAGACTTTCAAAGATTTTTTCTGCCTATTTTCAAAGACTTTTCAAAGACCTTTGAGAGCAATCAGCTGTCGAAAAATTGCGAGTGTATAAGCACCATTCTTGCCCAGTAATTAGTCCCGCCACATCACATCTAAAATTGTACCTTTCCGTCGATATTTGCGAAAACCTTACTTGCTCTTCAATCAATCTATTTTCTTAGCTAGGAAATTGTATAATCAAATACTTACTAAAGAATTTTCAAGATTTTTAAAGACTTTCTTCGCTTTTTCACACAATTCAAAGACTTTTCAAAGACCTTAAAGACCTGCATTCAAATTTAAAGACTTTCAAGGATTTCAAAGATCACTACGAACCCTGTATCCTATCAATCCGTACCCTGCATGGTTGCCAGAGGTTCTCGTATCTTCCGCCCTATTCTCGCTCGTATTTATTTCTCAAGAACCTCTCCGCTACGAGGGTAATCAATCCCCGGCTTTCTTATCACTTTGGACCCACATTCTGTGGGCATGCTTCCCAATCAGAAAATGCTTGCAATATTTTGGAATATACGTCTTATAGAATAGCCTTTACTTTCCTCTGACTGCATTTTCTAAAACAGTTGGACAAAGTAGTACAAAAGTACTCGATTGTTTTTCATTTGTATTTAGTCTAAGACTAATTATTATCGAATGAAATCCTTTAAATGTCGGCAATTTGGTTGATTCTGGTGGAACCCAAGTATTTATATTCACTTATAATTGTTATGAAGAGACAGACATACCACCAGCTTACTTCGTATGTTATTGTTTCCAATTATATTACTTAATTCAAACCACTAATCCTATTAATATGTTACTATTTTCTAACCCTGAATCCTAAACCCCATTCTGTCCACTTTCCCTGTTGAAAAAAACCGTTTCGACAAAGCGTTGACTGACTCTTTATAACTTGTGTCTCGAATCCGGCAAGAGAGGTGAAAAGGCGCTTGCTTATTTAATTTTTTTTATAAATTGCTTAGCTCCGCGCAGACATGCAGTATTCCTGTTGGAACAGATTAATTATAGATGCATGCATGCAGCAAAAACTGTTAATTGCGCGCAAATTTAAAGATTAAGAACTGAAAGGAAATAAGCAGAAAAAAACGCGCCTTATTACGTACAAACATTATCCTTCGCCTATAATCTAATCAAAAACAGAGTTATAATCAACTGTGAATCTTTTGTTTTCATCTTTGGGGAGAGCAGTTTCGAACTGATAGAGCTATCCAGTATAAAGTTAGTTTGGATTTCCTCCTGTTATACTGAGATCACTGTAGATCTCAAACTCATTAATAATTCAGAATAAAGTAGCCAACCACATTGCTTTATTTAGCTTATATAATATTGGATATCTGGAGCCGGTTATACGAAGGTGGGATAGCGCTATCCACCGGATAGTGATTTTTTCAATCTTTCTTAAATCAGTCGTTGATTGATATAACTCGTATTAAAGTTTAGTATTTATGCAAGAGTTAAATGTTTTTTATACTTCTTGTGTCGTCTATATCCGTAGTTTCACAGTTTTTCAAGCATTTTAATACAAAGGTTGGAAAAATCACTATCCGGTGGATAGCGCTATATCCAACCTTCGTACAACCGGCCCTGGTAAAGTATATTGATTCACTTCTAGGACTGGATCAAAATTAATTCATTTCACTGAAGTAGTGATTTATTCGTGTGAGATGTCATTTCAAATCCTCCAATTTGGACTGGATTAGATCTGAAGTCTGCGCATTCTGATCCAGTCCTCGGCTTCGCCTCGCACTTGATCAAATTGCGCGAACTTGAAATCTAGTCCAGTCCTCATAGTCGGACTGGAAAAATTAAATCAACGAGTGTTCCTTATCAGTGGGGAACAGTTTAATAGAACTGATGGAAACATCCAGTTTAAAAGTTAAAAATAAATTTAAATCGAGGTTCCCCTAGTCATCAGTTTTCATCTTCTATGCTCAAGCGCTGAAGATTAAAGAAACTTCTATCGGATGTCGCATTCTTGCGTCACAGACGCTCATTGGCGGAAAGGAGCCGCTGGAACTTGCCGGGTTCCAAACTAGAAAAACATCCAATTATCCATAGATATGAAACTAATGATTTTCGAATATGAGATAATTATCACCAATTAAGATGTCAATTAACAAGCTAGAACATGTAGTCTGCATGGTGAAGTGATTTTATCTGAAATTCCTCTTCGGCTGTCTAGTTAACGTTTCAATTTAATTGATTCGCGTCGAAACTCTTTTCCTCAGTTTATTACAGGCGGAAACTGGAGTACTCGGTGACAACTTGCGATGTTTGCTACAACCGACGGTTCACATTATCTTGCATGTACATATTGTATTTTCGTTTGTTATATATTTCGGAAAGAGTTCGTTCGTTGTCCTCAAAGCAGTATTCTTTGTTTAATCGTTTCTCTCGTTATATTTATTGTTGTCGAAATAGTATTTTACGACTTGCCACTGACAAGGAAACAACTCGTTCCTATATTATCATTATGTTTGTTGTTGTTAAAGCGGCTGTATAGTAATTGGCTTGCGCTGTTGCGAATTCCCTGCCATGTGCTAATAGCTCATATTTGTACAAGGGCTAAGCTATTAACTAAATTAAATTAAATTAAATTACATTAAAATGTTGGTCTGCAAATTATCTAGTTTGAGAATTTCATTAGATCTAATTGCAACGCTTGCCTGCCCATTCACTACAACCTACGGCTAAGTCACATTTTTATATACAGTACTCAGTAGTAGTTAATACCATTGCATGTTCTGATAATGTAAGCATATAGAATGGAACAAAGGTAACCAAGCATTTAAATTATATATGAAGTGAATTGATGACTCACATGTTATGTATAAAGCAGAGTGAATTGTGTGGTGATAAATATAAACAAGCCGGATCTGTTCCGTATTTTCACAATTTAAGATCAACTGTTTGATAAAACGTCTTCTTTATCGGCTCTGTCGGTTGATATTGCATGCATTGGAATACAGCCAGATCTTATTGTCTGCGAATGATCGCGAATGTCCAAAACTCCACTCTATTGTTCCCAGATGCATTCAATTACAGTGATTGTGCATAATATAAACAGATCAATTAATTATTGTAAGTTTTGTAACGATTCCCATCTAGATTCTTAAGCCCAGCAGAATAGATTGACGGAAACAAAGTATTTATGACAAAATTGGGCAGCAATCTTGATAGTTTTGCTACGAAGCACGAACTAATATACACTTTACAGGCGCGTATTCTAACAATGTGTGCAAAATTTAATTTTGAATATTAGCGATAAGCTTCTCAATTTTGTCTCGAACTTTTGGTCAGGTAGGGACAATAACAGAAAATTGCGTCACAGAATAAACACACACAGAAGAACGACTCAGCCAAAAAACCGTAACTGCTGCCACGCCATGATTCGTCATCAAAATGCTGACGTCATGGTGCTAGCCAGTGCCACAGATGAGGTAGGTACAGATGTGAATCTTCCGTCAAATTGCCGATTGTTTTGTGTCACACGGAATTCTCACTTCCGGCGAGCGCTGGCAAGTGTCGTTCTGAAATTTAATAAGGAAAGAGATAGGAAAACGCCGTTCGAAAGACGAAAAATTGTTTTTTTTAAAAATCTACGCTACCGACGGCTATTTTTGGAATTAATTCTTCAAGAGTAACGGTAAGCGATCACTTTTATTGATTTCTTTTTATTAAAAGTGTTAATATAACATTTTCTTTAGCAAAAGTTTGTTTTTTCCCTATCTATTCCTTATTAAAATCGTGAAATACACTTGCTGGGAATTTCAGATGCTCATGTATAATAAAAAACAGCGAATGATATAAATTCCTCAAAACATAACTCTCGCATAAAAAAAACATGAATACTTCTATAATATGTATAGTTTTATTCCTCTGCATTATCAAAATTTAATAAAATAGTGATTTAATACAATTTTAAAGTTTATTTAATCGGTGTGACATAATTTGCCGTGAGATTCATATCTGTACTTACCTCATCTGTGCCAGTGCGCTTATGAGAGGCATTCACCCCCTGCACGTCCACCATTTTGAATATTATCAGGGGGTGAATGCCTCTCATAAGCGCACTGGCTAGGACTATGGCGTCAGCATTTTGATGACGAATTACGGTTAAGCCAAAATCATAGGAAATACCAAGAAGTCGGGTTTCTGTATAGTCTCTATTCTGTGACTGCGTTGTGAAGGAGATATACAACCCGTAGCGAAGGCCCTTCATCGAGACGTGAGTGGCCAACTATACCTTCCTGTTGTCGTTGAAGAGCCTTCGCTGCTAGTGAAATTCTCAAACGATATAATTTGCCGACAAACATTTTAACGTCAACCATATTTGACGGTTAATTAAAGTTTAATCGCGCGATAACTTGTGAAAACAAAATAATGATTGGTGTTTATTTGCAAATTACAATCTTTTAGCCCATCAGCACACATGCAACTCGTTTGCGTTGGCGAGTTTTGATTGATTTCATAAATTGTGATAAGATTTTTATTGGTATAATTGTTTGTGAAGTACAGTATGACCTAAAGTTCAAAGATTTCAACAATTTTTTTTAAAAAATGGAGAGAACATAGTTTGCATTTATGCAATTTGACATTAACCTGATTTGCGTCGTAACGCATGTACTTTATGGCCATTGACGCAATGACGCCCAATTTGCATTCGGAACTGTGCGTTTATATACCAGAGACACTGCAGAGCGCAGATTATGTAAATTTGCCAACCAGACATTGTAAAGCTGAAGTACTACAAGATTGAAGGTCAACAGGCCGCATTTTATGTTAATACGTTTATCAGTACATCAAACAAATATGTAACACTTGTACAGATCGTATAAACCTTGCATGCAGACCATACAAGAGCATATTATGCAAAATGTTGTAGAATTTCCTATACTAGACTGCATAGCATGTATACTGCGCATTTTAATCTATTAAATTAACCAAGTTCATGCATGCCTTTAAAATATTGTTGTATGCAGACAATTGAAGCAAGAATTTGATATAGACATGACTAGCGAACAAGCCGAGGAACATGCCGTATTCTGTAAAATGTTTTGCGCGATTTATGTCCAAGGTATTTCTTATGATAATCCGGGCGTAAGTCAGGGGCGAGGGTACTAATTTATATTGGATGCAAAGGTGGGCAGGTTTCATTGGATGGAAATATAAAAATCTAGACGTCGCGATGGAAAACATATATTTCCCGGTTGCTCATCAAGTAAAAATAACAATTTTGGCATACGATGCAGGATTTAATTTTTTTATGAATTAGCACTTTAATTAAGTGGTGCTGAGAATATTCCTTGAGGACAACGATATCTCTACAGTGTGGAATTTAGAAACTTAAAAGGATATCCCAATTAGGCATTTACTGAAGCAATGTTTTAAACTAATACATTATGTAAATTACACATATACTCAACCTTTTCGGTGTTGTAAAATAAATCTTGAATAAATACTGCATTCTATACGATAACTATATATACAAACTCCTGTTGTAGGCATTTGAAGTGAATACTTAATACTCGAGTAGATCATAGTTAGGGTTAAACCTTAATAGCGCTACTTATGCTAATCTTAAAGGCAACATGATGCAGGCTACATGCAATCTTACCATATTTCTATCGACTATGATCTTACATAACGCATTATATCTTAATTACGTTATCCAGACATTGCGCGCAAATATGCGATTCTTTCGTAGATTTGTGTGATTCTTATCTTTATAGGCAACGGATCAGACAAATATTTGACAAGTTTCTACCATGTTATCGAATAAAGATTTCAGACGATAAAATTTTAATACCGGTCACATGAAGCAAGCATTACCAAATACCAAGCCACCAACAGCCGAAGACAAACAACATACTTTTCATTTCTGAAGGAAGGGAATACTTTGCCTCTGTGCCATTCATTGCATTCCTTTCGAGAAATCGCCGCTACTGAACATTTTTTTTGTTCAGTTCTGCTCATAACAAAGGGGGACCCGCAGATATAATTATATGTTGTCTCGCTTAACAATTTCACAATCATGTTACTATCTCATTTCTTCTTTATTTTATTTTTGATTTTGTATAATTACCTTTCCACATCCAAAAAATGGATTTGATAAAATGCAGTAAATAGTGCAGAGTGCCAACTCTGTTGTTCTTAATCTGCCCATGCATGTTTTTAATCTGGCCATGTTATAATTAATCTGCTCATGTTATAATTATGTAACTATAGTGTTGTAATCCTTGCTTTCAAGTTATGTCTACTGGATTTGATAAAATGCAGTGAATAGTGGAGAGTGCCAACTCTGTTGTTCTTAATCTGCCCAATGCCCATGCATGTTTTTAATCTGGCCATGTTATAATTAATCTGCTCATGTTATAATTATGTAACTAGTGTTGTAATCCTTGCTTTCAAGTTATGTCTACTAGGTTTTTTTGTCAGGTTGGTTATCACATGGGACTCATGTCAGGTTGGTTATCACATGGGACTATAAACCTTCAACTGTATTTAAATGAAGTGTTGGCTCAGTTTTTTCAAAAAGTTTATTTGTAATAATTTTATAGTATTTGTATACGGTTGTAAGGTTAGTAAATAAATGAAAATAAATTAAACACCCTGCCTAAAGCCGGTTTTCATTAGGCGGAATTTTGCGCGCGGAGCGGAATTTTTCTTTGTCTTTTCTAATTAGTTCCACCCGAGAAATCACAAGACAAAGAAAAAGTCCGCTCCGCGCGCAAAATTCCGCCTAGTGGAAAGCCGGCTTAAAGGGCGAATCTTGTCTCGTTCGCTCAGAAAAGCCGGATACAAGAACCGGGTATAACATACAAGATTATACATGGATTTTTGTCTAAATATGGTCAATATATAATTATAATTTATGTGTTTCGTCAAATGAGGAATTTCCGATCAAGTGTCCAACAATTGATGATTCCCCTTATTACGTTTTCGTAGCGCTTTGCATTGTGGTTATAGTAGTATCACTGATAAAGATAGCGGCCTCGAATGAAAATATTGAAAGTTTTCGCGAATATTTGCTGTTGGCTATCGCGCACCTGACCCTGGCTTATTTTAAAAGTTCTTGCACGGGTCAGGACAAAAAATAAGCCATCTTGAATATCAGTGATACCACTATAACCACAATGGAAAACGCTACAAAAACGTAATAAGGGGAATCATCAATTGTCTCACTTCAGGAACATTCGTCATAAATTATGCAATTGAATAAATTGAATAAATACTGAATTGAATAACTTATACAGAAGACGCCTGGGATAAGATTTTAAGGCGATTTTTATAAGTTATAATAGCATGGTTTTGAGTGCAATATAGAAATGCACGAGTGAGTTTTTAAAGATGGTCAAAATTGCACGAGTTGGAAGGATAAAATCTTTGGGTTTATAAACGGTTGGGGTAAAACTGATCAATAAAAGTTTTCAACTGTTAGAAATTCTTTTGTTTTGGCGCTTGGTAAACAGTGCACTATTAGCCACTAAGGGCCGATTACATGATGGAGAACTTTCAAACCTGGGGTTGAACTCAGCCCTGTTAACCGGGTTGAAATTTCTTGCGGTTACATGAACGATTTCAACAATCGGCCCCTAAAAGCACTCATCTCAAAAGAATAATCTGACAACAACATATTACAAGAAATGAAACCGCAATCACAAACGCATACTACATTATGCCTGGGAGGGATTGTATCAGTACAAAATGGCTCACCTATTTTATTCAAGAAATTTTCACATTCTCAGACTGTGATATTCCTTGGTAGAAACGAGTTCCAAGTGATGATGCGTTTATATGTTGTATGATAAAAAGACCAGTTATGTTACATACATATAAGAGCGTAATTTTTAAGGCGATTAAAAAGATAAACAGTGCACTTGATAATCAAGTATTAAAGTATGAACAATGTAAAATAGTTCCTCATGAAAATTGTGGTCGACCTTTGCTGGCATTATTAGTACATTTATCAAACATATATGTCACATGAAAGACAACAGTATTCTTATATATACTTCAAAACGGTTAAATCGTAAACATTGTACTTAAGCGTCAAGTGTCAAGAATGTCAGTTCGCTCACGGAAATTTCTGTCCAACATTTTCAAGTATTTAAATGTCGAGCCTTTATTCAAAATTTCTATCATACAATAAATTCTTATATACAATATAATCTTATAAACATGTACGTTTTATTTCATATGCGTCGTTATATTGGCGTCTTAATATTTGCGTTTCTCTACTATGCGTCATCACTATTTGCGCGGCTAATAATTAGCATAATAAACGTATCCACAATTCTATAAACATCCAAATCAGGAACCTTTGTTCCTTTTGGGCCTATTCTAATTATTTCCCATGGAATCCCCTCCCCCTTCCCTCGATCTTGACCCCAACTTTTGACTATAACTTTTGGCGCGATTTGGTTTTACTATCCGGGTCAGGGTCCTTTGTCTCTTTGAGACCACGCCTAATTTTTTGGAATATATGTCTTATTACCCTATTTATAGTTTTGTGGGCTACAATAGTTTAAAACCTCTACACAATGGTCGAGTATCTACCCGTTCTATTCAGTAACAGAGATCAGGGGCGGACACTTCGCGAAATATCGGGGGGGGGGGGGGGGCATTAAGTTGCCAAAAGATAACCACCTTTTGTAGTTAAGTTTTGTGCCTCATGGTTCCGCAGTTATTCAGCTAATATTCACAGGCTTTCAGAAATTTTGGGGTGCCTTCCCCCTCCCCTAACTTCCCCCTCTCTAGTGTCCGTCACTGACAGAGACCGAGGGCTACACCACATGAATACACGAAAATAACCCACCTGGCTTGTTGGAGGTGTGCACCTTTACCTTCAAATGTGTTCTAATGTGGTAGAACACCCTCTCTCTGTTGTTTATCAATGACACAGACCCCACTGTAGCTCCGCCCTATCCCCATACACGAGGACAGCAATCCCCATTGATTCGTCCTGGGGTTGTAAACTTCCACAGAATTAAGATTCGCTGACCCGTCATCACCTCCGACCACAAACAGAAGTCCATTGACAGAGGCGACGCCCGCATTGCGTCTGCACATGCTCATATCAGCCACAGCCTGCCATTGGTTGAGCTCGGGGTTGTAACATTCTACACTTTTTCGTACATGAGGTCCATCGTGGCCGCCAATTGCAAAAAGCAAACCATCTGAAACCTACAAAGAACAGAGAGTTCTCTTCAACATACAGTATGATGTAGGCTCAAATGGTCGGTACCCTGTCTCGTACCCAGGCGTCTCTTTGAAAAAAAAACAGCGATGCGCATATGGCGAGTTTAAATGAAGTATTGTAGTGGCGAGAAAAGGGCGAAGACGAGAAGGAGTTGGTCGGTACCAGTGTAGGCAGCAGAGAGGTTCATCTTTGACTTCCACTACCGCCACCTCTACCATTAAGGGACGATTAACCAATCAAATGCGTTTGATATATCCGATTAACCAATCAGATGCGTTTGATATATCCGATTAACCAATCAGATGCGTTGATATATCCGATTAACCAATCAGATGCGTTTGATATACCAGATTAACCAATCAGATGCGTTTGATATATCCGATTAACCAATCAGATGCGTTTGATATATCAGATTAACCAATCAGATGAGTTTGATATATCAGATTAACCAATCAGATGAGTTTGATATATCCGATTAACCAATCAGATGCGTTTGATATATCCGATTAACCAATCACATGCGTTTGATATATCTGATTAACCAATCAGATACGTTGGATATATCCGATTAACCAATGAGATACGTTGGATATATCCGATTAACCAATCAGATGCGTTGATATATCCGATTAACCAATCAAATGCTTACATTTGCATAATACTTTGCATAATAAAAAAATACTTTTAAGTATTTTTAAGCTGACAAGGTCACTATCCGCTAGACAGCCCCTGCGGCCTTCGGACAGGAAAGAGTTTAATGGCAATCAGTAAAAACAGGATCAAAGCTCACCCCAACTCCAGCCCCACTGCGTCTGGTGCTCATGTCACACACCAGACCCCACTCCTTCGTGACAGGATTATAACACTCCACTGAACTTAGACAGTGTCTGGATGCACCATCATAACCGCCGACTGCATACAACAAGCCTCCTAGGACGCCGACTCCCACACTGCTTCGTCTGCTGCTCATCGGTGAGATATACCTCCATTCATTTGTCTTAGGGTCGTAAATCTAAAATGAGAGAAAACTTTATTAATACTGGATAGCTCTATCAGTTTCAAACTGTTCTTCCTAGAGGACCAGTAATTACGGATCATCTCTTCTTGATCCAGTGTTACTACAGGAGGAAATCTAAACTAAATGCAAGAACTACCTTTACAAATTCCAGAACTCCCCTTACAAATTCCAGAACTCCCTTTTCAAATGGCAGAACTCCCTTTTCAAATGGCAGAACTCCCTTTTCAAATTGCAGAACTCCCTTTTCAAATGGCAGAACTCCCTTTTCAAATGGCAGAACTCCCTTTTCAAATGGCAGAACTCCCTTTTCAAATAGCTCTATCACTTCAACACTGTTCTCTCGAGAGATCCAGTATGATTCGTCTCTTATCCTAAACTAATCTAACATCCAGATCAGGTGTAAACTTAGTTTATAACTCTGCAACATCACTAACTAACCTCACAAGTGTTTAATCCTGTAGTCCCGTCAAAACCTCCAATTGCATAAAGCAAGCCATTGAGAACAGCCGCTCCAAGGGTACTCCGGCGGGCCTCCATGGATGCTACGGTACGCCATTGGTTCCGTAGGGGATCATAGCAATCTACTGTCCTTATCCTTAGAGATCCATTAAAGCCCCCTACTGCATAAATACACCCGTCCATAACCGCCACACCTGCCCGACAGCGCCGACTGTTCATTTCAGCGACCTGATGCCACTGCTCCGTCTTGAAGTCGTAACATTCAACACTGGAATGGAATGAAGGATAAACTAAACTAACTTTATTTCTACTGGATAGTTCTATCAGTTCTGAACTGTTCTCCCTAGAGGTCCAGTAAGGATCATCTCTTATTGATCCAGTGTTACTACAGGAGGAAACCTAAACTAAACTAACTTTATTTATACTGGATAGTTCTATCAGTTCTAAACTGTTCTCCCTAGAGGTCCAGTAAGGATCATCTCTTATTGATTCAGTGTTACTACAGGAGGAAACCTAAACTAAACTAACTTTAGTTATACTGGATAGTTCTATCAGTTCTAAACTGTTCTCCCTAGAGGTCCAGTAAGGATCATCTCTTATTGATCCAGTGTTACTACAGGAGGAAACCTAAACTAAATTAACTTTATTTATACTGGATAGCTCTATCAGTTCTAAACTGTTCTCCCTAGAGGTCCAGTAAGTATCATCTCTTATTGATCCAGTGTTACTACAGGAGGAAACCTAAACTAAACTAACTTTATTTATACTGGATAGCTCTATCAGTTCTAAACTGTTCTTCCTAGAGGTCCAGTAAGGATCATCTCTTATTAATCCAGTGTCACTACAGGAGGAAACCTAAACTAAACTAACTTTATTTATACTGGATAACTCTATCAATTCCAAACTGTTCTTCCTCGAGATCTGGTAAGGATCATGGAGGAAACAGGCTATATTTGGTAGAGTTAAGCTGGAAGCAACCACTTTTCTTTTCATTGTATGCACTCTGTAACGCTGAGTGAAAACGACCAATTTTCTCACCTTCGTATAGCCTTAGGTGCCTGGCCTCCAACAACATACATGACTTTCGGCAACCCGACCGGAGTCCTGGGGCGAGTCCTTGGCGTCTGCAATACCGACCGCTGCTCGCTTGACAACAAGTGGTACTTCATGGCTTCAATGAGAAAGTCTTTACAAGCAAAGTTCCGTTTTATTAAAGATTCGCTCTCGACACGTTCGACCAAATATTCACGCGAGAGTAAGGGCAGACGAACGTGCTCCATTAACTGAGCAAAATACTCTTGTCGCTCTTCTGAACTGTGTTCAACCCAAGACACAACAGCTTCAAACACCTAGAAAATAGTTTAATTATACAAAAGATTAGTTTGTCTACTGTACATTGTAGTGACGAGCTAGCCCTTCAAGATATACGAGATACAGTACAACTAGAGTAAAACCCCGCATATAAGAACCTAGATTTTCCAAGTTCGGCCTAGCCAGGTTCGTATGGAAACGTGCTTACCAGGAAATTAGGCTAAACAGGTTCTTAAATAGGTTCTTAACTTCTTAAAGGTGATGTAAAGTCCGTAATGTAAACAAACGCTTTGTTTACATTTTGAACTCAATGCTACAGTTGTAAAATATGATTAGATATATATTATACTGAATTTTTAACACTCTTCTGGTTCGCTATGCTTGTAAATGAATACAGACTAGAGATTCAATTCAAGAAAGTTCGGAAGGTGCGAAATAATAACAACATTCCAGTGGTCGGGTCGCGGTGATTGGAATGCAGGCCTGCGCAGAACGGACTTTACATCACCTTTATAAGAGAAAAGCGACTCATTTTAAGGAGGTATGGTATATGATTTATAGAATTTAAGAACTTGTCAGGCTAAAATAGTTTATTTAGACCCGCTTTAAAGAAGAACCTGTTCAGGCTAGAATTTCAGAACAGATTCTTATATTGAAATCTGCTGTGTTGGTATAATGTACTCAGGTGAATAAGATGTTTGTGTGATGTTACTCTGAGAGTGTATCCACACCGGGCAGGCTTGAAAAATATGCCTGGCCACGGCGGGATTCGAACCTACGACCTTTGGAATACTAGCCCAATGTTCTTCCAACTGAGCTACGCGGTCAGGACGGTTCAAGTATGCGATATTTCGGAACTGAGTCTAGTTCCTTCGATATCAGTGTAATCTAATAATCATGAAATCTGCTGTGTTGGTATAATGTACTCAGGTGAATAAGATGTTTGTGTGATGTTACTCTGAGAGTGTATCCACACCGGGCTAGTATTCCAAAGGTCGTAGGTTCGAATCCCGCCGTGGCCAGGCATATTTTTCAAGCCTGCCCGGTGTGGATACACTCTCAGAGTAACATCACACAAACAGATTCTTATATTATCAAATAGAGTCAAAATTAAGTCATAAGTTACAATCAATGTAGCTTTAAAGTGCATATAGAGTTGGTATAATGCATATACTGTCATTTTTTAGATCATTTGTGCATAATTTATAGGTTCTGGTTAGCGGGCTTTTACTGTACTGTACCGGGAAAATATAAACACAACTTTGTCTTTGACGCTTCGAGCGAAGGCCCTTCGAAACGTCGAAGTTCTCCTTGTATTTTTCAGGTAGTTGTATCTCTATCAATCTGAAGCTTTCTTATTATTGCCACGACCTACACTGCCACAGACACTTCGAAATTAATTTACTGGGCGTGCAAGGATGGGGAGTTTCTTTATCCGTACACGAACAATCATTTTCAAATACATTGGGACAGATACTAAAAAAAATCAGATAATTTTAAAACGTACATTTCACCTCTGAGAACGTAGGTTCAATGCTCGTTTACAACGCAAGACATTTATGTGAAAAGAGTTAGTCAACGCTCTACCGAGAGTCGCAGAGAATGTTGACAGTTCGGTTGGGTTTGGCCCCATACTGACCCTTCCACCGTAGCTGTACTCTGTGATCAGACATGAGTCATGAGGTGGCTGCCAGAGGCGTCCTTAGAAAGCCTTCGACTCGATCAGATTGAGCTGTTTTTCTTTCGTAATTCAGCTTAGCTCTCAGCTGCATGCATTTTAATTTTGTATGTAACTGTACGTGATAAAAGACACTGTATGCAATGGTAGGATTAACACTTTGGTCAAAAGACGTCTTTGCAAGTAATTAGTCAAACTTCATGACGTACAATACGCTTCAAATCAATTATCTTAACATGCAATAACTTTAATTCTAACTGGATTTACATTAATCTGCCTTTGTGACGAAGGTTAAATTCCATTGTGCCATTAATTTGAAGTATAATCTAGTTAGCAGATACAAAGAATATCGTCACTTGAAGCATTATCATCTACTTGGGAAGACTTTGTCTTTCGGTTGAACGTTACAAGTGTAATAAATTGATTCAATCAACTAAAATCTCGAGGCCTGAAGACAAAGTTGACGTCATGACGTCATATTGACGTCACTAGTTAAGCGAAGAGCACGAATATATTTCTGATCTTGATTGACCTTGTCACTGTGGTGCAACCATAACATACTGTAGTACAGTATAAGCCACGAATTACTACCATAATTTTGTTGCTTTAACCAACCTATTTCCAACTACTGGCAGTGTTAATCCAACCACCCCCTGACCAGAGCATTGCGTCGTCAAATACAGTATACCAACCACCATGCTTAGAAACACTCAAATGCAACCCTACGTGCAGACTCTTCCCCATCGAAAAGTCAGCTGCACGTAGGCTACTCAAATGCAACCATAATCAGACAAGATGAAATGTTCCAGCTTCGATTGTAACAACGAAGGCAGGATTTTGAGGGGAGGTATGGGCCTCCCCTGAGATTGTTGGAAGAAATTATTTCGCTGGCCTCAGAGTGACAAAACACAACAAAGCAACGGGTTTTACTAACACTAACCCTACTCCAAATTTGTTTCTAAACCAATCTCGAAGAAAAAAGTTTTGACAAAATGTTATTCTGAGGTCAGCGAAATAGTTGACGCCGAGATTGTTTTGCACCTCGTCTGAAAAGTCATGCATCTCGCCTTGGAAAGTTCATAAATACACTGATACATACAGTACATGCATACGTCATGTAGTTGACTTTACGTTCAATGGAGGCCGTGAACTAGACCACTGCACCCACCTCCCCCACCATTTCTACCAAAATCCGGCCTGGGTGACAACAACAGAAACTGCGGAATGGAAAGATTCAACTGCCTGCAAAATACACCAAGTAAAACTTTGGCGTTTTGAACAGAGGAAAAGTGGTGGCTTGGATGACTTCCTGGCGAAAGGCTTTCGCTAGAAACGTCGACGTTTGATTTGTATTCTTCAGGCTGTTCAATATCCCTCTCCGAATCCGCATTTTCTGGCATAACCAAGCAACTGTATAATATGCAGGGGCCGGTTGTATCAAGCCCATTTAGCTTAAACGGTGGATAAGTCAAAATTAAATATCACTCTTATATCTCTCGTGAATCAGTTAAATATTGTGCACTGAATATGTATAGTTGTAAACATTATCATTCTATTAAGGTTCAAAACTTCTAGTTTGGTTGTTGAATGAATCTATAGACTTGCTTTCTATTTTGAGCTTAACCACCGTTTAAGCTAAACGGGCTTGATACAACTAGCCCCAGGAAGAGAACCTTGATGATAGGGTGATAGATGTTGTATACAAGTCGTACAACAGCAGTGCAAGTACACTCAATGCTACCAATTTAAACCGTTAAGCTCGGATGAAACGAGGATGAGAGTTCATGAGAGTTGGCGTGATCTTGGTTAGCTGTTCTTAATGCTTTCCCAACACTATCATGTATTTTATTTAAGTTAAAACATAGTTGAAACACTCATCAAACTTTTAATTTTTTTAGTCTAGAGCTTCAAATGTCCCCTGAAACAATGCGTGACTGTCAGGCAGTCGCGTTTGATCGAGGGCCGAGGCTTTACTTATTTTTACTCTCCTCTTGAGTCTTGATGAGTAAAATCTTCTGGCATAATAAACGGAGTAAAATAATAAAGGCGGGTCCATTTGTGTGCAAATGCAGCTTAAAAATAAAGGCTCATTTCCACTCAGGAAAATTTTCTACAGACAGAAAATTTTCCGAAAATATCATTGTTAAAAGTTGAAAATTTTCAACTTCAAAATTTCTTTGAATTCCTCTCAATTGATTACAATCATGATTATGATTATGATTATGGTCCTTACAGTGGATTTCACGAAACTTTGACCACTTTGTTGTGAAGTTCGCAAGTTTGTTACGAAGTTCGGAAGTTCATATATTGGAATTCACAAGCAAATTTGTAAACAAAGTCCCTGATTGGTCCCTGAAGTAAAAGTAGCCAATCAAATGCGTAGTTTACAAACTGGATTGTGAATCTCATCATATGAACTTTTGAATTTTGCAACGAAGTTTGGAACATTTGTGGTCAACGTTTTGTGAAATCGACTGTAATGGGTGTATTATTTACCTTCTCCTCTGAAGGCACAGTTAGTTGGTCGCTGGAAATCAATTCACAAATCTGCATCGCAGGAAGATTCAAGAACTCTTCTCCATGGACAATTTCTGAGAAATGTTGCTCTGTGTAAGAATGTGCCGCTTCCAACAGCTCCATGCATGAGTGAACGTCAGCAAAACGTCGTATACCCAGACAGTTGGAGGGGTCTAACTGTTGTTTGAGAAATTCCCAGCAAGCAACTCTGACTTCCGTCATCTGCAGAAGACTTGCAACTGGCAGTAAAATCTAGTCAACAGAATTTTCAATATGGTCAGTGACAGTGTAAGGTGCTGTTTGGGCAAAAGTTGAAGATCAATAGGGGGGAGGAGGGGTTAGAGTGCAATGTGGGGGGGGGGGGATGAAGTGCACACCAGGGAACAATGATATTTTGGGGCTATTCAGGATGTTCACCGGGGAAGGGCAAAACAAAATTTGGGAGAAGGTTAGAAGTTAGGGGGTAGGGGTTAGATGTTAGGGGATGGGGGTTAGAAGTTAGGGGGTGGGGGTTAAAGGTTAGGGTAGGAGTTAGGGGGTGGGGGTTAGAGGTTAGGTGGTGGGGATTAGAGGTTAGGGTGGGGTTAGGGTTACAATCCAATAACTTATTGCTGATAACGTTTGATAATTGCAATGCTTAATATTGTTGATACCGCAAGGAACGGCTGAAATTTGACCATACAATGTTGAAGGCTTTTTGAGAAGGGATTAATAGGGTCAACTTTGGGGAGAGGGGCAAAACTTTTAGGGCTAAAATTGAGGGGGGGGGGGCACAAACTTAAGATGTTTGCATTGGAGGGGAGAATGAATCAGAGTGAAATTTGGGGAACAGGGGATTGTATTTGAGGCCACACTAAATATTAATGATTTGGGGAATATTGGGGGAACATCCTCCTCAGAAAATAAAATAATAGTGTACACTACCATACCTGAACATTTTCCTCTGTGACTTGTATTTCAGCCGTGTATGCAAACTCGAGCAACATCTCCAAGGCAACAGGGTCAACATCTTTCATTGTCACATTCATTTGTTTACTTTCCGACAGTTCTCCTGTAAACATTGCGTAGAAGTATGCACTGCATGATGCGAGGACAACCTTGTGTGCCGGGAATTCTACCGAGCCTGTTTTAATTATGACGTCACACAATATGTTTTGTAAACGTAAACTGTTCATTGTTTGGAAGGCTTTTGCACAATGGTCTGCGTTGCGGTAAGGTGGGACGAGAGGTTTCTCTTCAGGAACGTCTTCTGCCATGATGTGAAATTTGTCTACAATTGGAAAGTTTGTACATATTTCATTTGTTTAAATACATTTTCAGTGTGCTCTGTGCATATCCTGTTTATTATTTTACTCTGTCTAACAGCAGATGATTTTACTTATCAAGGGAAGAGGTCTGCCACTCAATGGGTTAAAATATAATGGACGCGGGTGATTAACACTGTGAGGCAAGTCATACACCAAGACACAGGGTTTGTCTGACAGATCATTTACCACAGTGTATAAACATATGGTTGACCTATCCAAGTAGCTAGAATGGTGCTGTCTATGCTATGTCAATACAAGATTCCCCTTATTACGTTTTCGTAGCGCTTTGCATTGTGGTTATAGTGGTATCACTGATATTCAAGATGGCTTATTTTTTGTCCTGACCCGTGCAAGAACTTTTAAAAAAGGCTAGGGTCAGGTGCGCGATAGCTAACAGCAAAATATTTGCGAAAACATTCAATATTTTCATTCGAGGCCGCTATCTTTATCAGTGATACCACTATAACGACAATGCAAAGCGCTAAGAAAACGTAATAAGGGGAATCATCATTTTTTTTAGAAGATAAATTATGCCTGATGCCCTGATATTCTTTCTATCGTCATATTTATATTCATATATGGATAATCCATCATCAGTCCTGACAAACTGCACATAAGTTCATCAGAGTAGACAAACAACACAGTTAAATCATCTTGACAGATACCATGTTTGCTTGCCACGTTTTATACAGACGAATTTTGAGACAAACTATCTTAATTATTTGTCCAATATCGTCTAGACTGATCATTAATAGTCTCGTTACTAGAAAATGAGAACATTGTCAAGCTTGAATCTGCCACTGAAATACATGCCTAATTTCATCTATATATACGCAGAAATGAAGCCCTTTCAACACTATATCCCACCTCAAACCCAGACATTTGTTTGTCAACAAATAATTACAACTACAACGTATATTTTATTAAAGCTCAACAACAACAAATAAAAACACCAATAATTCGCGATCGAGTTTGTAATTTAGAGCTATATTTCCTCACCTTGAATAGTACAATCGTGTGGTTTTACTTCCATAAAATTTTGACAAAATATAAGAAATAAATTGCTGTATTTTTCGCTCAAAAATTACTTTAATTTGTTGATCAAAATCTTCAGATTTGTTACTTTGTATTTTGATCTGGCATTGTGGGATACTAACTTCCCGAGGTCTCGTCGCGGGGTCACGACTGTGCACCGAGTGACTGCGCACGAGGAATTAAAATAATACATTGGCTCCATTTGTACAAAAGACGGACAAACCCAAAACAAACCCCAAACCAACCCCAAAACCAACCGCCATAACCAACCCCAAAACAACTCCAAACCCCCCCCCCCCAAACAACTCCAAAACAACCCCCAAACCAACCCCAAAACAACCCGAAAACACAACTCCAAAACAACCCCAAAACAACTCCAAAACAACCCCCCAAACAAATCCAAAACAACCCCCAAACCAACCCCAAAACAACCCGAAAAAACAACTCCAAAACAACCCCAAAACCCGAAAACAACTCCAAAACAACCCCCAAAACAACCCCCAAAACAACCAGAAAACAACTCCAAAACAACCCCAGGAGAAAATTGGGAAGCCCCTCTCAAACAAGGATGAGAGTTGATAAGAGTCACGCATTGTTACGGGGACATTTCAATTGAAGCTCTAGATTAACAAAAACTGCCAACTCTGACGCCCTCTCATTCTCGTTTGATGTATAGACATTTCAGATCCGACTATGAGGACTACATTTCAAGTCCGATTAAAAGCCCGAGACGAAGCCGAGGACTGGATCAAAATGCAAGTACTTGAAATCTAGTCTAGTCCGAAGATTTGAAATGACATCTCATACGAATAAATCACTACTTTAAGTGAGGTGAATGAATTTTGATCCAGTCCAAGGACTGAATTTATTTTGATATCCAGTCCTAAGACTGAATCAATATACTTCACCCGGTATCCAGTATTATCATGTGAGCAAAATAAGCAATATTGTTGGATAATTTACTCATGAATTACTACAGTACTGAGTTTGAGATCTGGGCTTAAATTAACACTCTCTCGACTACATGCAGGTTTTACCAGCAATTCATGTATGCACACACACGTAGGACAGAACAGCCACTTGCCAATGTTTCATCAAAGACGTTCTAAAGAAAACGTTGTGTCTTTGTCCTCTTACATTGTTCTTGGTTTGCAAGTTCACTCAAACGTTGGAACAGTTAAAGAAAACGTGTCTTCCCTGGTTTTGTACTCCAATAAAGCGTGAACACTTCTTCAAGACTCCAATAAAGCGTGAACACTTCTTCAAAACTCCAATAAGGCGTGAACACTTCTTCAAGACTCCAATAAAGCGTGAACACTTCTTCAAGACTCCAATAAAGCGTGAACACTTCTTCAAGACTTCAATAAAGCGTAACGTACGAATTTATTGGTATCCAAGAAACTTACTCCACATAGAAAGTGGATTACAATTTCATTTATTGCTACTGCACTAGGAAGAAAATTGCTCTACCTCTGTGGACAAGTCCAATTTTGGGATCAGCTTTACTGGCAAAAGTCGTCTTGTTGTCTTGCAAGACAATAGAAGAATTTTCTCTCGTACAGTGAAGAATGTGTTTCTTAGTGAAACAAACAAAACTTTGCCATATAGTGGCAGTTTATGCTGTCCTATTACTAAACTTTATGGTATTGGCTCAGAACCGTTCAACAGAACTGAACAATAAATTAAACTCCGTGGAAAACCAAACTAGTTCTTTCCCACTGTATTTGGCAATGGCAATCGAGAATGCAACACTGTTTGCAAAACTCCCTGGCTTCGAGACGACAAAATTTGGGTTCCTGTATCTTCATGGACGATCCAATCATGTTCAATTTGACAACAAGGAAGTAGAATCAAAGTTAGGATCCTTTGTAGACAAACAGGGATATCCTAACCCTATCACATCTTATCCAAGTGAAATGCCCTCCCCACAACCATCAATGTACGATCAATCCTCTTCCCAAAATGAATCCCAGCCTCAAAACACAACCGACTATCAAACCCTAACCCAATTCGTAGCCAAATATCAGTATTCCCCTCAAGCAAATGAATCTACTCCACGGAGTTCGGATCTGCGGGACGTCTTTCAAGGTCAAAACCTTTCTCAACCCCAAGATATACCCCAAGAATACAACCAATCCGCCTCATGGCAATCAAATTCAACCGACTTCAAACCCTCACCGCAGAACTCCGGCAATAGCAACACTAGCCCAACGCAAGAGCTATCACAAGACTCGCCTGCCTCCTCTCTTCAGGAACACGAAACTAGCCAAGAAGATGTAGTTCTTACCAACACAACACAGTACAACGCTACACAACAAGCAGAATACAGTCAGGACTATCAACAGCAAGAACCCCGTGAATACAGTCAGGGCTATCAACAGCAAGAACCCCGTGAATACAGTCAGGGCTATCAACAGCAAGAACCCCGCGAATACAGTCAGGGCTATCAACAGCAAGAACCCCGTGAATACAGTCAGGGCTATCAACAGGAAGAACCCCGTGAAAGCACAACAGCACAGCAAACGTCCTTTGAAAATTCTACCAGTACAATCCCGTACCAAAATCCACTTGCTCCGCAGCAATCTTTCGATCAAACAACGAACCAAAACACAGCAGAGGCCAACGCAACACAACAGCAAAACTATTACAGTCCAGTTTATCAACAACAAGACTACTACAATTCTGTTTATCAACAACAACAGGAAGAACCCAGCGAAAACACTACACCACTACAAAGTGTTTTCGAAAATTCCACAGCCAACGATCCAAAATTTACTTCTGAACAACCGAAATACGCTGAACAGCAACAAAATTCACAACTACAACAGGAACAGACCCAACAAAACATAACAGGAGCACAACAAAATTCTTCCTTTAATTCAAGCGAAACACTGCAAGAACAAAGCAATTCTTTCAGGCAAGAACAGAATCAGATTCAAGGAAACTATGAGGAAAGATATCTTCAAGAAAACATTAACGAAAGCACTTCAAGGGACCAACAATTACAACAAAACTCGTTCAAAAATTTAACAACTCCACAACTCATACAGTCAGCAGGAGAGGAGAAACTCGTTCAAGGATCAGAGAAATGGACTAATGAATCAAGTGTAGAAAACGCAACAAACTCAGGACAGCCCGAACAAGAAAGATCTTTCAATCTAAATCAAACAGAGGAACACTCAAACAACACAGACGAGCAGTTCCAAAAACAACTGCTTTTCTCTGAAGAGCGAAATAAACAAAGCATTCCACATGAATACACAACAAACACGAAACAAAATCTTTTCCAAATTGAAAAAGACCCGCATATCATACAGTCCCTTCTCTACGGAGATCTTTCTCAACTCAGAAATGAATACGAACTCACTGCACAAAAGGTGAAGGCCGCCACAACAGACGCCACCACGCCAAGTACACAAGCTGGCTATCAGCAAACATACAGTAGATTTCGCAGAGAAAATAAAGGAACAGTCAAATATGTATTCAAGAGAACAGACGTACAGCAAAATGTACAAAACAAACAAGCCAAAAGAGTCCTCGGCAAACAACTTCAAAAGCTGTTGGAAAAGAATGAAGTCAAAACAAATTTACATACAAATCGACTTAAAAGAATGATCAACAAAGTACGTGCACACGACGAACCACACTCCAAGCCATCCATTTTCGATAAACTGTTAAACAATCCTTCCGACACCAACTTTCTAATGTTGCCTTCTACCGAAGCAAAGTACAAACACAGTAAAAGAAGTCCAGAACATGGCTTACTCATGAAACTCGAAGCAATGAGACACACCTTCCTTGAAAAACACAATGAATGTCCTATCTTCGCTATCTTTGGGACAAGTTCGGAGTCGTGTTACACTTTGACAACTGATAAAGATAATTGCGCTGAAGAGTTTATGGAAGTGAAAGAGATGTTTAAACAAAGTTGTGCTGAGACACAGTTTTATATTTACGTTCGTGAAGACGGGGCTGGCAAAGTACGCGAAGACGATGTTCAAAGTTTGACTAAGAATGGTATTAATGTTTTAATACCTGAATAAAACTTAGCAGAACTCATCATAACTTATATAACTTTAAAAATTTTACTATATATTAGCATTTACATTAAACTAACAAATTTATTAAATATATTACCGTCCACAGAAATGGATCTATCTCGTAGTGATTGACCGATAATCGGCATGGATCGGTAGACAATCGGAATTGGTAGAATTATCTATAGTCCCGATTGTCTAAAACAGATTGTTGAGAAAATACGCACTTTAAAAATTATATGCATTGCACGTTGATACACGTTGCGTTTTAACCCAATATGTTAAATTAATGCGTGAAGCCATTTATTAACAGTTTTAACGATCTTTGGTTGCAGTAACATGTTAAGGCCCTGTCACACTATTGCGTATCGTACTAGCGTATGCCAGCGTATGTAAAATATCACTCATACGCCGGTATACGCTGACATACGCTAGGCGTACGTTAGGCATAGGTTGTATACGTTTCAAGCACGGTCGCATACGGTGGCATACGTTGTATACGTTTGTTGTATAGGTTGTATACGTTTCAAGCACGGTCGCATACGGTGGCATACGGTGAGGCAGAAAATTTTTTTTAAGCATGTTCAAAAATTTTGTGCGTATCGGACGTATGCTTTATACGATAAGCATACTGTAGGCACACGCTGAATACGCTAGAGGTACGCCAGATGTACGGTACTCATACGCTGGCATTTCAAAGGGTTTTTGTGCGTATGAAAATTATTTCATTAATTTTCATACGCTTCTCATACGTTTCTCTCATACGCAATAGTGTGACAGGGCCTTTAGGTTGGAAATTATCGTTAAAAAATTGATATGAATGTCACCTTTACTCGGTCGAGTGATATTATGACGTCATTATAAAATCGGTATCGGGCAGATGGTGGCATGATTAATCGGTAATTTCCGATTGTTGCACAATCGGTCAATCACTATCGCCCGTATTCTAAAAGCTCACTCACACTCAATGAGAGGAAGTTCAATCTGAGTTTCTCTTGAGTGTCAATGCTGTTTTTGAATAGCTGGAGGTTGAGTAGTCACAGAGTAAGGTACGACACTAACCCTCCAGCTATTTGAAAATACCATTGCCACTAAAGGGAAGCTCAGATTGAATCTCCACTCATTGAGTGTGAGTGAGCTTTTAGAAAACGGGCGTATATTCGTGGTTAACATTACGTTTAAAGATACGATTATCATTGCTCTTATGTTGCGGGTACAACGGGGTGGGGCATGGAGGTGGAAAGGCAGGGAGGGGAACAGGGTAGAAAGGGGGACAGGGAAGGGGGAAGGTTAGGTAAGGGTCAGGATTGGATTACGGTAAGTGTACAGATTAGGTTAAGAGTAAGGTTATGGCATTATTAGTGATACAGTATTTAATATACATGTACCAACAAAATATGAATATCGTAGCTCAGTATGGTTAGTCAAGGCTTCACAGCCCAAATCAACGGCATTTTAAAAATTTAGATTTTAAAATAATCTTGGCGAAAATCTATCCGTCATCGTTCCTTCCCAGTTCTTTACGAATATACCCAAATAAATCCAGAGAGGTTGGGGGCTCAGAACTTAACTTTTTTTGGAATTTGAAGATGATTTGCCAAAGTTGACCTGAAATGAAAAATGCGTAGAGTATCGAATATTAATCACACAACAATGGTTAAAATGCCTTTATAGTTTGAAGATGGTGTTAGTGGTGCGTTTTGATTCCTGCAATATGCAGTTGTACGTGAGAAGAGTGCTTTCAGTTTCACTTTACGAAAAAAACACTACAGGTTTTTTCCAGGTATTCTGGTTTCCTCCTGTAATAACACTGGATCAATAAGAGATGATCCTTACTGAACCTCTAGTAGATCAGATTAGAACTGAAAGAGTTATCCAGTATAAACAAAGTTAGTTTAGTTTAGGTTTCCTCCTGTAGTAACACTGGATCAATAAGAGATGATCCTTACTGGACCTCTAAGAAGAACAGTTTAGAACTGATAGAGTTATCCAGTATAAACAAAGTTAGTTTAGTTTAGGTTTCCTCCTGTAGTAACACTGAATCAATAAGAGATGATCCTTACTGGACGTCTAGGAAGAACAGTTTAGAATTGATCGAGCTATGTAGTATAAATAAAGTTAGTTTAGTTTAGGTTTCCTCCTGTAGTAACACTGGATCAATAAGAGATTATCCTTACTGTTTGAAACTAACAAAGCTATCCTGACCAGTATGAATAAAGTTAGTTTACTTTAAAACATACCAATTGTAATTTCCCTATCCTTCAGTAAAAAGTGTATTTCATAGAGTTCTTGGGCATGTTCCTTAAATATTCCAAGTACACAATTTATTAAAGCGGTTATTTTATACTATACGAAAGGTAGGTAGATATATTTGAAACAGCACCCTGTAGATTTCAATGCAATACATACCTTATCTTGAAAAGTGAAATATAATATATCTCTATGTGCTGCACTGGCGGCCATAATCTGAATTAAACCTGTGTCAAAGATAAAATAATTATCTCAGACGTGGTTACCAGGCTAGTGGCCATATTAGAACGATTCAGTAGTCTTTGGCATCAAAATTTCGCTGACTTCTGATCTCTTATATTCATTAAATTAAAATTTAAAAAACATCACGTACTTTTAAGTTGAGGATCACCGTTGAATGCCCCACACCCCCACTTTCCTTGAAAAGAAAAGGATAATATTCTAAATCAGATATGATATTTTGTGTGTGTTGGTGTTGTGTACTCAGGTGAATATGATGTTTGTGATGTTACTCTGAGTGTGCATCCACACCGGGCAGGCTGAAAAGTTTGCTTGGCCACGGTGGGAGTCCACGGCCGCGACCTTTGGGATACTAGTCCAACTGAGCTACGTGGTCAAGTCGGTTGGAGTCGATGATTAGATTTCGGAACTGAGTCTAGTTCCTTCGATATCAGTGTATTCTAAGATATGATATTTGTGTGTGCTGGTGTTGGCCGTGGCCAAGCAAACTTTTCAGCTTACCCGGTGTGAATGTACACTCAGAGTAACATCACAAACGTCATTCTAAATCAGTTTAATTAATTTCCAGTTTCGCCAAAGAAAGACCACTAACTGCAGTACCTGTAGCAACCGCTGGTAAATGCTCGGCAGCTGTCTCTCTGGAAAGGAATCCAATGAATGCCTACAAAAAAACACAAAGTATTTAATATTTTGCTTCTTAAAGAAATGAAAAGTATATGGTTCGTCTTTGGTTGCTGGGTATCCTCTGTATGCTGGTAGATGTGACCATAGCCTATAGAATGGAAGATGGCTGTGAAACTCATTAGAATAACAATATAACTTATCATCTATGTTAGTCAACGTTTACTTATAAATCTGGTCCTTCATCCTCATGTGTGTATTGTATGTTTGCCCAACTAACCAATAGCAATGTTTTAGGAAAGTTACCTACCGCGACTCGAATAGGGAAATTGCTTTTGTTTGTGGAAACACCACGTAAATTTATTACTGCAAGTAAATTAATAAATTTACGTGTTGTTTCCACAAACAAAAGTATTATTAATATGTTTTATCGCCATACAAACCTACAAAGAATTTAGGTAAATTGCTATTGGTGGATTTGGCAAATATGCAATACCCACGTGACGGTGAAGGACCAGATTTATGAATAAACATAACATAGATAATGAGTTACTGTATATTGTTATTCTAATGAGTTTCACAACAATCTTCCCTTCGATAGGCTATGATGTGACCAAGATGCATATTGAACTTGAGGTGTTGCTGATCCAGTGGTCAGGGCATGTCTTTCATCTCTGTGACTAAGGTTTGATTCCTGCATTATACAGTTGTCTCATTATAATTTCACCTCAGTCACATGTGAGAAGAGTGCTTCCAGTTTGACTCTACCAAACACCACACGTTTTCTCCTGGTAATCCTGTAGTAACACTGGTCCTTACTGGACCTCTGGGAAGAACAGTACAGATATGATAGAGTTATTCAGAATAAAAAACCTAAAACGTAACCCTACCTTTTCCAACTCACGTTTGATATGTCCAGGGGAAAACTGGGCTACATATCCAATGCGCGGTTTGGCGTCGATTGCGACTACCTCTGTGTGGAGACGGCCCCAACTATCTCTGAAACAAAAACCCAGAATGTATTTGTATGGCACGTCTGCGGAGGGGGTGCAAAGGGTACTTTTCCCCGCGTGGTCCCCAGTTTAAAAGCCCCCCCCCCCAGCAACGAAGTCCCTTCAAATTTTATGATACAAGATTATAATAGAATATAAATCGTAGCTGCGTTTTAAAGAGTAATTCTTTACACTTTAAAAATGGTGTAGGAAATCTTCCCAGTTAAGTCTAAATAAAATACTTTTGAATTACATAGACATAAGTGACATACCTGGGGGTTTGGTCGACATGATTCCCTGCCCACTGAAAGCTTGCAGCGTAACCAGCATAATCACTGAACCTTTCTGCTCCAGTAACAATCAAACATTCATTATCCTGTAACCTCTCAGTCAACAACCTCGACACAATCAGTTCAGGACAGATTGCAAACCTTATTTCCTCTTGTACACATCCCTGTAATGGTTTGATAAAAAATCGTCAATAGACCGTTTTAAAAAGTCTGCCTTGTGACGTAGTTTGCAGATAAAGGAAAACCCCGCATAGCCATTTGGCTTGGCTTCGGTTACGACTATTTTTGAGATTAGTTTTAGCTATAAAAACTGACCTCGCCTAGCACACCACCACCAATCATTTGGTTTGCAAAATCAACCTGATAGATAAGAAAAGTATACTGTATATTATTAAAATCAAGTTTCTTTTAGAGTTTATAACTTACAGCTCTACTATAGTGTCTTCTGTCTTCAATCTTACTTTTACTACCTGCATTATTGTTATCCTCATCCAATGTTAATAGTCAACATTGATGAAAACACGAAGGTACTCAAACATTCTGACTGTAACGGCTATGGAAAGGTATGTTCATAGTGAATGTGGAAAATACTGTGAGTGAATGTGGAGAGTATTGTGGTGAATGGGGAGAGTATCGTGGTGAATATTATGCTGAATGTGGTGATTAGTAAATAGTATATAAATATTCTTCTCTGAATCAGAGACTTGTCTATCACTGGTATAAAGACGTACTATAGTCCTTACTAACCTGTAAAAGTCCTGGGGCATCGTCTTCTATAGTCCCATCGCTTGATACACGTAGACGACACAATCTTGTCTGAGAACTAAATAAGGTAAGGAAAGTGAGGAGCTTGTTTCCTCCAGTAGGAGGTCCAGAACACAATAATTATTCCCAACGCACCTATTCCATTTAGGAGCTTCATCAGGCTTCAAAACTTGTCTCTTGAACGAAATTGTTCCGTGAGGCGCTGAAGAAACAATAGATGTAGACAGATTTAGATCGAGGACTTCTGACGCGGACGTCAAAGACGACGTGAAAATGGCGTGTTGTGCCCATGGATGGATATGCCACGCCATTTTGACGCCATTTTCACGTCGTCTTTGACGTCCGCGTCCTCGATCTAAATCTGTCTAATGACACAAAGAACACTAAACAATGGTTGACTGAAAATAAAAATAATTCGAAAACTGGGCTAATTTTTTCATTAATTTTATAAAGGCTGGATAGCTCTATTAGTCCCAAATTTCTCTCCCTAGACATAGTGTTACTGCAGAGGGAAACAGGAAAAAACCCAGGGAGTTAAACATTAAGCAGTCTTCCAACATACAACAAATGTGAGAATATATTCAGACCACAGCATATTGCAGGAATCAAACCTCAGTCACAGAGATAAAAGACACATTTAACCAATGTAATAATACTGCACAAAACTGTGTGGTCAAAACTGTGTACAAACCGTACGTTGTTGTAGGACTCTTTTGAAGTAATGTAAAATGCATTTCAATTTCTCCATTTTCTTTAAACTTGGACGTTTGCTATCATCGAGTTGAAACAGCCTAGAAAGGGTTAGTGGGAACAGCTTAAAACTGATGAAGTACATTATAAATATAGTTAGTTACACTTAACATTACGTCATTGCCATACAAAGCATTACATCATTTACCTATAAAACATTACGTCATTTACCTGGCAAAGTTCATTGGGGGAAAATTATAAAATTCGTCATTCCTATTTCGGCGGCCGCCTGGATTACGTTTTGGGAAGACAGACAGAAAGCCACAAGCCAGTAAGCAAGCTGCCTAGATAAAATAAAGTAAACGAGAATGTATGAAATACAGACAATGTTAGTAAGAATAAACATCATTTTCTCACTCTGATAACTGCAGGTTGGCCACCATCTGCATGCTGCTAGATAGTGCTTAGTGACACCTACAAACACTGAAAGAATTCTACTACAGTTTGAATTAGAAAATGAATGAAATATAATTTTGTACCTGCTGTTGAGACATTGTGATGATGTGCTCTTTCTGCTGGCTCAGAAAAGGAATAGACTGAAAAATAAATAGTTTATACTGAAATCTGCAAACAGAGGCTGTTGTTCTGACAACGTAAGCAAAATGAAAAGAAGGTAACTAAGCATTTAAAATGAGATAATTTGTTGCCAACGGGCATAAGCATGCGTTTGCTAAATACGTATATTACTGCATTACCTGAGTGCAAGTCTGGGGCAAAGCTAACGCCATTTGAATAATTCCAGGCAAAGTAAATTCAATAAACTCTTTGTGTTCTTCCGGAGTGATATTCTAAAAACACGAAATGCATATTATCTAAACTAACTTTATTTATACTGTACATACAAGTTATATACAAGTGTTAGAAATAAAGGAATTTTATCATTATTTATACTGAAAATAGAGCTCAGTTCCAATGTAGGAAATTTAAGTTTACCTCTAGTAATAATATATGTAAAAGTTTAAAATTGAAATTTCTAGCGTGGTACGAAAGAATAGCGTTCTAAAGACGAGAAAAAATGTTTGCACAATGAATGAATAGGTCAGAAAAAAACCATCAGCATCGCGATGACATGATCATTACCAATCGTCATCATTATCATCAACAATAATCATCATCATCACCATTATCATCAACAATAATCATCATTATCAGTCATCAACAATCGTCACCACCATCATCATCATCATCATCATTAACAATCATCATCACCACCATTATCATCAACAATCATCATCACCACATTATCATCAACAATCATAATCACCATTATCACCAACAATCATAATCACCATTATCACCAACAATCATAATCACCATTATCATCAACAATCATCATCACCATTATCATCAACAATCATATCACCATCACCATTATCATCAACAACCATAATCACCATCAACAATCGTCAACATCATCATCACCATCAACAATCATCATTATCACCACCATCATCATCAACATCAACAATCATCATTATCACCACCATCATCATCAACATCAACAATCATCATTATCACCACCATCAACATCAACAATCATCATTATCACCACCATCAACATCAACAATCATCATTATTACTACCATCATCATCAACATCAACAATCATCATCATCATTATCATTGTTACCACTAATTTTACCTCAAGATCATAAGATGTAGCCATGGGTTTGTTAAATGCACGACAAATTAACTCCCAACGACTCACTAGCTTCTTTTCTTCAGCCTGGGCGGGGAATTTATTCTGTTGAGAACAGGGCATGCGCACATGGTCGTGATCCCATTTATCTCTAAATTTCACAGAAAAAAGGAAATAGAGAATAAAGGCCACAGAAAATAAACATACAATACAGAAGTTTAATTTCAAAGAAACCCGAAGTTTACCTGTACGAGCGTGGGTAGGGCTGCGATGGATGATAAGGCTAAATAAGATATAAGAGTGAAACATTTTGACCAGAATTTCAATCAATTCAACCATGCCTTATCGAAGAATGTGAATACTGCATGTTACCCAATACCCATATTATGTTCCAGTTAATTATACGTACCCTAAATAAGATGGTATGTGTTTGACTTGGAGTTAATGATTGTTGAGGACCACAACATCCAGGTGCTCGAAGCAGTGTGTCAAACTCTACTCCCTAAAAATAATTGACAGAGCTTATAAGAGACCAGGTGCTATTTCTAGGAGGCAACAATCCATGCTGATCTTACAGAGATCATATCTATGTTGATCTGAAATATGTGGCATACTTACAAGTCTAACAGGCTCGATATTCTCTCCATGGTTTTCTTCTTCAAGTAACCTAAAGAGTTTTAACTTCAATTTCAGCTAAAATTAAGCTAAATAATATCATAGCTACCCCGCGAGGGACGATTAATGACTCATTTACCTCATTGCTAAAACACGAGGGACGATTAGAAACTAATCATCCCACGGAACGATTATTTACTAATAAATTGTCCCTCATCTTTATGCATAACCTCTCATATTGATGTTCAAAAAGACATGAAACATCAACCGTAACCTCATTAACGAACATCCCAATAGTCATTGGTATCAAAAAAGCAAACGCGCCTTTTCATTTCAACTTATTCAATCGAATGAAACTGTTTTATTATCTCGGTAGCTATGATTAGGCGTAAAAAAAATACCTGTGGTTCCGGTTTAATATCGCGAAAAAAATAGGGTCGGTAGGTCGGAAATAATTTTTTTTTTGAATATTTTTTTCATGGTTTTTTCAATAATTTGTGTGACAACAGACGCCATTTTGGCAGCAACCCGCAACCACCCAGAGAAAATAGGGTCGCACGGTCAATCGAGTTAAAAAAATAATAGGGTCGACAGAAAAAAATAGGGTCTGTCGGGAACCGAAACCACAGGGGTTTTTTTACGCCTTAGAAAGTGATAGCATGATATTATAATCGATTAGTGATGAAATGTCCCTCAAGTCTCGAGGGTACATTTAATCACTAATTGCCCTGAATGACATGCTATTACTTATAATAATAAAAGTCTGCAGCATTAGCTGGGGGTAAAATAAAATACTTGAATCAAGTTTTTCATATAACCTAAAAATCACATACAATTCATAATTTTGTGTTTCATCATCGCTTTCATTCTTTCTTTCTTTGTCTTCCTTGAATGACATCTCTCCTTCCGCATCATTTCCCTTGGACAACCTCCTTTTATCCTTATCGTCTTTTTCTGCCCGAGATGACTTCGTTTCTCTACCCTCTTTGTTCTCATCTTGATCTGCTACGAATTTAAATTCCATGCTTACCCTAGATACGACTGTAATTTCGATGTTTCCCCTAGGTTCCCCTCTATCCTCGTTATCATTATCTGATACGCATATAATTTCCCTACGTGCCCCAGGCAATTCCCTATTGTCTTCATTCCTTGCTTTCCCTCCATCCTGGAACAAATGATCTTGATCTCCTCCCCGTATTTCCACATTTGCCCGAGATGTCTCTCCAGTATCCCTATTTTCATTCCTCATTTCTACTCTTGCATCAGAAGACTCCTCTGGATCTTCACAATTTCTTCCTTGCATCTTTGCCTTAATCAACTTGATGTCTTTTTCTCTAATAAATATTTCCACACTTGTTTTAGAGGACTTCATCTCATTCACATCACCAGTTCTTGTGTCTGTACCTTCCGCAGACAACTGCACCTTGTCTTTTCTTTTCATTTCAATGGTCATTTCCTTGAGGCATTCTTCCAATTCCTTCACTTTGGCTTTTCGTCTTTCTTGCACTTCCTTGCTTTCCAGATTCAACCACACATGCCAAATTATATCTCGTCTGGTTTCCTCGTCATCAAGATCTAAATTATCTTTATCTTTTGTGTTTATGTTCATCACAAATGATATGCCCTTTCCCCCACTTGCTTCAGACAGCTCCTCGTCATTTTCCACCAGATTGTTTGTTCCTAACTTTACCATGATGACAGGTATCTCCCTATCTTTCTTGGGAATTTCAAAGTTTGAATCTGATGAACAAACATCAATATTCTCAGAGTAAGGTGTCGACTCTTGTGAACTTTCAATGACTATTGTCTCAACAGTTGTCTCAGATGACTTCTCTTCAACTTTTTTTCTTTCGTGATTTGCCTCGGACAGTGATTCATCTTTAGTTTGCTCATACTCATGATTTTTTGGTTCCCTGCTTGCCTATGATAAATTTTTAAGAAAATTGATATTTTACTGAGTCTACATGTCAGTAACACTAGAAAGTGATTTTTCATATGTCATGAAGAGAAATTGGTGGAAGTTAATGGGTTAACAATTTAAGCGGCAATGTCCCATTGGTAGGGCAGGAAAAAAGAATTTTCTTCTGGAGACAAAAATTTTGACAATCAAAAATCAGAAAATAAAAATATAGATAATTCTACCAATTCAAATACTACCAATAAGACAAAAATTGGCCCGATTATCGGTCAATCATTACCTCTTGTGCGTCATCACTCTCTGATGAAGAAAATTCTTCAATTTCATCAATACTTGCTTCTGGCAACTTTCCTGATTGATTTTGTTTGTTATCATTTGACCCTGGTGCCTTCACCTCATTCTCTTCACTTGAGTATACTTCAACTACATCTAAAACATGCAGACAAATCTATTTCACTACATTGGTTTCGCCATTAAGTGGCTGCACTCTCCCTCTGACAAGTAAAATTGCCTGGTGTTAAATGATAATGTAGGGAGCTTTGGGGCGCAATGTTAACTAGACACATATGGGCAGTTGATTAATTGCCGAGGCAAATTACAGACGCTGTGGGCAGATAGCCTTAATTAACCCATTGAGTGCTAGCACCTTTCCCATGATAATTAAGTTAACCTATTGAGCTGCAATGTGCTCCAGTGCGCCCTACTTTTTTTTTACTTGTCTAACTCCAGATGATTTTACTCATCAATGGGGAAGCTCTGCAGCTTAATGGGTTAACCAAAAATCTGACAATGTCTCTAGTTAACCCATTGAGCCGCAATGCGCCCCAGTGCGCCCTACTTTTTTTTTACTTGTCTAACGCCAGATGATTTTACTTGTCAATGGGAAAGCTCTGCAGCTTATGGGTTATAAGTCTGTCTGGCATTAGACAGAATAAAATAGTAAAGTAGGGTTCATTAAAGCATGGTTCACACTAGGAATTTTGTCGGCGATTTTGTGTTTCTGACAAATGGAAATGAGTGAACTCGCACACAAAAGTATAGAGTCACTTTTCAGAAGTAAACAATTCTAAGTCTTTTGCAATATGTCATTCATTCAATCACATTTGCGAGGAGAAAAATCGCCGACGGAATTGCCAGTGTGAACCTGGCTTAAGGCACCCGACCACATCTGAGATGCACAGTTGTTTACAGATATAGGCTGATTGTTGGTGCCACAGTGGTTAATGCATATTGTCTTTCATTTCAGAGACTGCTCGGGTTTGTTCCTTGGTTTGATTCCTGCAATATCCAGTTGTCTCATTATAATTTCACCTCAGTCACATGTGAGAAGAGTGCTTGTAGTTTGCCTCTACCACACACCGTAAAAATTCTGCAATGCGGAGCAGGAAAATGTGGTGATGAACTTCATATTAAATGTTGACACTTTATACAGAGGAGCAAATATTACAAGGCTAGTTTATAGTACAGTATAATGCAAAGCAATTGCAAAATTATCTCATTCTGATAACTGCAAATTGACCCCCATCTGCTAGTCCATAGCCTTACTATAATACATCTTTACTGTACATACACACAAGTAACAATTACAGTACATAAACAACAATTAAACAATGAAATAAAACTCCAACCTGTCATTGTTGACATTGTTGAGCTGCCTTCTCTGGACGAAGTAAGAGGCCTCTGTCTTTTAAAAATCTCATCTAAAGTAGTTTGAATCTGCCTCTTCCGTTTTCCACGTTTCACATTAAGCATGGTATTCAGATCATCATTCCATGAAGAAAATTTTGAAGTTTCTTTTTCGAAAAACAGCTTTTGCTTACATTTTGACAAATGGCGGAAGACTGTAAAATTCCATCGTCCAAAATGAGCTCATTAATAATCACTTAAGGCGGCTCTGTGCGGGTTTTTGTTGTAATTTTATTTGTCCATTGAATGGGAGTTTTCTATCTCGTTATTGGTTGTTCGTATCGATAGATCCAGAGTCATGATTGGTTAGTTTAGTCTGTTTTCTATTGGTTAGCTGGAAATCTTGCTGATTTAATGAGAGAAACTTAAGGTAGCTCTGTACAGCTTTTTACAATATGCGCACAATCGCAGTATCTTCCGTTTGCGTGACTTTCATTTTAGCCATAACACGTGACCCGGACGCTACTAAATGAAACGCTACCTCTCAATCAAATTTAATCATACTCAAAGCGGCTAAGACAACTGAAGATCCATAAAAAGATTTGTTTTACGCAAATTCTCTAATTCAAAAGAACGTTCGTTGAAGTACCTTATTAATTGCAATATAGTTTCTTCGTTTGGTGGTCTAAAATCAGGTAAAGCTACGTAATTTACACACAACGATTAATCGGGCCGATTTCAGGTTTTGCTGAATGTTAATAACGAATGTTGTCAGTTGACGATGTCGTCAGATGACGTTGACAGTGTATTGTTCAGTATCGTTTACTTTAAGCTAAATCGACCCGATTAATCGTTGTGTGCCAAACAGGCGTTAATTAAGACAACTGTGGTCAATTGTAAATATGATATCAGCGCCTTACTAGCTAGATTATTACTTTCACTGATATAAGGTTTTGGATTTATGGATAATTTTTTTCAAGATGAAAACACATTCCGAATATTGACATGTTGTAAATTCAAGATTCGAGCGATAATGACGCCCAAAGCTGGAAAACTCTTTTTGAATGCGGTCGGTCGCATGCGTGGGGCAATTTTTAGCAACTATTCGCAATGCAAATGATGTTTAATTTATGAAATTTGCCGGCTTGTCAAATTGGCAATGACTATAATATTGGCAATATTGATAAGTTGATCGATGTAAGCGTCGTGCATATTTTCCGCGGCAAAAGAAACCGAAAACTAAATAGTAAACGAAAATGAATCATGCACACACCGGGCTAATATTGTATGTTTTTATGGGAAATTAAAATAGGAATATAGTTACTGCAAAAAGTGATTTGAACGGTTATAAGTATACTTTGTACCAGTGTGTGGCACTCCTGATAAAGAGAATGTAATGCGACTTGCTCCGATGAGCGTGATATAATTTACCGTCATTCAATAATTAATTCATATTGCAATAGAAAGATTTTTTAATTATTATGGATCATAGATAAGGCGTCCATTTGTGCGTTCAATAAGTAGACAATAACATAGATAACAAAACGATGCATTAAAAATAATTAGTTCAAATGAAAAACGCTACTTATTTCATTCCTTTCACGTTTTTTGACTCATTGATGACATGCAACAGTCGCAAGCTAATTGAAAGTAATTTAAAAGCACGAAAGATAGAACCTTGGCTTTCTACTGAAAAAAGACAGCAAAATATTGAAGACGTCGAAATTCTCCTTAATTATATATTTTCAGGTAATTGCATCCCTACTAACGAAATCTTGTTCTTGTTCATCTCTTTTTTAGCCGTTTTTGAGGTATGAATGTAGTCTGTAGAAGAAACAGTTAATCAATATTATATGCATTGATATTTTCAGCCAAAACGATGAAAACGAAAGCCATTGTAGCCCTCATTCTGTACCTTCTCGGTATATTTGTTGAAACAGACAAAACAAGAGCTGAGCAGTCCGGAATTGGTAAGCAATGGGCGAAGCTTGAGTGGGGTATGGGGGGGAGAGGTGGCACCCCCCCCCCACCCTATCTCCCCCCCCCCCGCAAAAAAAACAATTGGCAGGGCAATCAAAATGCGGAAAATTCCAATAAAATTAAATAAATGAATTATGAGTACAATTTTAAATGATAGAATGTAGAGTTATCACAGCTAGCAAACAATAAGTAGTTCATATGCATGTACATTGGCATCGGCAGTTCAATTATACATGTAGCTTAGTATTGTATTGTATTAGCGCTGGCGCTGCAGGGCATCATTGTTTTTGGCAGGGCAATTCTGCCAGACACCCCCCTAATTAAAAGGGGCTAGTTTCGCCCCTGATAAACGTTTTCGTAATGATCAGTGTGAATTTGAGTGGTGTTTTGTTTTGGTTATAGAAAAACCGCTAAAAGTTTCCCCTCTTCGCCCCTTAGTCTTTTCCTGAGACACATCCAGTGTTTTTCATTTTACTAAAATAAAGTTTTAATCTTTAGACTCGTAGTTTAGGTTGTTTTAATCTCAGAAAGATTGAAAAGACAAAACAGTGAAAAACGTTCAATGATAAACTGCAAGGCAGTTGTCGCATTTAAAAATGTTTCATTCCCCAATAAGTTAATGTATTTTAAAGATAAGGAAAGTTGCAACTGTGGCAACATATTGTAATTTATATTTATACTTGCACTAGACGCACTGATAAGCTTCAAAAATGACAGTGTACAAGGACGGTGCAATACATTATGAGATTTTATAATTTAAATACAGAGATATGATCTTGTATTTTCAATTTAGCAGCAAATTGTTTTTATATTAGTTTTGTCAAACTCCAAATATACGTCAAACGAACCAATTTCGGTTCGTGCACTTTAATTAATCTTGTAGAATAAGGTGGGCTGAGTCACGACTTGCATTCAGGTGCAACTGAGTTAGAGTTCCAGCAAGACCTATTCCATTTTGATTCAATGTTACTACAGGAAGAAACCTAAACTAACTTTATTTATACTGGATAGCAATAGCATGTCTATCAGTTCTAAACTGTTCTAAACCTAGAGGTCCAGTAAGGATCATCTCTTATTGATCCAGTGTTACTACAGGAGTAAACCTAAACTAAACTAACTTGATTACTTTTCATTTTTTGAATTGTTCTTGCGCCCTTGTCAATATTGCACTTTCTGTTGTCAAAGAAAATCCTACTAAAAATGCCAGTCATTTTTGTCACTCCTGAAAACTGCCAATTTTTTTTTGTATTATTTCTGCTGGAAATTGCAGTATCTTATTGGCTATCTTTGTGATTGTTTCATAATCTTAAACCAATCAGAAAGCCTAAATAGTCAATAACATTTGCACTGTATTTCACTTCTTGGCACTGCATTTCGGAAAAATTGCACTGACTTTAGCCAATCAGAATTGAGAAAGTTTTCATGTATATTACTATTCCTCTTACAGAAATTCTATACCAAACTGTGCTACAAGAATATCATTCAATGTTAAGTCAGATACGTCCACCTATCCCAATTGCTGATATTAAAAACTGTCAAAATTCATGTAATGAAAGTACTGTCAGAAGATCAGGTGATGAGTGCCACTGCGATCAACATTGCGTTGCGTTCAGAGATTGTTGTTTGGATTATTGGCAAAGGTTTGGACAAAATTCTTGTCTGTTTTGTTTTCCCGTACAGAGGTCAGGATTTCTTGTAAATCTTCTTCATGTATCTTAATCTTATTCTCTTTCTTTCATCTTGCGTGCGTCCAGTTTTTGTTAATTCTATTCTCCACGTACTTCTTTGTTCTCTTCTGCATATTTTCTTTTTATTTAAAGATCGATTGAGCTTTCTTATGTGTTGTCTCCACGTAAATCAGTCTCTAGCTCTTGCATCGTAACTTTTATGGAATCTTTTTAATAGGCAATTCCCGTTATAGACTAATTTTTATCTTGGTAAAAAAGTATATTCCCGAAAAGAGCATACTAAAATGAGTAAAATTGCAAAGTTTGGTTGTGAAATGTTGTAAAATGTGGAAAATATAGCCTTGCAAAGTTCGCAAATTTTGTATACGTTTGTATTGCGTGCGGAAATCGCTGCCACATTTGGGCCGAAAATGGTAGCAATTTCCGTATTCATTTTAGTATGCTCTTTCTAGCTGTGGTGATTTATTTACATCTCCTTGTCTAGTTTTGTCTGTCGCATCTCTCTATCACCTCCTCTGTCTTTCTTCTGGATCTTTTCTCTTACAGGTTCATGTTCTTTCCATGTTCTTTATTTAACTTTCTATCATCCATTCTTATCAAATGTTCAAACCATCTCATTATTCCTTCTACTTTCTGGAATATATGTCTTCTACTCGAGCTCTTCTAGTCTTGTATCCTTCGTAACAGTTTCATTATTTTATTATTTTCGTTTGTTTCTCAAATGTTTTTTCCATTTCTTGTATTCTCTAGTTGTAATGCCTCGTTCCTCGACGCATTTAACCACACCCAACAATTTGAATGTTTGGAATCGTCACTAAAACTATCCAACCGTTTAGAAAGTATAAAAAAATCCGGTTTCCAAGTGGTTACCAAATGCCCCGGAACATTCCAAAATCCAGAGCTGAAGCGGAGATGCGAGAATCCAGAGTCCAGCCCTTTTGTAGAAGGAAACGATAATAAAACGTACAGAAATGTGGAATGCGCGCTCTGTAATGGGATTGGAACCTGGACGATTTGGAATACAAATTTGAGTTGTCCCATACCAACTTTCTTGCTTATACAGGAACGGCTTGAAAGCAAGAATTTTAGCTTTAGCTTCACAGAGAGAGAAATGATCCGAAATAACTGTAAAATTGAAATAATCCCACCAAACAATACAACGGGTTTTGATTGCAGAGTGGTTTCGGAGTGTCAGGACAAAACTAATCCAGACTACTTAAAATGTGCCGTTTATAAACAACAAATTTATTCGTACATTCTAAAATGGTCTGCAGTCCGGAACCCACATTGCGCCAGATGTGATGGAGCCCCTCTTTATCTTCTCTCTTTAATAGATGAATTCAGTTCGACTGGAACCGGGAACTCGCTTACAATTTTATTTGACTTTTCAAAAGCGTCTCAAATTTATGGAATAGATGACACTCACACCTGCCCGAAAGGTGAACTGTACGATTTTCAATTAAACTCCTGCAGGGAACAACGAATAAAACTGAGCAAAATTACTCGAGCAATGAATTGGACTTGTCCATTTCAGAATGAAACGTTCCCTAATTCGTCAGCTTATATTGTTGTGTATGAAAACAGTTCCATTTTTGTTCCAGCTCACAGACAAATTTATGAACCAAAAGATTATTATTGGGATAAGAGGAATGTCACTGTTTGTGGACACTTTACAAAACAATTCCCAAAGTTAACCGGAAGCTCAAAAGTTCGCCTCTATTCTAAAACTGAATTTAATTTAACTGTAGTCGGTTATGTGTTATCAATCTTAGCTCTACTCCTTGTCCTGCTTACTTATTCTTTATTCAACGAGTTACGAACCCTACCTGGGAAAATTACAATGAATCTTTCCGTGGCTCTCCTACTGAGTCAAGCTGTATTTCTGGTTGATATGTTTGAAGAGTTCTCTGGCGAAGTTTGTAAAGGAATCGCCATTGTACTTCATTATTTGTATTTGTCTTCGTTTTGTTGGATGAGTGTTCTTGCTCTTGATGTCGCCAAAACGTTTTCGTCAAAAGGTGAGTAAAGAACTCAAAAATATTTCAAATATCATTACTTAGAGGTAGAACACCATCCTTTATTGATCTAGTGTTACTACAGGAGGAAACCTGAACTAAACTAACTTTATTTATACTGGATAGCTCTACCAGTTCTAAACTGTTCTTCCTAGAGGCCCAGTAAATATCATCTCTTATTGATCCAGTGTTACTAGTACAGGAGGAAACCTAACCTAAACTAATTTTATTTATACTGGATAGCTCAATTTATCAATATAGTGTTTGTGAGATATTAAATATATTTTGTTTAACCTATATATAGGACGTCGCTCGCAACCGGACTCACAGAAACGAGCATTCCTTCTCCGTTCTTTTTACGCATGGGTTTTACCCCTTCTTCTGGTTATGATAGCATTGAGTATTGATAGTTCAGGAGCTATGGATGTCGGCTATGGTAGGTGGAACTCAGGGGTCATCGGCCTAAAACTTAAAATAGGCAGTTCTTAGAAATTGAGTTTTCGAGATTTACAGTATATGAAAATTAGCTATAAATTAAGCTGCCAGACAGATATAGTTAAGATAAAAGCAAATTAAACAGCAAAAGTCAAAATCAATCCTTATACTTTTATCTTTTCAAACAGGGAATGCTCAGTACTGCTGGATAACAAATCCTTGGGCGCTGGCGATATTCTTTGTTGTTCCAGTTGCGTTGATATTGCTTTTCAACATCATTGCATTGGCCCTAGTTTTAGTTTCCATTCGACAAGAACGTAATGTATGTTAGTTTAGTTTAGTTTAGGTTTCTTCCTGTAGTAACACTGGATTAATAAGAAATGATCTTTACTTACTAGGCCTCTAGGAAGAACAGTTTAGAACTGATAGAGCTATCCAGTATAAATAAAGTTAGTTTAGTTTAGTTTAGGCTTCCTCCTGTAGTAACACTGAATCATTAAGGGATGATCCCTATTGGACCTTTAGGAAGAACAGTTTGGAACTGATAGAGCCATCCGGTATAAATAAAGTTAGTTTAGTTTAGGTTTCTTCCTGTAGTAACACTGGATTAATAAGAGATGATCTTTACTTACTGGGCCTCTAGGTACAACAGTTTAAATAAAGTTAGTTTAGCTTAGGTTTCCTCCTGTAGTAACACTGGATCAATAAGAGATGATCCTTACTGGACCTCTAGGGAGAACAGTTAAGATCTGATAGAGCTATCCGGTATAAATAATTAAAGTTAGTTTAATTTAGTTTAGGTTTCCTACTGTAGTAACACTGGGTCAATAAGGAATGATCCTTACTGAACCTCCAGGGAGAACAGTTTAGAACTGATAATGTTTGCTTATGGATGCTTTTAGATAACAAAGAAGATGATAAACAAGCGAACAACGAAACAAGATTTCAGCATCTGTTGGAAACTTACAACCGTTTTAGGATTGACATGGATTCTGGGACTCGGGGCACCATACCATATTGTCTTGCGTATTATGTTTATCTTATGCAACTCCTTGCAAGGTATACATATAAGGTCTATCATTTCTAAACTATTTTTCATGGAGATCAAGTATTAATGAAACTAACTTCATTTATACTGGATAGCTCTATCAATTCTAAACAGCTCTGGAATCCTTTTAATATCTTTTTTCATTTAACTCAGGGTTGTTTCTCATGGCCGGGTTTATCTTGACAAGGCGTACCTTAAATTTGTATCTGCGCATGGCAGGATTGGGAACGATGACGTCACGAACCGTGGCAACACGAAGCACAATTAGTAGTAACAGAACCCGACGGCGGAGTAACAGCAGTGTTGCAAAGGCCTGGGTCACGACTAAAGCAGTCACGAAACAACAAGGCGTGCCCGAGAGATTGGAGAAAATTCAGACCATTAAGCCATCTTCTGAACTCCCAGGGTCTGTTGAAATGAAAATGGTAAATACGGATTTATAACACTTGTAGGGCAAAATGTCCTCGTGCCCGCCCCCCCCCCCCGTCTTGAGGGCACTAGAGACTTTGGCCTACAACAGCCATATTTCCATCACTGTTGGGAGTGCCGTTAATTTCACATAATTTCTGTTTTATTGTTATAAATATCAGTTGATATGTGGGGATGTATTTAAACATATTGAATACATCATAACTGTTCTATTTGAAATTTCAATTAAATGGGAGGGGAAAGATGCCTTGCCTCTTCAATGAACAGTTTACGTTTACTATTTAAGATTGCTGCAATTGGTGAAACTAAAATAAAATAAATAATTCATCCATTGAAGAAAACAATTTCTTTGACATGTGTGAGTACAGATGAGAACTCACATTCTGATAGAAAGGGAAATCGTTTCCTTTAGTAATCAGTACAAATATACTAAATAATATATACAAATATATAATAATACGGTATATAATAATATACAGTAGTTTCATGCTGATTCCAATTGTGTTGTTAAAATTATTTTGCTTTGCATGAGGTTAAATAAATCTGAGGTGGGGTGGGTTCCAGTGTTCTGACGAAAAGGCCTTCGTGTTCGCTCCAAAGCTGAAGTGTTTTTAATCTTTTCAAACGTTTTCAAACGCAAAACCACAAAAAACCTATACAGTGTAACTGGTCTCCACTATATTTGTGGTCTCGTGTAGGAGACAAGATGCCTGCCCTATAATCAAGGGTTTTCAATACTTTATTCAATACTCAGACTGTATATTGTTTGAAAAAACAATGCGATAATTACAATCTTCTCTTCAAACTGTGGCCAACCGTTTCTCGTTGTCTGATTGCTTCCTACGTCATTTCGTTTCACTGCCAGCATTAAAGACCCATCCCTAATACCTTATACAAGTAGAAAACCCATAATTTTCGCAGAAGCAGTCTAAACGCAAACAGTTTATTGATCTAGTGTCACTCACAGGGCTTTGGCGGTTGTATTTTGACGTAATATTGGCTCAACAATGGTGTCAAGTGTCACTTTACCACTCACACATGTAGTAAAGAATTTCGGCGGATATCAGCCATACCTACGAGTTAACAATATAAGCAGGTCATCAATTGAGGCTCCCCGTTGTTTTATTGAAAATTACATTTATATAAACATTGAATTGCTGAGAAGTGAATAATTAATCAGTGAAGTATACCTCTCATTTTGTGGAGTTTAATAAATCTGGTGGCTGATACAGTGTCTTGCGTTCAACAAATATTTGATTTGGTTTGACTAAACTACGTTAATTTTTAAATTTGGTCCGTGGTTATATGTCTAGTAAAGTTGAATCATAAACAAAAAGGCAATTTGGAGAGATATCAGTGAATGACCCTAAGGTAAGCATTGTAAGTGTGATCGTTGATAAATCTTTCAACAGTTATATAAGTGTGTAGGTTTATGGCAATTCCCGCTAGTCTAAACTTCAAACTGTTGGTTCTCAGTGTAGGTAGTGGTCTCGACACTAGCCTAAATAAACTTCAAATTGTAGCTAGTTGTTGGTTCTCAGTGTAGGTAGTGGTCTTGAAATACACGTCCTTTGTGACAGATTCTCACTAGCCTAAACAAACTTCAAATTGTTGGTTCTCAGTGTACATAGTGGTCTTGAAATACACGTACTTTTTGGTAAATTCTCACTAGTCTAAACCTCAAAATGTTGGTTCGTAATGTAGGTATATAGTGGTCTTGAAATACACGTCCTTTGTGGTAGATTTTCACTAGTCTAAATCTCAAAATATTGGTTCGTAATGTAGGTATAGTGGTTATGAAATATACGTCCTTTGTGGTAGATTAATTTCCACTAGTCTAAACTTCAAACTGTGGTTCAAATTTTCATATAAAATGCGAATTACAAAATTGTGAAGTTTGGTTTAATGCAAATTTACTGAGAGGAAACAGATCCATATTTTGACCTCCAAAAGTAACACTATAGAGTACTCTCAACTTTCAGCACATTTCTAACCCACCCTTGGCCTTTTCTTACGAAAGCACTTATACTGATCTGTTAAATCTTTAAAACAAATATTTCAGGGAAAGCTCGAAGCAAGCTTAGTACAAAATACCAGCACAGAACTCTTAGAAATGTCACTTCTAAATATTTTAAAATTAGCCAAACGGACTTCCGAAACAATAATCTTATTAAATATATTTCCTATTCCTGTGCGCAATCATTATCGTTTTCATTATTTTTCCGATATTTCTAGAATATTTTTGTAATTTGAACTTTTCATGGATTAATTGGGATCTTATCAGTCACAGCTGAGTCATTTGACCGAGTCACTCTCTTCCGCAAATTAGGCTTAGTCGGCGTGTTTAAAATAGTACATAACTTGCCATCGTGTTTAACGTCTTTGTGGAGGAGAGCGTGACGGATTATATCAGATATGAAAACGCATTATACGCGTTGTACAAATGTACATAGCCTACATACTCGCTTCCTTGTTATTTTATATCAATCACGCTCGTAACTTTAGCGCGTATATTATGGAGAGTTGTAGAAAAAATATGTCAGTTAAATTAGCATATTTGACCCATTGAGTAGCAGCACTTTCTCTTCAACAAGTAAAATCGTCTGGCGTTGGACATGAAATAGTACAGTGGCAGTGCGCCCTGACGTGCCCTGCTTTATTAAATTAGCATAAACTGCACGATCATGGAGCGGTTTGGTACTGATCCTTCAAAAGATTAACTGAATCATCATAATGTATTTCGAGTGAAGAACCTTCACCTTTTTAGATAAAAACCACGCCAGTTTATTGTTTCGATATTGTTGTATACTGTACTAGACCTCCGCGCAATTTAAGACGACTAGATCGCACTAATTTTGCCAGACAACTTTAGAAATACGACCTATAGTTACATTTGTACTCTTAGAAAGAAGCATCTTGTATTTTTCAGCCCTTTCGCTTTATTCCTCCGTGTACAAGTTAAAGTAGCCCAGTGTAGTTTATGATTGGGGACAGGACGCTCAATATTGAGTCAACAGACACTCAACAGATACTTCAGATCGAATATTCCTATGTAAACAATTAACATTCTTCGCATGTTTTAATGACTCGCGTGTTTACATGCACGGATTAAATTATGACCTCTTAATGTGAAGTTATACCGCGCCAATATCGAGACAAATTTTAGGCAAATATCACACATCAGTAGGTTTAAGAGATAACGAAAATGCCGTGCAATATAATTTGCCTTCAAATGACGCATTTCTATCTAATTGAAAAAATACAAAAAATAATTAGGACCACATGCGACTACAAATAGAAAAAATAGTCACGATCTTTCTCAACGGCCAGTTTATAGTTTATACCTGCAAACCACATATAAATCATAAATATTCTCGAGTTATAATTCATAAGTATTCTTGCGTATTTTCAGTTCTAAAATGTTGTATTTCGGCTGATGAGAAAGATCGTGACTCAATCTTTGCGACAGTTATGATTATATGGAAACCAGGCTCTAAGAAGACCGAACTAAATTGAACATCTTTTTTGCCTTTCAAAACTGAAAGAGAACGCACGTTTTCTTATAATATAACATGTGCTTATAAACTTGTGTTTTCATTATTTGATAAGTGGTTTTAATCATTTTGCTTCCCATTATTATATAACGTTTGCGATAAGATCTTAATTAGTAAAAAAGCAGCTGAAATTGGTAAACTACAGTATAAAACGAGGAAAAGTATAGCATACCCTTGCAATTGCTCAGAAATGGAGCTGTTAACGGACGATTGACTGTTCTCACGCCTTGTTCAGACGTGCTGATAATTGATAAACCTCAAAAAAAACGCAAACTGACAGCAATTTAGTGTTTGTGTATCTAGCAATTCAAAAATCCTTGACTCTCGGTTGCCGCCTTGTGAATAATTTGAAGGTATCTCATTCCTAATTTTAACTCGTGATAATAAATTACTTTTAACTTTAATAATTCTTTCGACGCGCTAAACAATGGATCTATAGACATTATTTTGTATTTTTATCTCGAACTGACTCTTGGCAAACCCAAAACAAACTATTTGTGTTATAGGAACATTTTCTGCCAGCTTGGCTTAAATTAAAGATGTCTTTCACCTTTGTTTGGTGTTTGACAGCGATTCTTGCGACTCCAGTTTTGGCAGTGGGGGAGAACAGGTCCCAGTCCGGTAAGTACTCAATGTTTTGCTCAGTACTTAGCTAAACTGACTTTATTTTTACTGGATAGCTCTATCAGTTCGAAACTGTTCTCCCTATGGACGTCCAGTAAGGATCATCATCATTGTTAATCCAGTGTTACTACAGGAGGAAACCTAAACTTATTAACTAATTTCATTTATACTGGATGATAGCTTTGTCAGTTCTAAACTGTTCTCCCAGAGTTACAGCAAGAGTTCATCTCTTACTGATCCAGCATTAATAAAGGAGGAAACCTAAATAGCTATCTGGAAAGCTCTGACTATTAGTTCGATATGGTCGGTTATTGCACGAGGAAACCCAGGATGTTTGCCAGCTTATTGAAAATACCTATACTGGACCCTCATCTTCTCAGAGAGTTCAAACGCAAACCAAGGCAGCTTATCAGTTGTTCATTACTATAATATGTACACTGGACCCTCCACGTTTGAGATATGATAACTCTTCCATATTTATTTAAGATGGATTATACAGCACAATTCAACAAGAAAAACAGTCGATGATGATGTGGGTCCATGGTGTTGTGGCAGAACAAAAATCCTGCGGCAATTTATGTGGAGAAAGTTTATATAAACGAGATATAGCCGAATGTCATTGCGACGAACAATGTGTGGAGTTTGGTGACTGCTGTCTGGACTACTGGGAAAGGTAGGGTATTGATGGATTTTAGTGGACATATGGTAGCACTGCGTTTGACCCTATACCAAACATTGCAGGTCTTCTTCGGGTACTTTGGTCACAAATAAAAGGTGGTCGTCACTGGACCTCTAGGAAGAAAGGTTTAGAATTGACAAACTAGAACTATACAGACTAAACTAGTCCTGCAGTAACACTGAATCCAGCGTCATAGCTAGAAGATGGCTCTTTCTAGAATAAGAAATGACCTCAAAATTGAACAGTTTAGAACTGATAGAGCTATTAGAAATAAAGTTAGTTAGTTAGTTTAGGTTTCTTGCTGTTGTAACACTGGATCAATAAGAGATGATCCTTACTGAACCTCTAGGAAGAACAGTTTAGAACTGATAGAGTTGTGCAGTATAAATAAAGTTAGTTTAGTTTAGGTTTCCTCCTGTAGTAATACTGGATCAATAAGAGATGATCCTTACTGGACCTCTAGGAAGAACAGTTTAGAACTGATAGAACTATCCAGTATAAATAAAGTTAGTTTAGTTTAGGTTTCCTCCTGTAGTAACACTGGATCAATAAGAGATGATCCTTACTGGACCTCTAGGGAGAACAGTTTGGAACTAGAGCTATCCAGTATAAATAAAGTAAGTTTAGTTTAGGTTTCCTCCTGTAGTAACACTGGATCAATAAGAGATGATCCTTACTGGACCTCTAGGGAGAACAGTTTGGAACTGGAGGTAGAGCTATCCAGTATAAATAAAGTAAGTTGTTTAATTTAGATTTATCATTTTACCTTTTCCGCAGGTGTAATGCTTCGTTTACCAAAACTTATAAACAAGAACGAATCTTTGAATGTGTCCGGCGAAAACTCCGCCTTTCTACCAACTGGACAGGACAGGCCGAAAACCGAAGAGATCTTGGTTACGAAAACGTGATAAAATGCCCAGAAACGTTTCAAAACTTGAGATTAAAAAACGCTTGTGAGACACCTGAACAAGATAACGAAAACGTCCTCCCCTTTGTGCAAGGAAGAGACGGAAGAACTTATAGAAATCAATTTTGTGCGGAGTGTAATGGGGTTTCCGAATTTGAACGGTGGAATACAACACTAAGCTGCAGCTCCAATGAAACAACAATGTTTATTAAAAGAAGAGTCATGAGCAACAACTACAAGTTTACAAATGAAGAAAGGCAACTAATTCGGGAAACGTGTGAGATTGAATTGGCTCCACCGTTTGGAGCCACGGGAACATTGTGTAGGATGGTGACAGAATGTGAGAATAATAAAAGTACGGATTACTGGCCATGCAAACTGTATAAGCAGCAACTCTACAGTGTTATGCACCCATTTGAGGTTTATAAGAATCCACACTGCGCTAGATGTAGTGGTGCACACCTATTTCTGCTTCAGGATGTCGACGTCTTCTCTACACCCGGCCAAGAGGGGAAATCTAGTTTAGGTATTTTATTTGACTTTACAAAAAGCTCCCAGATTTATGGGTTGAAAGAAGTCACAACTCAACATACATGTAAACCTGGCGAATTATACGACTATCAGCTTAAAGCTTGTAGGCAAAGGCGAATTTTAAAGAACCCAGTATCCCACAACTGGACTTGTGCATATTCCAATGAAACATTCGCAAATTCCTCCGAACATATTATAATTCATAACAACCAATCTATATATGTGGCAGCTCACCAGAAAATGTACAAACCAGGCGAATATCTGTGGCATCTTGGCAACATTACTGTATGTGGTAATCTGACTGTGAGCTATTTTAAATCCACAATGGAAAAGCTGAGAAATTTGTACACAAAGGCGGAGTTTTATATTACTGTTATTGGGTTATCGCTATCAATACTGGCTCTTTTGGCTGTGATCTTTACCTATTTTCTATTCTCTGAGCTACGAAGCAAATTGCCAGGGAAGATTGTGATTAATTTAGCCATAGCTCTCATGCTGGCACAGTTGGTATTCTTGTTTGATATGTTTGAGGACGTAGAAGGGGAGGGGTGCGTAGCTATTGCGGTGTTATTGCAGTTTTTATACCTGGCTGCCTTTTGCTGGATGAACGTGATGGCTTTTGACGTCTCCAGAACTTTTGCTGGAAAAAGTAAGTAGAAAAATTATAGAAAAGAAATGCCGGTGGCATAATTTGAGCACTCCATTTTTCTCGTGGAATAGTTTAGATCTGATAGAGCTATCCAGTATAAATAAAGTTAGTTTAGTTTAGGTTTCCTCCTGTAATAAACACTGGACCGAATAAGAGATGATTCTTACTGGACCTCTAGGGAGAACAGTTTAGAACTGATAGAACTGTCCAGTATAAATAAAGTTAGTTCAGTTTAGGTTTCCTCCTGTAATGAACACTGGACCAACTGTTTTGGAATTGATAGACTAGATCTATACAGTATAAATAAAATTAGTAAAACAACATACGCGGGTTGAGACTCTTGCGGTTGTGGTTAAGGAATAAGAGATGATTCTTACTGGACCTCTAGGGAGAACAGTTTAGAACTGATAGAACTGTCCAGTATAAATAAAGTTAGTTCAGTTTAGGTTTCCTCCTGTAATGAACACTGGACCAACTGTTTTGGAATTGATAGACTAGATCTATACAGTATAAATAAAATTAGTAAAACAACATACGCGGGTTGAGACTCTTGCGGTTGTGGTTAAGGTGGAGCGTGCAAACTGCGGTTGACGTGCGTGCGATTGTGATCTTTCAAAATGTTTTTATCATAATTCCAGGTCACCGCTCGCCTTCAGGCTCACGTAACAAAGTATTTATATTGTGTCTATTCTATGCCTGGGGACTACCATTGGTCATAACTGGATTGACGCTGATTGTGAACCACACTGGAGCTATGAATGTTGCTTATGGTAAGTGGAAGCAAAATCACTCTGCACCAGCTCGTGCAGCAGATGATGGACAACAGACAGTTATCAGTCATTCCTTCCTACGCACGTAAAATATCACAACTTGTCAACAAGATGTGTTCGCAACAGGCTTGTAGCAAGCTTGTCAACAAATTATAACGATGCTGTTATTTTATCAAGTTGCTACAAGATTGTCACTCACAACTTGTTGACAAGCTGTTGAATTACACTACAGGGCGATAACAAGTTGTTGGAACAACTTGTAACAAATCTGTTGAGCTCAACAACCTTGTAGCAAGTTGTCAACAAGCCATTGACAATTTGTCAACAAGCTGGGAGCGGCTAAAACTGTCGCATGCAACCTGCTTACAACTTGAGTTGTACTGTGTAAATCAAGCACACAGCTCCCCTATGTTGTCGTAGATGTGTTGTGTGTTTGATTTACACAGTACAACTCAAGTTGTAAGCAGGTGCATGCGACAGTTTTAGGCAAAAGTTGTGTAGTGTCGTAGGTGAGTTGTGTGCTTGATTTACACAGTACAACTCAAGTTGTAAGCAGGTTACATGCGACAGTTTTAGGCAAAAGTTGTGTAGTGTCGTAGGTGAGTTGTGTGCTTAATTTACACAGTACAACTCAAGTTGTAAGCAGGTTACATGCGACAGTTTTAGGCAAAAGTTGTGTAGTGTCGTAGGTGAGTTGTGTGCTTGATTTACACAGTACAACTCAAGTTGTAAGCAGGTTACATGCGACAGTTTTAGGCAAAAGTTGTGTAGTGTCGTAGGTGAGTTGTGTGCTTGATTTACACAGTACAACTCAAGTTGTAAGCAGGTTGCATGCGACAGTTTTAGGCGAAAGTTGTGTAGTGTAAATTGGCTAACCATTTGTGTGCTTGATTTACACAGTACAACTCAAGTTGTAAGCAGGTTGCATGCGACAGTTTTAGGCGAAAGTTGTGTAGTGTAAATTGGCCTTAACCAATTTTTTACTATATTGTCTTTTCTTTCTTAGGAAACAACTATTACTGTTGGATTACAAACCCTGTGGCTTTGGTCATATTCTTTGTGGTTCCTGTCGTAGTAATGTTGCTGTTTAATATCATTGCCTTAGTGCGAGTCCTGGTCGCAGTACGAGGAGTTAGAAAGGTCAGCAACTCAAGCTTCAAAGATATTTTGACTCTCGCATATCTCTCGTTTGATCAAGTGATAATACAGTCCAAACCTATTAAATTGAATGCAATGAAAGTTGAGAAACTCTGATGAAAACTCTCATGAAATCTCTCGCTTGTCAACTCGATCTCTTGCATGTTCTCGTTTGATGAGGAAATGAAGTTGAGAAACTCTTATGTAGACTTTCGCTTACCAATTCTCTCTGTGACAAGCTGTTAACAACTTGTAAACATTAAGACTGATGGCATTATCAGACTTGTTACAAGGTTGTTCTAACTAGTCTGATACAATTATACATGTACAAGAATGTTACAAGTTGACGACACTGAAGGTTGTAACAATATTATTACATCATGACTAAATCGGACTTGTTGGAACAACCTTGCAACAAGTCTGATAAGATCAACAAAGTTGTTTCAAGTTGTTAACATCGTGTTCCAAACTTGTTGACAACTTGGGACAAGCAGTGCGAACACAACTTGTTGACGGGACAAATGTGAGATTTTTTGCAGCGTAGTAATATCCCTTTGTGATCTGTGATATTTTTGCGTGATGACATAAACTCACGAATCTTCTATGATGATTTATTCCAGGTCACGAAAAAAGTGCGAGATAAGTCAACCGCAGGACAAGACGCGCGAATGTGTTGGAAATTGACAGCTGTGTTTGGTCTGACGTGGATTTTGTGCGTGGCTGCAGAACACCACATTGCGCTGAGGATTATCTTTATCATTTTCAATTCATTGCAAGGTAATGGAACATTAGCTTGATTCAAGGCATTTTTTATTACCATGGACTGGTGGGTCATTTGCCTCACTGGGCCCCTTCCTCTGCCCCACCACTGAAGAGAAAAAATGGCCTATTGCTCCAAAGCCAGATTGAGTAAATGAGTTTAACATTGAAAAGAAGTTTAAAAAACAAACTTTGTTGGTGAGCATACTTAAATATATGTTGTGTTTGAATGTTTGGCATGTAATTTAGTATAAATTTCACCATTAAAACTTCGTTCTGAGAAGCTGAGATTTTTTAAAATGTGTTCTCAGAATGCAGGAAATGCCATTTCAAGTCCCGTTTACACTACGCTCAATTTTTGGTACCGTACCACATTTTTGGTTCTTGGACTACCTAAATAGGTAGTCCAAGAACCTAAATAGGTAGTCCAAGAACCAAAAAAGTGGTACGGGTACCAATTTTATCCGTATCTATATACGACAATGATTTTATACCTGATATCTTCTTATACATCTTAAGTTCGTCCATTCTACTGGGCCCATGAACTTTTGCGCTTTTACACATTTCCACACAAAAAACGCTGTAATGAAAGATTGGACATGCAAGTAACTAGAACAATTTAATTTACTATCAAGCTGTAAAACTAAACAACACACCCACTTGTATATACCCGAGTCTACCTAAGCTTACCAACGGTATAATGGCAGCTCAATTGGCAGGCCGTCGGGCCATTAAAACCACGCAAAATCCCACATTCTGACTACTGCTTGACCGTGTGATACGTCATCGTGGCTATAGCCTGGTTTTCGTGACTCAGACGTTGTGGTACGACGTCAGGACGACGGCTAAACAAACTGCTTGAAATAAATGATTGTATAGAAATCCTGTCTTGTATCAACCATGCATAACCTATCGAAGGGAAGATGGGTGTGAAACTCATTAGAATAACAATATAACTCATTATCTATGTTAGTCAACGTTTATAAATCTGGTTCTTTCACCGTCACGTGTGTATTGTATTTTTACCAAATCCACCAATAGCAATTTCCAATTTCCCTATTGTTCGAGTCACGGATATAGGTGACTTTCCTAAAACATTGCTATTGGTTAGTTATACACGCCCCTCATGAAAAGCAGCCGTATAGCTGATGAGGATAGCGTCTCTAAAGAAATTAAATACATACATACATACACAAAAGTACAATACACACGTGACGGTGAAGGACCAGATTTATGAATAAACGTTGACCAACATAGATAATGATTTATATTATTATTCTAATGAGTTTCACAGCCATCTCCATTCTCCCCTTCGATAGGCTACGAGAGAACGAAATTTGAATTTCAAATTTTTCACAAGTCGCGTCGCTTAAAGTGCACCTGACCTCAGTTATATTTATCATCTCATTCTTAAGAACCTTTGAAATAATATAATGACTTATTTTGAAGATTTTCGTTTGCTCACTTTGTTTCTGAGATATTTCAGTTTGTAATTGGTATGCAAATATCCGGAATTTACGTCACAAATGCATAATAATTTAAAGTGAAAGCTTGTATATCGTATTCACTATCCAGTTTAATTCATTAAAATGAAGTTTGGACTTGTGGGAGGATTAAATATACTTATGCAGAACACCATTTAGCTTTTTTATTTCATCATATTTAACTGTACCTTACATTCTTTGATCAGTCATTATTCATATGTGACGTAAATTCCGGACATTTACACATCAATAAAACTGAAATAACTCAGAGACAAAGTGAGCAAACGAAAATCTTCAAAATAAGTCATTATATTATTTCAAAGGTTCTTAAGAATGGGAAGATAAAAATAATTGAGGTCAGGTGCACTTTAAAACTATAGACCAAACAGTATTAATAGTCTACAAACTTTCTTTACAATCGTCTATTTGAATGATTTTATTCTGGCCGTCGATCGACGTCGCGCTGCCGTCCTTCATCGTAGAGTCTCCGTTATAGAGACCTGACGATTATAGGACAGCAACGCGACGACGGCGGCCAAAACAAACTCCTTCAAATAAATGGTAGTAAAGATAATTCGTGCTATATTATCAATCGTATGAATTTAATACAGTCTTAGAAGTTGAAGACATGAGTTTTATGTTTGAAGTTGCATTTGTTGTGGCTTGGAATGCAGCCGTTGTATCAAGACGTGAAAAATATGTGATTTAGCGTTGTAAACAGAGCGAGGACAATGTCTAAATTATTCATATATTGTAGTTATTCAATTCTTTTCAATGATTTATTGTATTGGTAGCAGTTGCCTTCCTAAATCATAAGGTCTCTAATGTCACAAATACGAAAACGAGGCTCTAAAGACTACAACTTAATTCCTATTTCTTTTTCTCTCCAAGGTGTGTTTATAATGATTGGTTTTATAATGACAAAACGAGTATTAAACATGTACTTGAAGAAGGCAGGCAGAAAGCCACTCAGCACCACAGCTACAGGATCAACACAGAAATCTACCTTATCACGCTCTGAAGTTACCCGAAAGACAAGCTCGGCTCCGTTAGTAGATCGGAAACCTCTCGAGAAACGCCGCGACTCACCGGAACAAGCCGTAAAAGTAGTGAACGATGAAGATTCGCCAGAGGCTGAGCTCATTTCTTCTATGGAAGGGCCTGAGACTAAACTGTGAGATCTCAAGGTTAATAAGATAACTCAAGCATCTAGTCAAGTGCTTTGATTTTTAACTTTCTTTTAACGATCCATTGTAATGACAATGCGAGTTTTACTACTGCACAGTTCAGATAGCTACTGTATAAGTGAGGCAGTACAACATAGGGTGTAGTCATCAGTCTTACAAAAGGACAGTTATATGGGATGATATATTTAACATAATTTGCTTGTTCTCATAAGTATCAAAATATTTAAAATTGTCCATGTATGTAGCACCATATAAAATTCTTACCGAAATACCGGCTGTGGATCGATTTACATTACGAAAACTAAATCCGGTTCCCTTGCTTGAACTAACCACGAATTTAATTCCTATGCTTTGAAAAGGGCTCAAAACTAACCCGCGACTAACCAAGGTTAGTTTTCGTAGTGTATAAATCGTGCTGTTGTAAATTATGCAAACAGTTACAATGAAATTCAGGAACAAGGATGAAACATAAATCTGTACATGAAAAATATTCTTGTAATGAGCTAGTTTAATTGTAGCCACGCTTATAGCATTTACATGCATCTGTAAATAAGATTCTAGTATGGTCTAATTTTTCATCGTAAAATTAAACCACTTTTAAATATGTCAGGTTGTTTTGACTTTGAGCAGAATGGCTCAGTTACGGCTAACGAAATGATAGTTCTAATGCGAGACAGTGGTCATATGGCTTCAGCAATTAGCGGTAGAAACACAAATATATCACACTTTTAAATGTCATGCTCAGTTTAACGATTAGCAGAACTCGTTGACTTGCGCAACTGCGCAACCTAAGTTATTTATTTGATAGTCAACAGTTCTAAACGAGGTTCTAAATATTAATTCTTTCTAGGAGTACAATACGAGCTACCCCTTAATATATATATATATATATTGTCAGCAGTATGGGGAGAACACCTGTGAGGTTTGGTGGAGTCAAAATGGGAGTTTCTTACCCATGCGACTGAGGCAAAATTATGATCATACCGCAACTGCATATATTGGATATACCTGAATTAATGACGCCAAATATAGATACATAATAATGGTTAACTATGAGATCTGACCCAGACCCCACCATGCAGGGCTTCGATTATGTAAGAGAAATATTATAATAAAGAACGGTTTGGGCTTTCTTGAGTTGCTTAAAGCGTGATGAATAGTATTATTGTATTGGTGTTTGCACAACGTGCTGAAGGCGATACCAATCCAACACAGGACAATACCATAAGAAAATAATCATGACAATGCCATTAAACATAGGGCAGTACAATTGTTTGAGAAAAACCACATCATAGAATTAAAAATAAAAAAACAGAAATATTTTCTGTAACCGGATTGGTTGAGAATCACACGGAGAGTTGCGAGTTTCCGGAAACTAGTGGATCGCACGATTTTGTAAGCCAATCAAAAATAAGTAAGTACGATTACACAAAACAACGGGAGTATTTTCTCAAGCTGAAACGAAAATTGTGGTGTTTCACGAGGTTTTACTATCTGCACCAATAAAGCTTTTTCGTTTCCAAATGAAATAACAAAAGCATTTCAAAACCAGACGGAATAAATACAGACTTAAAATTTAGTAAGGAAAAGTGCGCTTACTGCACATATACATTCACGCAGTAGCAGCCGTGCTTTCTAAACCATGCAACGCAAGCCTACATACATGCATATGCATGCACGAGTTTTCAAGTTCGTTTTCTTGTCGCAACATACAAGATGTTTTATTTCAATGCTGGAAATCAACAATTGTGCATCAGGCATGTGCTGCTTTAGCCAGAGTAATTTCGTTATTTTAATATTAATTCCAAGCGTGGTCGATCATTTGAGTTTTAAAGGTGATGTAAAGCGGTCCGTAATGTAAACAAACGCTTTGTTTACATTTTGAACTCAGTGCTACAGTTGTAAAATATGATTAGATATATATCATACTGAATTTTTAACACTCTTCTGGTTCGCTATGCTTGTAAATGAATACAGACTGGAGATTCAATTCAAGAAAGTTCGGAACGTGCGAAATATTTATAACATTCCAATGGTCGGGTCCCAACCATTGGAGTGTAGGCCGTATGCAGAACGTATGCGCAGAATGGACTTTACAGCATCTTTAAATTATCTAGAACATTGACTTCATTCTCGATCTCAGTGGGGTTAGGCTAATATGAGATGTCGAACTTTTCACGTGTCGAACTTGATGCAAATCAGCTCTAACGATGAGTTTATGTTATGCATGTACATCAGGGCGGCTCAACACAAGATGAGCGCGACGTTTGATCTCGGTCTTGGATACATGGACGCATAATCAGCCTGATCAATCGACTCTACTTTAAACATAAGATGGACTATCCAGACAAACCGAGTTGGAATATTGCGATCTATAATGGTTTTGGGAGCGAATTATCCGGATTAGTATTTTTGTAATGGTTTGCCCATGCAATGCCATAATGTCCGAAGTGGGGTTAAATTTTGGCCTGGTGCTTGGTTAATTCAACCAAGAAATTCTGGTTATATTGTGGGTAAACCTGTTCAAAGATAAATATGATCATATAAGCAGTAATGTTTCTTAATAACGTTCCTTTTGGAGTTTTAATCAGATCTAGATCTGGTGCCGATTGTGGAAAAACCACTTGAAATCGGCTAAAATTGGCATATACAGTATATGTTTACATAAGTTGTATACTTGAAAACAACAGACACCTTGCAACCTACAATTTTTTAAAAACAAGTTAAATAATTATGCCACAATTTCAAGCCATCGAATTTTCATATAAATTGCAAATGGCACAATAAGTATATAAATTGCACAAAATCAAAACCTTAAATTTACACTTGACAGTCACTGTCCTATATGCTGTAAGATAATCTGTATTATATCAGTCAGAGATTGTAGGAATCCACCGCATTTTCCAAAGAAAATTCTCAAGGATTTGGATAATTATTAAGATTGCGCCGTGTTTACATAAACTGCTGAAGGCGTGACCCACGAACATACTGGATGCATAGGAAATTGACAGCTTCAGCAAAGGAAAAACAAAAACATAAAAAATTTGCATAAATTGCCAAATATAATTTCTAGTAAAGCTGTATACACAGTACATATTACCGAGTACTATAGGCGCAAGCAATATTTTTTGAACTCGAAATGGCTACTTGGTTTTTCGCGCGTTAAAACGTTTTTTATGAACGATGACGTATCATTTAAAATTTAACATTGACAAAGTTCATGTAATCTGATTGGTTAAAATCTGCGCGGTTACAGAAACTCACATCAAAGGATTCTAACCATAGCCAATTAGAATCGATGAAAATTAAAGACAGCCAATCATTTTATTCACACCAGGAAAATAGTTGTGTTTCGATTTTATAAGTATTGACGCATTTCGAAATTGTTCAGATAAGTCAGAACGCATACAGTGAAAAAAGTCAGACGATAAATTGCGTTTCATAATCTGTTTGGGCAACAGAAAAATGAAGGTCGACATCAAGATCATTTGTCTCGTTTTGCTAACTTTGTGTCTCGTGGCAGAAAACGACGGATGGTTGTGGGGGCGGCGTTCCAGTTCCAGAAGCAGCACCAGGCGTTCAAGCAGTCGAACTAGCACAAGGAGCAGTTCCTCTTCGTCCCGCAGATATTCTCGACGATCACGCAATTCAAGAAGGTGTGTAGAAATGGGTGCACGACTGTTCATATTACTACCCCGAAATAACATCACAAGGATAAATATTAAGATTAAGAGCATGTTGAATTTAAATAATTTAATTCGTTATTTTTTAATTGACCGAACTGTGAATGAACCTCAAGCCAAGCTGGCAATCTGACTCCCATGCACTTAAACTTATCGTACTAGACTTGGGAGAAGGCTGTCATAAGTTATTCCTCAACAAAACGTTTTCTTCGTCTATTAGCTTATTTGCATGGGTATAAGGCGGCAATTTTCCAAAAAGTTTCCTGGACTTAGTGATCAGTAAGAGCCACTGAATTTTCGTTTGCCTCAACACTTGTGTTTTGCTATCACCCCACCCCCTCCACCCCTACATAATTTAAGTTAAGCTATAGTAGCAAACATTTTGTTTATATACTTTTAAATAGACGAAACTCACGAAAGGGATGGTTTTTATGGGGAAACCGCGGACCAACACGAGCGAAGCCAACAGTGGCAAGCCGTAAACCACAATTACCGTATAATCATCAGTCATCATCGTCATGGCGAATGTGTACCTGGCGCTATGGAATCGGATGCATACAACCTGCTCCCAAAACTACTAAAGCACCAGTCACTCAACCTTCAAAGACTTCAGGGCATATCACAACTGGACCAGGCGTTAAAATAACTGGTAGACCACACAAGAAACCAACACTAATTTCTTCTTTATTCACCAACACGGCTTTGATCTTTCAATTATTGGGAAACCTTTGTCTCCCTGGATCAGGATGGTTACTAGACGATATAATATATTGTGGTAAAAAAAACAAAGTGCGCCTCCCCAAACCAAATCTTCGCAAAGTTTTTCCTAAAATAGTTGTGAAAATTCAGATAGTGGAACGCCCATTGGGTCATTGCGGATATGTCAAGTACAAGAAAGGCAAGGTGATTAGAGTCAGTCGGAAGTATGGTAGACATACAATACGTTGTTTAAAGCGTCACACCATGGTGACATCAATCTCGGGCAAGAAGGACAGAGTAATGCATTCTGGAGTGGTCGTTGAAACCAAAGACAACAAGAAATATTTGATCCACAAAGGCAAGTGGAGCAAGACGGAAGTGAAAAAAACCAAAATTGAAGTGGCAAAAGATTCGATGTTTAACAAATACACTAAAATTGGTCGCAACTTCAAGCCAAAAAAGCCGAGGAGCGTTCGTGATTATTACGACGAAAGTGGAAACGGATACAATTTTATCAATGACAATTGTCATGATGGAACACTGAGAATGGTAAATTTGGCAAAAAAATCGTGATTTCTTTAACACCAGTAATCCAAAACTGCGATTTCCCTGGACTTTGAACGAGAAAACATCTAGTTGATATAGACTGATAAACATGCAGTATTTGGTTTTATCTATTTGTAGATTATTTCCCGATATATATCAAGTTGGAAATATTTAGATATTATCCAACAACTGGTAAAAATATATATAAACTAGGTCAATCTTGGATTTATTGAACAATAGTTACATTGACTTACAATGAGAAACTATTGTATTATGGGTTAAATACTAGTAATAATCTTGGGGCTTTAGGACGTGTAGTTCTAGTGAAAATGTATGCCTGGGTGAATATAGCATTAGTGAAGGGGATTTAGGGGGTGTAGTAATTATACTGATGACAATATATTCTAATATGCATGGGGTAGCTAAATAGCAATAGACTAATTGGAGTGCCTATACGGCAAAACATATGTAATTTGAACTACTGCATGATAGAGTAGAATTAAAAGCATTCAAAAAGTCTTGAAGTCTATATTGTATTTGCAAACACAAAGTAGTTTTCAGGGTACTAGTGGTACTAAAATGATACAAAAAATACTAATTCGCCTAAAGTTCATTTTTCAGCCCTGACGAGTATGGTGTAGAGAAAGTGTCTGCAGAATAGCTGCGAGTCAAGCTCACATTTCTCTGTAACCTTTCAGACCTAGACGGAACATCGGCGCTCGGTATCCGAAATTGCATTAAAAATAGCTGGCATAAGTTGGCAAGTTTGGTATATGGAATATCATTCATTCAATTTCAATTAATTTTGTTGTGATTAGTTATGCGTAATTTAGCCAGTTTGGCAAAGTTTAGATGCGCCTTTCAGTAAAATTGTGTAAAATCGTAAAAGCAATATTTTTCTGAATATGTATGCTTCGGGAGAGGCCATTTTTGTGTGCAAGTTGTTTGCGTGTATTTGCTTTTTCCAAGTTGACCATATATGCAGCACTACAAAAATACAAAATTAATGCTCACCGATATAAGCTTAGCCTCTTTTCCATAGTACTCGCAAGTCACAAGCTTGATGTGAATCCAGTCACAATGCCCGACTTATTTTAGTTAGATGCCGAGCATGCGAGTTGGTTTTTGCGATAAGTGGGAAAGAGCCCCTAGAGATGGGTACCCACGACTAACCCATGCAGGTTTTCGTACTATATGTCAACTTTTTTTGTAAATAGTTTAAATATAAAAAGTTATAGGAACAAGCACGAAACAAAAATCGTTCTGGAATTTGTAAATTAGGCACATGGTAAACTGGTAATTAGGTTCGTAGTTCTGTATCATGTACATGCATACCCTGGATTCCAGAGCCTTCGACAGTAAATAATAAATTGAAATGTCGCGAAGGCTCTGGTTCAACGGGGCGGTTCTCGCGGCTTAATCAAAGAATCGCCCCGTTGAACCAGAGCCTTCGCGACATTTCAATTTATTATTTACTGTCGAAGGCTCTGGAATCCAGGGTAGTACATGCAGTGCGTCAATTATATTATATGAATTCACGAAAAATATGCATACACATCAGCGGAAGTTCTACAAAAGTTGCCTAACTGCTGAAACGCGTCTAGGTTTTTAGGAAGTATTTTGACCTATTGACCAGTAAGATCTGAACACTTCAGACGATAAAAATAGACAACAGTAGAAGCTTTGTTTATACTGGATAGCTCTCTCAGTTCTTGGAAAGATCAAGTACCTTTGAGCCTAAACAGGCCTACTCTGGGGCGGTAAATCGCCTTAAATCGCCTAAAATCGCCCAAAATCGCATTAAATCGCGGGTTAAAATGGTCAAATTTCTCTTAAATCGCCTAAAATCGCTTTAAATCGCCTAAAATCGCTTAAAATCATGGGCGTACTGGGTGGGGGAGGGGGGACGGGGCGACCGCACCCCCCCCCAGTTTCTGTCTGGGCAGTCGCCCCCCTGGCTTTGTTGGGCAAACAATGCCAGCCGGGCAATATTCGCTTCACTGTCTGGCAATATTGGTTTATTATAGAAATAAATGGGACAAATCCTGTCAATTTTGTGGGAAATTCTGTCAATTATGTGGGAAATATGCTATCCAATAGGAATTTTTTGTAATCACTTCTCGCCCCCCCCCCAATCACTTCTTTCCAACCCCCTAATATTTTCCTTCCCGTACGCCCATGCTTAAAATCGCATTAACTCGCCAACATGCATTCTGTTTGATACATTCAGTCAATAATGTACTCAAGTTTATCAATTGCTGCTATTTTGCTGGCAAATCATGTATAATCCAGGTGTTTTGCAATCAAAAGTAATGCAACATGGATAAATCAAATAAGTGGATTAGGCTGACAATATTTAGTCACTCATTAGGCTCCGGTCGTTAATAAAAACAGAGCCTTTTTCTGCTTTATGCAGACTTTACAATAATTAGGCAATTCTGGGATATGAAAGACCCATAGATTCCATTACACTACCAGCAACAAAATTGAGTTACTGGTTAATTTCATTATTGGTGTAAAATGTGGAGGCTGGGCTACAATTTATATGGACTATGGTGGCTGGGCTACAAATTAATCTATAATATACATGGCTTCTCAAAGCCTAATTGCTGTTAGAACAACAGTAGGAGACTATGATAATGAGAGTCAATGAGTACGAGTATATAATAAGGTCATCCTGCAATTTATGCACTGTTGCATGTAGATCGAGCACTGCATTGTATACAATGGTTGTACTTCGACATGTGCATGGTTATACTCTAGCTCCTAGTTATAATTATATTGGCTATCATACGAAAAACATACGTGAGGTTTAATATGAGCGAGATTTGCAAGTTTTGCAACTCTCATCTATTAAATTTTCCAGATCTGTATATAAAATAAACAGTAAAACAATTATTACATCGTACATACCATACAATCTTTGTTGTTACTTGTTTGCAGAACAAATTATCAGGTAAAAGACTTAAAACCACGATGTAGTGCGCCGTATCATTTTGTTTAGTATTTTTTTTTAATAATTTAGAATTCCGACCATTTATATGCGATGTACTTCATGTAAATTAAACTTTACGGCATTACGCCGACAGTTTCCGAATGCGTGACAATACTGTTTCAAACTGTTTCTGGATATAGATATCAAACATAATTTTATAAAACATGTTTGTTGAAACAGTTTAAATAAAATGCAAGCTAAATAAAGAAGTGTTGACAAGATACAAAACAAGACAATTTCACTTACAAGGGTGACAAGGTAATTTATAGGAATATAGCTTATTGTAACTGTATAAATATATTGTGCGTTTCTACTCCCTGTGGGCTATGGTTCTTTTGGAAATCAAATATCTATTATATTTTGCAATTAATAATATTAACGTTTAGCCTAAGACATGTGTAGTTTAGTTATAGGTTGGTATTTTGCAATTATGTACCGTACATGCCCCTTAAGTAGAGTATATTTATTAACTGTTTACAATATTTGTGGTATATAATGTAGCCATGAATGCATGACCACATGACCCCACAAGATGAACTCCAATGGCTTCTAAATAAGACAATGGATGAAAAGTTCACGAATATTGAGCTTTATATATGATTCGGATTAAATACAATAATTATTAACCTAGCTTTATATAAAATGTACATACATGTTCTAATAATTGTATTTTGCTTCATACAATGCATATGTGTCAATGTGTGTGAAAACATTACATTATTCAGCTCACTCCCCTTTGGGGCTTTTCAGTCACCGCTTACATAAAGTATTAGGGTTACTTATGTTAGTCTAGACTATATATCTTTATAACAATGAGAATATGATATCACTTTTCTAACTGTTTTTATTCTAACCCACCCTGCCATATTTTGCCTTGTGGGAGAAAACCGGAGAAAAATATAAAATTCAATTACCTTGAAAAAACAGGTCTAAATTGCAATCCCTAAAATTTAGAATTTTCTCTTAAATCGCATTAAATCGCCTAAAATCGCTTTAAATCGCAGTGCTTCAAAGTCCCAGTTTTTCCTTAAATCGCCTAAAATCGCCCAAAATCGCATTATATCGCAGCGATTTAAGGCGATTTACCGCCCCAGAGTAGGCCTAAATCATTGGAAAGTCAAGTCGATGTCTCAGCCAAAATTACTGCAGAAGATCTGACAATGATCTTGGAAAAAATCGAGAAAATTGAGCAGAAACTAGAACGCAAAATTGATGATATATCTCTCGAAGTATGCAAATTTCAAGATGCCAACAGCTTTGCATTAACATTGTCACGAGCGCATATCTCTTTTATTAAAGATGAAAATGTACAGCTAAAAGCGGAAAATGACTATTTAAAAAAAGAACTGGAAAATGCTACTCTTGTAATGTCGGATCTCAACGAGCATGTAAAGTTGATGGGAGAAGAAAAACAGAGCTTAATTACTGCATTGAAAATTCTGCAAAACAATGAAATTGGTGATGGCAGGAACAAAAGATGGCATATTGCATCGGATAGAAAACAACAGAAGGTCCCACAGTTCAAACCAATCGAAGTATCAACTGAGAGTGAAGACAATTATCTTTCAACAAACAGATATTCGGAACTTACAGATGAAGCCCTATTAAACGAGCAACAACTCGAAGAGACAACCCAAAAAAACGAGCAACAAGTTAAAGTGATATCCCAGCCAAGGACTAACCAAACAAACATGCCGCGGGGTCAACAATCAAGTAAACTGCCTGGTCAAAAACCAAGCAGACGCAAAGCCAAAGATAGCGATCAACGGGAACAACAAACCGAACAAAACGGTCCCAACGTGCTTCCGAATTTAAGGGAAACAAATCAAACTGACAATCGTAATCGAACAGATAGCGCAGCAGCAAAATTATCCAAGCGAGACCTGAACAACAACAATTCAAAACATGACGAGCGAAAACCAATACTAATAATTGGCGACTCGATTATAAAGCACATTGATCCAAATAAATTATCTCGAAGAACGGTGCATAAATTCACCTATCGCGGAAAAACATGTGAAGAAATTAGTGAAGCTATTGACAATACCCAGACAAAGATTGACCCATCTCATGTTATTATCCATTGTGGTACAAATAATCTACCCATCGACTCTGCTGAGGTTTGTGCTACTAAAATTATAAATTTGGCTATGAAAGTAAGAAATAAATTTCCTAATGCTAAAGTCGGAGTGTCGGGACTAACCTATAGAGAAGACGTCTCAGTGAACCCAATACGCGTTGAAGTTAATGAAAAACTCAAAAATTTATCAGTAATTCACGAATTTTCTTATATAGATAACTCAAAAATTGATAATACTTGCTTGAATAAAAGCAAGTTGCATTTAAACGATAAAGGGACATCATTATTGGCGGTTCATTTCATAAAATTTGTAAGGGGACTTGCTAGTAACAGCAGACGATCTAGTGATCGGGACAAGGGTTTTCAAATGGTACTGTGCAAACAGCTGGGGGAAATGCTTATGAAAATAGGGAACCTGAGACTAACATAACCCTGCAGGAAAATACAGAAATATTTAGCCAACATGGTTCTACTGGGGACAGTGGTAAAGTACCGCTGCATAGCATCGCTAACATCAAAGGTTTTAAGCTTGCTTGTATTAATATAAATAGTTTATATAAACATATTGATGAGATTCGCTATATTTTGATGTCTAGTCCCTTGGAAGTGCTAGCTATTAATGAATCCAAACTTGATAATACTATCACTGACGGAGAAATACACATCCCCGGTTACGTTATAATAAGAAAAGACCGAAATAGACATGGTGGAGGGGTAGCTATATATATTAAAGAGAATATATCTTGCTCAGCTGGACATGATCTTGCCCCTGCCCAACTAGAAATGGTCTGTGTAGAAATTAATCTTCCATATAACAAATCGTTTTTGGTTATAGTACATGGTACAGACCGCCAAATGCAAGTATAAACGTATTTGAAGATTACACTAAATTTGTTGAAAAATGTGATTATGAAAATAAGCAGTTGATTGTTCTGGGAGATATGAACTGTGACTATTTTAAAAATCCATCTGAATCACATACTCAAAGACTAAAATTTATATCATCTACATATCAGTTGCAACAACTGATCTCGGAGCCTACACGAATGACAAACAGATCTGCCACTTTAATTGACTTGATATTCACAAATGAGACAAGAAACATAGCAAAATCAGGAGTTATTCATAATGGTATGTCTGACCATAGTTTAATCTACGTTGTCCGAAAATTTATTCCATATAAGCGTAGACAAATCAAAAAAGAAGTACGAAACTTAAAACACTTTGTGAAGGAAAATTTCATTTGTGATCTGCTTAATATACCTTGGCAAACAATAGAAACCATTGATGATCCTAATTTGGCCTGGAAGGCGTGGGAAAATAATTTTAATGAGGTTTTAGATAGGCATGCGCCTCTGAGACTTCAGCGTATACGGCATACCGCAATTCCATGGCTAAATTCGAACATTAAAAAAATGATGCGTAATCGTGATTATCATAAAAAACAATCAATTAAATATGGCTCTGAGTACCACTGGAGACTTTATCAGGCCTCCAGGAACAGAGTCAATATTGAAATTCGGAAAAGTAAATCTCGCTATTACTGCCAAAAACTACTTGGAAACTAATTAATTCTCTTATTGGTCGTGCCAGCAAAACAAAACATGTTAATGAAATTGAAATTGACGATGAAATTATTCGCAACGATGAAAATATATCTGAAGCTTTTAATGAATTCTTTATTAATATTGGGCCTAAACTAGCCTCTGAAGTTTCAAATCAGTCAACAAATAAGGTTGAAACTTATTTGGAAAACAACAAGTTAATTATTCCATCCTTTCGTTTTATGTTTATTCCAGTGGACAATGTTTTGAAAACTCTAAGACATCTATGGTGGCCGAGCGTTGCCACTCGTTTTTTTTGTACATTTTACATTATTTTAAAGATTTTTTTACTTTTTATTTTTTTAATTAAAATGAAAAATAAAAATAAATTAAAATGAAATACAAAATAAATTAAAATGAAATACAAAATAAATTAAAATGAAATGCAAAATAATTTACAATTAAAATTAAAGTAAAAGTGAATTTCACCATGGCCGAGGGCTGCCACTACCAAAATATTCTTTATAATTTTTTTTTAATTAAAGTGAAAAATAAAAATAAATTAAAATGAAAAATAAAAATAAATTAAAATGAAAAATAAAAGTAAATTAAAATGAAATACAAAATACTGATTTACAATTAAAATTACAAAGTAAAAGTGAATTTCACCATGGCCGAGGGCTGCCACTACCATAATGCACAGCGACCCGAGAGAAATTCCCATGAGCCGAGCAGTGACCGAGCAGTGGCCGAGCGCTATCATAACATCCCATGAACCTTTGCCCGCGCGGAAGGCAACATGGCGGAGAAATGGCGAAAGTTCAAAGAAGATATGAAAAAAAAACGCCTGAGTGGGAAGAGCCAAAAAGGGAAAGATGTTTCCAAACGTGAAATAACTGTTCAAATGTTAAGCGCGGACGTGTCGGGCAAGGCCCAAAAGTATTCACGTATCGGCCAAAGGGAATTTGTCCAGTTATATGACGACGACGATGAAGATCTAGATCGATTTTATACAAAAGAAGAGATGACAATTGAACGAGTGAAGGATGCATGCCTGAAACATTTTGAACCGAAGGTTGGAAACAATGTTGTATGTGATATTCTTGCCGGTGAGCAAGGACCTTCCTGCGCATCCTTGAAGCAAATACCTAATATGAATCTTATATACGTCAGATCCATAAACAAAAGCTCGACAGCAGATGCGCCTGTATTCGTTGATGATACTGACCCAGTTCATCCGCAAAGCACAACTGTAAAACGAAAGGGCCCTAACTCTGTTCCAAGTCCAAAAAAAGCTAAAATCTCAACACCAATGCCCAAGAGTCTCTCGGTAACCCATATGTTGAAACTAGGTAAACTTATAAACAAGTCTACCACTACCATCCACTTGTATGGATTTAATTTGGCAGATATGAGCTGGTCGTCTTCACCAGGGCAGTTGAATTTAGTGTTTCAGAAGATGTGCTCGGAGAAGGTGCATTCCGAAAAGCTTATAAAGCAGAATCAAAAGATGAGAGCTTTGCTGGTTCATGGGTAGTCAAAGAATATAATGAAAATGCATTGGATGTCATTGCTGAGACCAATCAAACTCTCGAAACCCATACAAAGAAGGTTGTACAAATGCACAGCTTAGCCCAGAACTTTGCAAGCCAACTGAAGACAAGTGTTGAGCAAAATGGCATGCAAGAATCTTTTGGTGATTGTTTTCATTATGGGAGTGTCTACTTAGGAAAAAAAGGTGACGAATTTGTCACAGTTGAAGAGTTTGTAGATGGAGAGTTTAGTAAGTATATAAACAATGATGGCACATTGTGCAAGAATGTCAACGAAGTTATATTACAGAAAGCAGAGTGTCTTTCTCATTTTTCTTTTGAAAAATCCAACAATCAGGTAATGGTGTTAGATATCCAAGGATGTGGCTACTCCCTTGTAGACCCAGAAGTTGCATCATCTTCCCTCTTTGATGAAAATAAAGAATTACTTTTTACCACAGGGAATTTGTCATTTGAAGCAATTGCAAAATTTAAACTCATTCATAGATGTAATGAGTACTGTGAGCTTCTGAAGCTTAAAGTACTTGTATAGAAAGAATACACAAACTGCTGTTAGGGGAAAGTAATGATGTATCTTTAAAACATTGTTCTTATTTCAGTTTGGTGTATAACAAGGACACCTAAAACTTGATATTATCGACATTATCTGTTAGTTACTCTTAGAAGATTCATTAATGTCTTTTAAGAACATATCAGACTTTAAATCGCATCCCTAGTAATGTGGTAGCAAAGAGTGACTGGGCAAGCATCTGTTTAACACCAGGTTATAATAAAAAATCTTTTATGAACACATTGGGCAATTTAATTCAAGTCTTAAATTAACAGTTGGAAAACATAGTAGGTCCAATGTCTTTTACCACTTTTGGTGACTAGTGTTTGCAGTAAAGATTGATCACCATTTATGTTTTTGCTTGCTACACTGGTTTAAATAAATTATTACAAAGCCTATTTGAATTGTAATCAAACCCCAATGTTTCGACACTCCAGTCTAGTGTCTTCATCAGGGGTAATCTAAAATTGCAATGTAGCTTCTTACATACCCAAAGGATGACATCACCTGCCAATGAGATGCATGTATTCCTCTGGTAAATAGGCACTGTCATCCCTATTCAAAGGATGATTACTCATTTATATGCCACACTAGTCAAAGACTATGCCTAGAAGCATGGCATATAAATATGAGTAATCATGCTTTGAATAGGGATGACGGTGCCTATTTACCAGAGGGATACATGCATCTCATTGGCAGGTGACGTCATCCCTTGGGTATTTAAGAAGCCAACGATTGTAACTTCAGATCACCCCTGAAGACACTAGACTGGAGTGTCGAAATGTTGGGTCTTGATTACAATTCGACTGGGCTTTGTAATCATTTATTTAAACCGGAGTAGCAAGCGAGAACATGGTTGATATACCTGGTTGCAGTGAACGAACAAACTTTGATCACCATTTGTTTTTCTTTCCATCTATCCAGGATTGTTTTTGTTTAAACTTTACATGAGAACAACAAACATCAAATCAATTTTCAGAAGTTATTGAACTACTTTAAATTAAGAACTTAACCAGACTGGTTGCTACCATGTTTCTAAGGATTTGGTTTAAATCTGTATTTACAAAATGAATTTAAATTTAGTTTACATCTATATGTAGCATCTACAATGTTGTGTTAAAGTTTTCTTTGAGATATATGAATGCAGATGCACAATCTTTAGGTTCTATTTTTTCTGTTTTTGGTAGAAGCGATTCACATCTTCTAAATGAGGCATCAAGGAAGTCATCTTCCATATCTTGATTGCACAGACATGCATCTATAGACATCTATTATAAAGAACATTAAAATTGACATGTTAAAATTAACTATTATAATGTTGTTTCAAGTATAAGTATGCATCTTGGCATTCATTTGGTTTGATTGTGTCATGATCAGGGATCAGTCTTTCACATTCTGCTCTAACATTTGGCTCCAAATAGTCATCTGGTACTTGCAAAATGCCAGATAGGGTAGCTGCCTCCTTCAGCTGTTCTTCAGTTACTTTTAGGCCTGTAAAATAAGGTACTATGTAAAGGTTACAGAATGGTCATATGTGCTCCATACAAGGACGGATTTTCTGGGGGATGCGCACCCCCCCAAAAAAAAACGTAAAAGTAAAACACACTTGACTTACAAATTGTGCACCCCGTCCCTGCCAAAATTTAAAAGCATTAAATTAAACTACCGTTAAGTAAGATAGAAATATTAAAATCAACATGTTTCTATATATGCTTTTTTGCAGCATATTAACGTAAAAGTAAAACACACTTGACTTACAAAAAATAAGTTCACATGCTCATCGGCACCACGCTTTCGCACATTGACAATGGATTCAGACAGGTTTGACAGGTGTACATAAACCTGTCAGATTTTCCAAAGAAAGAAAATCTATAACCTTCCATGTAATAATGTATATAACTAATTTAAAGGATATTCTGTTTCATAAAATGGATGTTATCTAATCTATTATTGAAATTTGATTATGGACTACTGAGCGTATTTAGACCCACTGATCATTGCTTTGGCAATTGAGAATCAGGAAATGATTGGGAAGCATTCACGCTCTTGCAGTTTGGTTTTTAGTTCGTCGTTAGAGTTGGATTGAAAGCGTGTAGATCTAAATCGATGTGTCAGCAATTAGCAGATCCTATATTTTTATCACTAGGCACTAGCTAATACACTTCAGAAAAGGTTCAATTCATTGTTTGAGCTGCGTATTAGTAAAAAATTCACCTAAAAACATGCATTTTCTAATCATTAATAAAATTAATTTAAAAAGTGACGCCAGAATGCAGGAAATGCTGTTTCGGAGCCCAATTTAAAAATTTTCCGGGGGGGAGCATAGTTGGGTGAACCTAGTAACCGGTCATCAAAAACCCTGGATCCGCCCCTGCACAAGATCATTGCCACCCACCCCCACCCCCTGAAGTTTATGCACCCCCCCCCAGAGAAAAATATGAAAATCCACCCTTGGCTCCATATATGCTGTCCTCTCTCTCTCTTTATTGCTCAAATTGATTGCACTTCGTAATTATAAATAGCTTTTTTAGCTGCAAGCAAGTTAGATAACTCTATATTGATGTAGTGTCTAAGCTGCAATGTACGATTTTAGTGTGCATTGTTATTGTTATTGTATTTTAATTTCACATCCCTTAAAAGGCTTTTCAGCGAAATTTTACATAATTGATCTAAATTTTTATACACCATAATAATAGAGACACACACATAACAACACACAGTCACACAACACACACACACACACACACACACACTTGGTATTACTACACAAATATATATGCTATATACATCAAAATGTCTTAAGATTGGTCCTCAATTTAAATGTTTCTACAAGTCTCTGTTTTAAAATATGTTTGAAGTCTTTCGTTGTTTCGCAGGCCCTAAGTTCTGGTTTTAAGGAATTCCAAATTGTGGCCATTCTGAATTTGAAGGATCGTTGCCCAGTTGCTGTTCTGTGTAAAGGAGTTTCAATCATGCTCGAGTTCCTAGTAACATGAACTCATGACTCTATCCTTCACAAGAAAATTCATGTGGCATTAGACAGAGTAGAATAATAAGGTACATACAGCAGGGCACAACTTACCACATTCTTCGAGACCATACTCATCTGGAAAGCTATAAATGTGGTTAGGAATCCCACTTGGCAATACTGCATCCTTTTGTGCTCTTATTTTATGAGTGTTCCACACAGTCTCTCGAAAAATATCCAGTTCTTTCTGAACCAATGGTATCATAACAAAAGATAGAAGCATTCTTGAAACATAAATAAAATTAAGGTCAATAATTTAATTAAGAACTTATCCAAAATTAGACCAATTTGACAAGTGAACCAATATTGCTTGTCTTAACACTTTGACAGCAGTCTCCTTTTGATGAGTAAACTTGTCCTCCCCCCAAGGAGGTGATAGAGAACTTGGCAACCTAGAACGGCAACGACAATGGCGAAAAAATATAATTGCTAATATAATTGCTTATATTATTGTATTTCAGCCAAAGTATATGTTACTACACTTAATTTGCCTCTTTAAGTATTCTTGCTCCTCTAAAACAGCCCTGATAAATAAAAATAGTCCGCAAATTCAAATAAAACACCTCAAATAACATTGAATGAATTAACTGTTGCCGTAGTCATGCACCGTGAAAATGATGCAAATCACACACTAGTTTCATCAACTATGGCATTGCACAATGCTTTAAAGACCATGTAATTTACATTCACCTTTGTCTACGAGGATCAATGCTATGTTGATGACCATGTTGCCGTTGTCTTTGCCAAACTCTCTGACTTCTGCCATCCAGAAGGGGGGAATGGGGGGGGGGGAGAATTTTGTTTCTAACAATTTAGTATGTATCTTAGGACATACAATAAGAAGGGGGTACATGTTGGGGGGTTAATTAACTTCCAATTCCCTCTGTGAGGGAGATATATGGATGCTTTCTGGAATGACCCAATGTCATAATTTGTCAAGGGGTGTGTATTATTTTTCACGCAAACCCATTAAGAACCAGTATTATCCCTTTGACAAGCAAATTTTCTCATTGTCTTGTGTTAAACTGAGTAAAACAACAAAGTAGGACACACTTGGGTGCAGTACCACTAAAAATGTTAATATTTTTACCTGTCGGTCTCATTATGTGGATCATAGTGACCTTGATCTTTAAGCAATCTCAAATGACCTTTGAAATACTTTTCCATTCTTTCATGTAACTCCTTCCACCACCTTTCAATCTTAAAGTAATAAAGCAGCATAAAATTAAACCTTAACAAGACGCTCTACAGAGCCCGGGCACAGGTGTCCCAGGTGAGTAATAAGTTCTTTGTAGGTTTGCATGGCGATTAAACATATAATACTTATTGTTTGTGGAAACACCACGTAAATTTATTACTGCAAAGCTTTCGATCCGTAAGCCCGGATCTTCATCAGTGCTAATGATATGAAAAAAAATTGAATTGAAATTAAATCTTGTCCGTGATTAAGTACATTGGGCCATTCCATTTAATATGTGCACCCCCCCCCTATTGAGGGGTCCTTAAAAGTTTTACCCCCTTAGGAAATTGAACATCAAAGTGCCGACACATTCCCCCCCTTGGAAATTGGCCTATGTTGTTCGAAGATCAAAGGGACCGACTGATTTACCCCCTCGGAAATTACCAATATTAACCCCTCCCTCCCCATAGGATTTCCAGACCCCTCAATGGGGGGGGGGGTGCACATATTAAATGGAATGGCCCATTGGATCTATAATCAATATTAAAGGCTTGCATGATTGCTGCTGAGTATGTGCCAGTTTGAAAAAGTATGTGTAGAAAATGAAATAAAAAATAAATTTTAGCAATTAAATAGAAAATTTACCTGATTAGAGGTGGAAGGGCCATAGACAACAGTTTCATGTGGATCCATATCTCCATGTTTACTTCGTAAGAAAGCATGTGTGGTTGCCATGACACCAGTCTCAGTACCCTTGTCCACTCGCAGCATGGCTGATATTATTCTCGTTTCATAGAGATATTCAAGGTACCACTTCCCAATTAATTTTGGTTCAGAATTGGATATCCAAACTCTTAACCATAACAGCTTTCTACTGGCAGTGTCAATACATCCATAGATAGCCAATGGGAAAGTGGAATTTTGATATCCCATCAGCTTATCATGACCATCAAGTGCATGCACCCAATTCGTTCCCTTTGTCGTGAAATGCCCCTTCTTTCTTTTCTTCTTGCCACCAACGCCACCTCTGATTTCAAGTCCCTCTGGGTCAAGCTCGGTCATCACATCATAGACTTTATCCCTTGTAACATTAAGACCATGTTCTATCCTGATTTTTTTGTGCATGGCCCTGTAACCTAAAAGCATACCCGGGCCGTTCAATTCAGTTTGCACCGCTTCGATTACATCCGAGACTCCAATATTTTGGTCATTATAAAACAACTCGAAATGGCGAAGACGTCTATCGAGCGACCTGAGACTCCACGTATATTGAGGAAAGTCGCGAGTAACAAAGTCTACTACCTCACTTCTTTTTAATCCTTGCTGAACATAATTTGACAAAGCTTCTTTAAGATTTTCATCATCTTTCCAAGGTGCTTCTCTGATATCAGAATTGCCCGCCATTTTGTCACAACAAAGGAATTTTAATGAGTCAGCTCTCGGGTCGCTGTGCATTATGGTAGTGGCAGCCCTCGGCCATGGTGAAATTCACTTTTACTTTGTAATTTTAATTGTAAATCAGTATTTTGTATTTCATTTTAATTTACTTTTATTGAAATTCACTTTTACTTTAATTTTAATTGTAAATTATTTTGCTAAATTCACTTTTACTTTAATTTTAATTGTAAATTATTTTGCATTTCATTTTAATTCATTTTGTATTTCATTTTAATTTATTTTGTATTTCATTTTAATTTATTTTTATTTTTCATTTTAATTAAAAAAATAAAAAGTAAAAAAATCTTTAAAATAATGTAAAATGTACATTATAAAGAATATTTTGGTAGTGGCAGCCCTCGGCCATGGTGAAATTCACTTTTACTTTAATTTTAATTGTAAATTATTTTGCATTTCATTTTAATTTATTTTGTATTTCATTTTAATTTATTTTGTATTTCATTTTAATTTATTTTTATTTTTCATTTTAATTAAAAAAATAAAAAGTAAAAAAATCTTTAAAATAATGTAAAATGTACAAAAAAAACGAGTGGCAACGCTCGGCCACCATATTGTAGATTTCGTTACACAAAAAAATTATATTCTCATGAACATGTCCGCAGAGTGTGCATTTTGCATTATAATTAAACTTAAAAATTCAAGGTACTTTTATATAAATAAGATTCAGACAAAGATTTAATTGGTGAGTTCTGTGCACGGCTTGACTGCCAAGCTTTCTCAAGGTCTCAACTTGCTGGACGAGGATATTAGGGATATACTTTATTAAAACGGGCTAACAACAGCAACAATGAAATTCTCAATCGTACCACGAAGAAGGCGATGTAGCTCAGAAAACAACGCCGGTAGGACCTGATATTAAACTGAAATAAGACTTTTGCCGACGAAGCCAGTTGGCAGAACATCTTGGCTGTCAACAACAAGCTTTCGAATACATGACTAGTTTGGCTGTTCTTTCGGCGTCGTGTGTCCAAAATTCGTCCAAGATTTTGATAAAGCCCTTTCAAAATACTGTTTGTTTGATTTACTTTCTGCCATAAAGCATAAAAGAAAAATAAATTCGAAGAAATCGATAATGGAATTTGTACGTGCGTTTGACCTTTATATTAATTGTCGCCTTGACCGAGCTATTTTTAAAACTGTTGTTTATGTAAACTTGCAACCAATCAAAATCCTTCATGATGCTGATCAACCAATCAGATTTCCCGTCCACCAGGTGGACGGGAATCCCACACTTTAGATAGGTTTTGTGTCGATAGGGCCTGAACTTCAGGTTACCTAGCAAGTAAAACCGCAGCAAGCTAATAGTAAATTGTATGGCGAAACACCGAGTCGATGCAAGAAAACTTCAATAAAACGCTCACATTTCATCGAATCGCCATAAAAATTATAGGGGATGAAAGAACACACATTTCTAAATGATAATAAGGTGTAATGGATGAAATTCCGCGCATTTATACTGGATAAAACGGGCGTGAGTGTCGAACAATAATCGATTCAATTATATGAATTTCAAGCGTTTTCGAATCAAGTAAGTTTTATAACTGTCTTTGACAATTTTATGCATGGGAATGTTCATTTAATGTTTGAACCATTACACTAGATCTAACTGCTTTGTATTTAGTCACGAGAAAAGTCTTTGTAAGTTAATTTCTCTGCAATTTGCAATGACATATTTAATATATTAAATATATCACTGATGGCACTGAAGACAATGCCTGAGTTCTAGAGCTTTATTAAGTAAACTCTATTCTTGTATTTAAAATTGCAGCAGGCAACCAAACGCTATTGTCGATGTTTTTAATATTGTACTTAAATTTATCTATTTGTGTCTTGTATATAGCTGATGGAACCCAATGAGCCAATGACCGGTACAACCTCGTTCCCAGGGTATTTAGGAAATACCCTGGTATGGGCTGGTCACGTGCCTCGTCCAAAATTTAGCGCCCGAGGGGGTGTGGGAAAAGTATCAAATTACATGATTCCCTTGCTAATTTTTGTTTATTTTCTTTGCTTTGAATTTACAAGAACATTCTTACATTTTTACCAACAGTCAAGTCAAGAAACCAAGCAAATCGTTACTCACATTGCTCTCTCGTGTTGTTATTCAATGCCGTCTCTTCACACTCGAGCGCGGTTTTATAACAAACGTTTATTATGAGCTTTTCAGCATCATTTCTACATATGTAATGTTTTTAAAATACGCCATTAGATTTGTCCTTTCTTGTAAATGTTTATATGCTTTGCACCGATTTAATTACTTGTTACTATACGTCTACGCGTCTTGTTTATAAGATTGAAAGAAACAGTATTGTATTGTCTGGGACTAGAGCCCAATATTAGCAAATGTAAACATTTGATACTAGCCAAACAGAGAAAGTCTGTCAGTGATTATAAAATTTTGGATTTAGTACATAGTATTTGGTGATTATAGTCAGGCTTTAGCCTTTTTCTTGGTCTTTATTAATCATAATATTTTCCTAATATACTAAATCTATATATTGTGAATTTACAGTGTCAGACGCGCGCACAGACTGTCATACGAATAAACATAAATTTTCGAGTTTTCTACTTCTACTAACATTTTTAAAGTTTTCATTGTGAATCATCTGTTTATTTCTAGTTCATTAGTCATTAATATGCTCCAAAAAACAAGGCTCTCAAATATATTTGTATATTTAATTGATAGTGTCATAGTGATATATGCATTTACAAGCAATCCTGGATATGATAAAGACGATACAAGCTGTCCATTAAAAAATAACGGGATTAGATTCCACAAAGAAAAATATTTAAATCTCACTTGTATTATTAAGGATATATATCAAGCAAAAAATTTAAACTTGTGTGAGTTGTGTCAAAACGAAAGCTGTTTATAAAATTTATAAATGTTGTAAACACTATTACTATAATATAAAGTGCCCATTGAAAGACATAATATAGTATATTGTCGTTTGACTTATCTTTGATGTATGATTTTAATACTGTAGATTTTCAACAGACAGCTAGACTTTAACATATACCATGATTGTTGAGTTTCAGCAATGCCAAGGGCCAATGCAGGAAGTTTTATAAGCTTTTATAGTCAACAATCTGGATACAGTTGGCGTCTTGGCGATATTTCGGAAATCAAAAGATCTCGCTATTTCGTTGCAATTCCATGCCACATCTCATCAATAAATAAATTCTTTTGGTTCGAGTATCTAGATATACTTTCATAACAATTAAATAAATGAATAACCACATTGTTCGGTCTAGATATATATCTTTTCTTGTACTGCTTTATTATATTGCCACGCCGTCCACGCGTGCTTTCTCAGTGACAAGTCTATAAGTTGAAATCTGATCCAATTTGCTTGAATTGTAACTCGACACTAGATTGTAGAGTAGAAAGTCACATCACGATAAATATTAATTTTTAATTGCAGTTCTTTTCACGAATAATCACGATTTCTTTGAAGATTCAATGGTTATCGTTTATATTCATAGAGCGATCTAATTAATTGTCACAATATATACTCACTCCCCCGACCCTAGTAAACAATACGCCATTTTACGCAAAATCCGCGGGTCACGTGACCAGCCCATACCAGGGTATTTCGCTTCCCAAGAGCAAATACCCTGGGTACGAGGTTGAAAAGTGTCCGCGAAAACATGGCGGATTTTCACGTTTGCTGACGCCATATGGTTCCTCCGGCTCATGGCAATTACCACTGACCAACCGCGATCCTAAGCATCCGACAAAGACCTTCGCTCCCCTGTTTTTGCACAAATATTTTATGTTTTCAAGACAAAATCATGCCGTTTTTTTCCACTTGTGGATGCAAAAATTCGCTGTAAAGACTTTAAAAGGAAGAATATTTCTTCTGAAAGGTAAGATTTGTGAAAATTTTAAGTTTTTACCTTTTATTCGACAAATTTTCGATTGGCAAAGTCAGGGGCCGATATGCGTATAAAATCGAGGTATAAATATGTATTTGTCAAACCCTTATATTTTATATTTACACCAATATTTCTGGAGCAGACATAAAAAACGTTGTACATGGTTATTTATGCATTGTGTACATACATTTTCTTTCTAGTTTCAGGCACTGGCTTTTGTTTTTAGTGCCAGTTTATTAGTTTAAACAGCATGCTGCTCATGCAATCTGTAGTTTGCTTTGTTTCATAAAGAGCAGTTAGCACTAGATTTATATACAGTATAAACAAGCTGTATTGTATCCTTCACAAATATTATAAACTGCTAGTCTTGCTAGGTTTTGTATCAGCATTTACCAATTGGCTGTAATTTAGGCTTTTTTTGTGGGGTTGTGCACTACATTTCAGTTCAGCATCGAGCTATCATCGACTTGTGCATACCCAAATTTGCATGATTTATACTTATATCATTCTTGCATTGGCATTACCTTGAATGCTAGTATGGGTCAACCTGACAACCTCTATGCCCCATAAAAATCTCCAAACAAAAAACCTCCTTCACTCAGAAAATACCTCTGTCATGGGAGTCTTGATTTATGTTTAGCCATATTTATTTAGGTCCCTTAGAGGTTAACCCATTGAGTCACATTGCACCCTACTTTATTATTTTACTCTGTCTGATGCCAGATGATTTTACTCATCAAGTAGAGAGTGCTGGTGCTTAATGGGTTAATAACTAGCCTACGTGTCTAGTTATGAGTCGCATTGCACCCTGATGCGCCCTTTACTCTGTCTAACGCAAGATTAATTTACTCTGTCTAACACCAGATAATTTTACTCATCAATTGGGGAGAGCGATTGCGCTTAATGGGTTAATTCAGATTTATACAAGATTAGTGGTGCACAAGAGCTAACAGTTCCAATCCAGCCACAGCTGTAACTTGCAAAGTAGGGGTGGTGGTCTCAGCTAACTGGCCAGAACCTACAGTATGCACCCATTGCAATTAATTTTGAAATGTATATGAAACAGTTTCACACCATAGAATAAAACAATCATAAACAAAGTAACTTTATTTCTCATTTCTATTACAGGCATCAAAGTGATATGTAATTATACAAGAACTGAAGCAAAAATGTTCTTCCTGTAACAGATGTATTGTATCATGATAGTTAACATTGATGTATATGATCTTATTTGGGTGTAACAATGTGTAGTAATACAGTATCTGTAGTAGTAATCTGTTATCGCTACCAAAAGAAAATTGAAAAGAGATAAACATGCCAAACAGCCAAAGTGATGTCACAGCTCATGGGACTACAAAGTGATAATTATACTAGAATAACTTGATTATACAGTTAGTTCAAACTGATTGGGTCATTCAAAGAAATATCCACACCCCTAATGGAAGAGATGGGAGGTTCAGCTTCCTCCCACTTTTGGACACCCTTAGCTAATACTTTTACTATTATCAGCAGTTGAGTTCTGCCCACTTCAGACAGCACTTCAGACATATCTGTGGAGTTAGTGTTTATCTTTTCTGGAATGACTCATTGGTGATTGGTAGTTAATAATTATTCATTGAAGAATTTAAATTAAAATAATACAATTTCAACTGCATCATTGTGGTGGTAAATAATTCTGCAATAAACAAGAATAGATTATATAGGTTACTCTAAAAGAGAAAAAGCATGAAAAATCATATCAAGGGAAAATGAGGAATACAAAAGAAATATACTAGGTTTTCAGACAATGCTCGAACTTTGTTGGCAAGTTGAGTGACCCCTTGAAAATACATTGTTTTTTCAGAATTATATTTATCAAGAAACTATTAGAAGTTACAGAAACCATAATCCTATGTGTATGTACACCAAAAGCTAAAAAATATGAACAAATATAAAGGCCCCAAGCTCTTCAGCTGAAACGTCGAGGTTTATTTGTCTTAGTCTTAGCTACAGTGGTTGCATCATCCTGCACTAACTAGAACCCCCACCCAAGAACTACAATCATAGTGATTCAAAACTCCTTAAGGTACTCCGACAGCAGAATGAGCTTCCTTGAGTACCTCTAGCTTTTGCATATAAAGTTAGTACAAAATATAAAATACTATAAAGTCTCTTTGTTATTCCCTCAAAATATAGTGGTAAGTACTAGCTGGTAGCACATTATACTGTACTTTCATGTAATCATGTCATTATAAAATCAGTCCCCAGGGTCAAATTAAGATAATTTGATATTTGTAAAATGCACAGTTTCGTGCCACCTACAGAAAATTTTCAAAATAGTATCATGAAATACAAACTGCACAGCAGGCTTATTCAAAACATCATAAAATATGCAACAAATAGAGCATGTAAACAAATAAACAATAGATCAAAATACCATTTTGCACACGATTTAAATGAAACGAAAGTTGATTACTTTGTACAACAAGGCTTTACGAGACCTTTACATACTTGTGGCTAAAATATAATACATTGTACCACAGTTAAACCCAACAATTTTTGTAGAAAATTTGCTCGAGTGTGACTCAGTGTGTGAAGTTATGAACTGAGAAATATTTTACCTGTAGTTGCGACTTCAAATATCGTCTTTGCGGATGTATTTCGAGGTTTTCTGTCTTTTGAGGACGAGAATATAATGTGTACAACTTACACACATTTGAACCAGTGGTCAAAGGTACAAAAAATATGAAAAAAATCAAAACTACGAGAATATACTGCAAATACTTCAACAAGCAAAAATATTTTAATAAGAACCAGGGGGGTGTGAAAGTCGTAGCGGGCTCAAAATTGAGCCTGGTCAGTGGTAATTACCATGAGCCGGAGGAACCATATGGCGTCATTCTGGCGTCAGCAAAGGCCGAAATCCGCCATGTTTTTGCGGACACTTTTTGATGCCGAGCACGTCCTCCAGTAATATAGTATAGCTCAGTGGTTAGGTCTAGCCTCCTCCGCAGGCATCGCCTTTAGATTGGCGGGCAAAATTTGCAATTAAAGTGAACCACGAGATACCTGCGGAAGAGGCTAGGTTAGGTCTAAAATTGTATGTTAGGAAATTTCCATCTACAAAAACCCTTCAACTGTTAGTTCTATCGAGCGAGATGCCAAAAGATCTCGATACTGACTAATATATCTATTTTACAGCTTAAAAGCTGCAAGAAAACACACAACAACAAATATATAGAGTTTATCAATTGTTACCAATACAGAAATTGACAGGATTTTCGTACAATATTTGATTTGCAAATAAAGCTTATTGCAACAACGTATATTAACTCGAACCGATTATATTTTAAAGTTAGATTTTAATCCATCGTGCAAATAAAGCCTAAGGAAATCAACTATTACTATAATGCAAATCGATCATACTATTAAAGTTAGATTTTAATCTGGACATTCATACACATACGACATACAATAATATTAATATATACAATTGTTTCTATAAAACTGAAAAGGTAAGAATAAAATATAAATATTTCTCAACCCCAAACAGTCCCCACAAAAAAACAGACATAAATAGATTTCCTTCCTTGTCGATCACCTAGAAACCGTCTTTTGACCTAAAACCGAAACTTAATTTAGGTCTTGCACTTTTAGTTTTATTGAGTATGACCTCTTGTGCCCGTTTCTCCTGTTTTTTCATTTCCTCCTCGGCGTTACGTTTTTCCTCAATTAACCGTCTCTTCTCCGCGACCATTGTGAGCCGTTCTTCTGCCTGGAAATACCAATAGACATGTGTAAACAAAACGTAGAATCCCCAAGATGTCAGGAAAGGGATGTTCCATTTCTGATCATAATCAATGAAACTCCCTTGTACCCCTGTTGTTCAAAAGCCATCAGCTCAATCTTCGAAAAACTTCAAACAAACTTCCCAACAGATTGTTACACATTTTTCCAGAGATCTTGTGTAGATCAACTTCTATTTTCTATTTAAGTTTTAGAATGAACAGACATGCATTAAGGACCGAATGGACCTTTAACCTTATAACTAAAATTTTGATCTAGCAAAAATTTCATCACAGCTTAAAAGAGCATCACAAAATTAGTAATATTCCAAAGTTTCGTTACGAAATGTTGTAAAATGCGGATAATATAGCCCTGCGAAGTTTGCAATTTTCAGTCATTTTAGATTACAAACGGGAAATTGATACCCAAATCGGGTGTTTGGGTATCAACTTTATAGGGTCTGCCGCTTTAGAATGTTGCCTATACTTACCCCGTTTAAAACGTTCGGTTTATTGCTCATGGTCGGATCCTAATGAACGATTTTGCCGTCTTAATGAAATTTCTTCACGAAAGGTGAAATGTATTTTCACTGGCTGTGTAATGTGATTTAATACATACGAAACTTGCAGTTGTTTGGCATGTGTTGTACTTGAATAGTGATGACGAATTTATTAATCATAAGACAGTTTTAGCCTCATCAAAGAACAATAAACACGAAGTACTTTTAAACAAGGCAACATTGTTTAAGCCGAAGCTAAAGGAGTTTACCTGCAACTCCACCATATAGCTCGCAGTTCTGCAGGCAACGCTAAGGTCGGCCCTTTTTTAAATTTTAGATCAAACCTTTGCACGAGCTCATTAATTTGAGCCAGTGTACGACATAACATCTTCATTCACTTTAAACTGTCGCTTGAACCTTCATTTATAACAAAATTAAGCATCCTGATCAGTTTGGGGATTTAAGGAGTGACCACTGAAGTATAGAAAGCAAAACATATTAGCATGCTGGATTAAAGGAGTCGCAGCTCAGCCACTAAACGGATATAACGCTCCTATACAATATAAATGCATCACCATCCAGCGAGCAGAACGTTTATAGCTATATACTACTGTATATAAATGACAATACACTCAGCATTACACACGTGCAATTAATTATTCATAATTTCAACTTCCAAAGCTGTAATAGTTATCTATATCGCAAAGGATAGTGGGATATTTGGTCATATCATACTAATCATGGAGTGTTCAGAAGTTTTATCCACATTCTTTATTTTTGGCATGATTGAACTCAGTGCCGCAGAGAGGTTGGCGGGGACCCGGGGTACGTTGCACACACTTTCAAGGGACTTTATCTCATTTTTCTATACCTAATTTTGGTACTTAGCCCAATAAAACAGATATGTTGTCCTTTGCGCGGAAATATTTAACACAGAAAAAAGACGGGGGCCCAACAAAAAATTTTCAGGGGCCCCCAGCACCTCGGGGCAATTTGCCCCCCCCCCCCCCTCTCGGCGGCTCTGATTGAACTACTGCTAACGTAAGATATTCAACTGTTTATGCTGAGTGATAAAGCCTACAGTCAGTTCTTCAATTTTACTATTGCAATTTATAATTAGTCTTTATTAGAAGACAATGCATCGAATGCAAGGTCTATTTACTTTACGTTTTAAATTTTAATTGAAGCCTTATATTTTATAACTACATTGTAAAAACCAAACTACAGTATCATCAAAAAAGCTGTGGCTTTACCTTTGAAAAGAAAACACTTTTACATGCACGCATAAACAGTAGTTCGCGGGAAAATCCCCCATAATTATACCAATGTATAATTTCATGACTTACCAGTTTATGTTTTATTTCATCAATTTCAGCATTCTTCGAATCAATTATTTTTTCCAACCGTTCACGTTCTTTCCGTTCTTGCTCCTAAATAATTTTATAGAACAGTTACATCCACAATTACATGAAATATTTTCATCCTTTGTTATTACCTTTGCAGTCATCAAGTATTGCAACTGACCCATACACTCTTCTGCTATGCAACCAGGCCAGATCATATGCTACATATAAGCCCATGTTTTTAGGACTGGTTATTTCAATGCAGGCCTGGTTATTTAGCCAATAAAAACGTTTTTACTCACTATTATCTAGTCTTATACAGACGTTATTCAGAACAACAATACTAGTCAATTAACAGGCCTCCGTTGCGAAATACCAGACAATTACAGTACATCAATGCACTCATATTAAAACAGCCACAGTGATAGCCCATTAATCAATGTCTGACGAGCCCCAGCAGTCCTTTTTCACATTCATCAAATACGCAAAATTTGACGTACAGTAAAAAGACTTGTGCTCACCAAAGAACATCAAACTTGTTGTTCATAAATAATGTCTATACAAATTACACCACGTAATAAAAAATCTATATGTTCAGTATAATAACCTTTAATCAGCAGCTCCCTTTCGTATGGACTGAGAAAATATGGAGAACTTCAGAAAACAATTTTACCACTCAATGCAGGGTATGTAATATTCGAATCAGGTTTAAAACTAATACCTTGGAAAGCTAATAAAGTATTAACTTTCAAACATTGTTGAAATTCTCCTTTCATGCTTTACTACTATAGTACATCCCTTTAACTGACCAACTGCCAATTTTCTACTTTTTCCAATACATACATTAAAGCAGCGCAAATTGAAACTTTCCTAAAACCAGTTGAGAAGTTCCATAATCTGCTAAATTTCTAGAAGGATATGGGAATGAGCAAATGAATTACTTGTAGACAGTTTAAACCGTTTGAATTGAGTAAGCCTGAAAGTTCGTCAGAATATTATTGTCCTTTCAGTTCAGTTCATTTCAGAAGTGGGACTCACCAATCCAAAATGCATTTAAAAATGTCTTCACGACAAAGACTTTGAAGAAGCGTTTCTGCGCACTGCTTACTTCGGAATAAATTTCAAAACAAAGCTATAACAAAAGTTAACTTTCAAAATAAATATTAGGGCCAGATAGTTCAAAGATTATATAATGTATAGATGTTAATGTCAGGAAAGAAAATAAGATATGCCATCATTGCTCTGTAATGGCAATTAACTGCCTTTCTATATGGATTTTTGTGCAAGGAAATTTAATGTTTTGGTGGTCGGCAAGAAAGTATATGTTTCTGATTTGTGAATAAAAAACATTACTGTTCTATAGAATCATACAATTTATAAGTAAGTAAATGATGGTTGTGATAGGTCATACATATATTTCTATTAACTATCGATAGATGAAACACTATGGATGCCATCATTTGCATCTAAGGATGAATATACAATTGCAGATAAAGACATTTTCTATGCTCACACAAAACGTAACATTTGTCTAGAGCATTTAACAGGTTTTAATATGATTAACTGGACAATGATGTTTTAAAATCTTTTACATGAGAATGAATCATTCCACAAAACATGTTAATTGGAAGTTACCTCCCCTCCCCACATCTGATGTCCCAGTACATTTACTAATTACAGAAGTTGTGGATTATTTCCCTCTCCTTTCATAGGCAGAAATTCCTCCATAGTAGAACGACCCAATAAACAATGTTTTATCCATCGCTGTTCATCTTCATATGCAAACAATGGCAATATTGACTATGGATAAGAATCTTCTAAAGCAAATGTCAACAATAATGTAGCAGGCACATTACCTCCTTTTTCTGTTGGAATTCTTGTTCTTCGGATCTCTTTTTCTCAAATTCCTCCAGTATTTGTTTTTCCATTACAGATTTAGCTTCCTCAACTCTCCTAAGTACTTCTTGTTCTATTTCATCTTTACGTTTAGCAAGTTCTTCTTCAACACGTTTAGCAACCATTTCTTCGACTTTCTTAGCTACCTCCTCTTCAACAATCATTTTTTGACGTTCTGCTGCCCTCCTAGAATGTTTCATTGATTCTCTTCAGTAACATACACATTGAAATCCATACCTTACTTACTTAAATTCATGTGGTGCTCATTTTCGCTCGACTTAAGGTCCATACAGACTGGACGCGATTTGGCAACGCGACGCGAATTTTCAATGACATCTAACTTCAATATTTTTCTATGTTTTTCAAATATTCGGAACCACTTAATTAAGCAATTTTAGTCTGCATATCTCGGTTTTATTTGTTTTTAAAAACTAAAAATTCGCGTCGCGTTGTCGAATCGAGTCCGGTCTGTATGGACCTTTATATTGGCACTATTTAATTATGTGTATACTTAATGCAATATTTCACAGTTTTAATTTTAACAGAACAACTGGAAAATGACACTTAGATAATGTTTTTTTCTTGCTAAACTTAAAATTTTCAAAGAAACAGCATGTTAAAATTTAAATTTTGTTGAACTCAAAAAATCTGAACTCAAAAAATTCAAGAGAAAGATTAATAGTTTCTTTATATATGTAGCAGTAACAACAAATATTTTGTAAATATCAGTACTTTTTAATAACTCTCAGCTTTATTAAATAGGCTATTCTTGAGCAAGAACGTTGCTTGTTGCACACTGCCTTGGTTGCCTTTAATTTGTTACAATTTATATTGTTCATGCATGTCATCATTATTTTGTTTCAAGGTTAATTTTTGAACCTTGGGCTCCGAATTTCCATCCTAATTGTAGTCTAGTTAGAATACCACAAAAGATATTGTGTACCCCCTAAAAATGCAGCAAATATTCAGAAATTCTATAGCATATCCTGTGAGCTGATCATACCCAGTATTTATCACTATTATACATGCATTATCATGAATCTATCATACCTAGGGAATTTAAAACCAAATATTATTCTTCATACAATGATAAAATAAAGATATTTTTCTCAATAAAGAAGGCCTGTTCTGCTGTAGCAATAGAGCAAAAGCCTGTAGCAGTATATCAGTGTGTGTTTAAAGGGGCAGTATGATCAAAATTTTTATTCTCTTAAACCAAAGCTTAAACGAAAATGCTCGTAAAACTGTATAATAACTTGTTTTGAAGATTTTTGTTTCCATCAAATTCCATGCTTAGTTCTTGAGATATTTCTTTAGTTTGTAACCATGTGACGTCATCTACTCAATTACATATATCATTATATATGTGTAATTGTTGTGTATCTTTGCTATTTTTTATCAATTTGTTAAAAAACACAGTATGCTTAATGATGCAGGTTAAATTAACAAACACGCCGCATCTTTCAAAATATTTTGATAAAAATAGCAAAGATATACACAACAATTACTGATATCTCATTATATATGTAATTGAGTAGATGACGTCACATGGTTACAGTACAAACAAAATGAAATATCTCAAGAACTAAGCATGGGAACAAAAATCTTCAAAACAAATTATTATACAGTTTTACGAGCACTTTCGTTTAAGAAAATAAAAATCTTGATCATACTGCCCCTTTAATGGTTGACTATTTTATAACTTTAGTACTAGATTTCTTTCAGATACACCTGCCAATACCAGTACATCCAGAAACAATGGAAATCAGCTCAGTGTGTAGAAGTGGCATAACCCCTCTTTGTGTATTTCAGTGAAAAAAGAAAAGTGGATGGGTATTCTATAATTTCGCCCTAGGAAAGTGGACAACACTATGCTAACCAGGGTGCTCTTACAGTGCCATATGCCAAAGATCTTCAGCATGGACTTCAGAAATTCTTAGCATACTGCTGTATAACAAATAGTTTTAGGCATGCAGCTTTTTGGTGTAAACAGTGTTCTTGCCATTTTTAAATTAATCGCTGATTTCAGTCTTAACTTTTACTACTTTTGTCTACTTAAGGGCCTGTTCATATGGGCAAAAGTTATCCCGGTTAGCGAGAAAACTTTTCGACAAGTTTACAAGCGAGATCTCGCCTTGTTACGAAAATAATATGAAAAGTTACACTGTGTTCATATGAGATGAAAAGTCTTCCCGTGTACCGAGATCTCGTTTGTTGACAGGCGAGATCTCGGTGACCGGGATAATGGTTTTCCCATATGAACGCAACTTTCCCGCTTAGCGGGATAACTTTCTGTCATGTCAGCAACTTTTCAATTCAATTGATGTTCAGTGCCACGTCACAGCCGAAAACTTTACCCGGTAAGCGGGATAAAGTTTCTCCATATGAACAGAACAAAAGTATTTGGCTAGTCGAAAAGTTCTCTCGTTAACCGGGATAACTTTTGCCCATATGAACAGGCCCTAAGTCAGACAAAACTTAGGTAAAAATAATGGTAAATTAATAAAGTTATGACAATAATAAGATGTTCTTTCGAAATTCGAAGTGAACACTTTGTGATACTGGAAATATTACAGTGGTAATAGCCTGTACCCAAGTCTGGGTGTGACCTTGTTCACGTACTGGTGTATCTTCAGTATTGTGGGGTTGATCAGCACTTGGTTACAACATAAAACTGGGTTTGACTACCTCGCAAGGCGTAAAAAAATATACCTGTGGTTCCGGTTTCATATCGTGAAAAAAATTAGGGTCAGTTTGAATATTTTTTTCATGGTTTTCGCGGTTTTTTGCTGGGCGATTTGCAGTAGAGTCCCGACATCAATAATGCATATTTCCTATGGATGAATTTAGGCAATTTGGTTCAATAATTAGTGTGACAACAGACGCCATTTTGGCACGCTGTATGAGCAGCCCACAACCACCTGGAGAAAATAGGGTCGCACAGACAATCACGTTGAAAAAATAATAGGGTCGGCAGAAAAAAATAGGGTCGGTCGGGAACTGGAACCACAGGTTGTTTTTTTACGCCCAAGGGTTCGTTGCGGGTGATGTCAATCAACTTGGTATCCCATGTCGTAATCTCTTAATAAAACCCTAACATTCACAATAATCATAACCCCTGCAACAAACGCCTGTGAGTTAGTCAAACCGCATAAAGCCAGCATATTAAAGCAGGGCTCGAAATAACGGCCGATCAACGATCAATGATCGGCAGGAAGTTGTTTTTGATCGGCGAAGAAGCAACGTTGCCGTTCATCTTGATCAGCAAGAAATATATTTGACCATTGTCTGAAAGACATGCTATCTGTACGCGGTAAAAGACAAATAAAAGATATAAATAAAATTAAAATATAAAACGCATTCAAAAACACGCGAAAAGCTTTTGTTTAGTTTATACGAGTCGTACGACAGGAAAGGCCGCAATACTATTCTCGCTCTAAAGTAATTAATTTACTTTTATCAAAACAAATTTACACAAAGTATTATCGTCTTTTCAACAGTCTGCAATCCGAACCGCTGACAACGAATGTATCTTTGTCATAATAATTTCAAATTGATAGGATTTTTTGAGTAGGATTTTTTATTTTTAGTAGAATTTTCTCTTTTAATATTAAATAATAAGTTTTAGTTCTTAATTGATAATGCTGCTGTGTTTCTTACTTTTGTGTGAAAAAAATGCAATAGTATAATTAAAACTTGAAAAGTGTTATAATAAAATAAAGTTTATTACTGTAAGTACTAGTTAAATATAGCTACACTATTAGTAGTGTATATATAAGTTCACAAATGTCATAGATTTAAACTTCAATTTGAAATAAAGTTAAACTTCCTGTTCAAATGTGTATTCAATGCCCACTGGCATATTTAGAATTTTTTGAAGGAAATGAGGGCAAATGCTCCTGATCGGCCAGATTTTTATTTGATCGGCAAAAAGTCCTGATTGCCGATCACCATGATCGGGAACGTTGCGAATGTTATTTCGAGCCCTGTTAAAGTATACAAATAATGAATGTTTACGAGTGCAATGGTCCATCTTTCACCAAATGAAAATATTCTTACCATTGCATGAATAAAAACATTCATTATTTGTTTTAGATAATACCAAAATACACTAATATTAAAAGGTTTAAGTGTAAGCTCCCACCATTTCGACATTTTGCATTAAATCCCATTTACTGAGTTTCGAATATCGGGTTAAAATAAACTGCGATCACCGTACAAGAAGCATTTTGACGAAATGGAATTCTCTATTCAATATCACGTGACCATAAACAGCCAATTAAACGATCAGAATTCAATAAGGTATTATATAATAGTTTATAGCCAACAAAGTTATTTCTATACTGATATATTTCACTTACAATTTTCTCTGTTTTTCCATTTCTTCTTGCCTACTGCTTTCATCTCTCCGTTTATCAGCTTTCTTGGTAACAGTTCTTCCAAACCTATCTACACTAGGAGAGCGAGATCTTGACCGCTTATTACGTTTTCGTCTGTAACTACTTGGTGATGGAGATCGCCTCTTCACTGGGGAACGACTTTTGCTCCGACTTTTACGCCGATAACTTTTATCTTTCTTGCTCTTTCTACGAGGAGATGTGCTCTTACTTCTTGAACGAGATTCCGAATGCTTACTTCGAGGCATAATTATTGTAAAATATTAACGCTATTTGCCTAAAATTGTTGAAAAAATCTTAAAAAGATCACATCCAAATCACTCCAAAGAACTTGGCCACAGACTTGGCTAAGTGCGCAATGCATCATGGTTACTTTTGTTAAAATTATTTACTGGCATAATTAAGATCCAGGACAAAATCTGGATTCTTCGACTGGGGCAGGAATGCAGGATCACTGATGATTGGAATCTGCATGCAGCTCAGGTTAGATCAGGTTAGTATGGCGTTCCGTTACGGACAATATTATGAAAGTTGTAGATATAATATCAAAGCCAATATTAAAATGCCAAAACTCGCAATATAAATGTGAATCGTTCCAAATAATATCAAGTCTTCAAACGTTATACCAAAGACATGCACAATTTATATCAAAACATCTCAAACAAATATATAAACGCACGCATTAAATATTAAAATCCGTAATTTCACTCACACAAAAAATATCAAATTTTTACTCACACAAAAAATATCAAATTTTCACGCACACAAAAAATATCAAATTTTTACGCACACAAAAAATATCAAACTTGTAAATAAAAAGCGGACGCGGACAGCAGAGGGCGGACGACGGAGCATTTTATAAACACATTAGTACCGCAACCAATTATAATACCCTAAATTAAAGTATATTTTTACTCACACAAAAAATATCAAATTTTCACGCACACAAAAAATATCAAATTTTTACGCACACAAAAAATATCAAACTTGTAAATAAAAAGCGGACGCGGACAGCAGAGGGCGGACGACGGAGCATTTTATAAACACATTAGTACCGCAACCAATTATAATACCCTAAATTAAAGTATATCAGCCTTGGATCTGTAAAATGAATATGTTTTCACCCGCTCGAATGTTTAGCATTCAATTCGTATGTATGATAGGCTATTCGCCGTCTTTCTCGGGAAACATTTGGAAATATTGTTAAGCAGGAGTATTAAATGACATTCACTTGCTGATATTCTCATACTTCAAATATTGCTGCGTTGTTATGATATAATGAAAATAATCCCTTTTTACTTATATACCTAAGAGGTTCACACCTAACAATGACTTATATTTACATGCAATCTATATACAGGGCCGCACAGAGGGGGGCGGGGGGGGGGGATTGCTCCGGGCCCCCACCTTAATAGGGCCCCAACTTGAGAGCGAGAACCTAAGATTGAGTAGGTTCTTTAAATTCGTCAGAGCATTTTTAAAATTGAGGGCCCCTTACAGTACCTCCACATGCAGTGCAGCTAACTTAGAAAAAATATCGGACAAGAGCAGATGCACCGAAAAAATATCGAGCAATTGTTCAAAAGCTCTGAACGACAGAAAAAGATCGAGCAGCCTTAGGAAGTTAATTAAAACAATTATCGCACCCAATGAAAATCTACCCCTGCATCAAATGGTCGGCCTTAATAAATAACATTTCTAAAATCCATATATATAGAATAGTCGTCGCATGCAAATATAAGTCATTGTTAGGTGTGAACCTCTTAGGTATATAAGTAAAAAGGGATTATTTTCATTATATCATAACAACGCAGCAATATTTGAAGTATGAGAATATCAGCAAGTGAATGTCATTTAATACTCCTGCTTAACAATATTTCCAAACGTTTCCCGAGAAAGACGGCGAATAGCCTATCATACATACGAATTGAATGCTAAAGCCATTCAAGCGGGTGGAAACATATTCATTTTACAGATCCAAGGCTGATATACTTTAATTTAGGGTATTATAATTGGTTGCGGTACTAATGTGTTTATAAAATGCTCCGTCATCCGCCCTCTGCCGTCCGCGTCCGCTTTTTATTTACAAATTTGATATTTTTTGTGTTGAATGAAATTTGATATTTTTTGTGTGCGTGAAATTTGATATTTTTTGTATGCGTGAAAATTTGATATTTTGGATTACGGATTTTAATATTTAATGCGTGCGTTTATATATTTGTTTGAGATGTTTTGATATAAATTGTGCATGTCTTTGGTATAACGTTTGAAGACTTGATATTATTTGGAATGTGTGAATGAAATTTGATATTTTTTGTGTGCGTGAAATTTGATATTTTTTGTATGCGTGAAAATTTGATATTTTGATTACGGATTTTAATATTTAATGCGTGCGTTTATATATTTGTTTGAGATGTTTTGATATAAATTGTGCATGTCTTTGGTATAACGTTTGAAGACTTGATATTATTTGGAACGATTCACATTTATATTGCGAGTTTTGGCATTTTAATATTGGCTTTGATATTATATCTACAACTTTTATAATATTGTCCGTAATGGAACGCCATAGGTTAGCATGCAACTGGCTAAAGCAACTGGCATGCACAGACGATCTGGCATGCATGTATAAACTGCAGGCAGGCTAGCTAGCAGGTATTTATTGTTGAAAAGAGTTCTAGAACCCAATTTGTAGTAGACGTTGTCGCATCTTGAAATGCAGGTGTTGTATATGAGACGCGATAATCGATGATTTGCCATTATAAACAGTGCTAGGACGACATCTAAAACTCGCAAAGAGGTTTTAATTATTCATTTCTTGCCGACAATATTAGGAATTTCATTGCAAATAGTAGTCGATCGTCGTTGCATTTCCCCGCCCCAACGAAATGTTGCAGTTTGATTTGTTCCTTTTGTAAGGAGTCAGTCGAAAATAATTTAATTCAAGCGCTCCTATCCAGATCACGGTCAAGATGTTGACCATGCTTTCTAATTCGTAGTGTTAAATGAACGAGAAGGGGGAAAAGGTCATCCAGGAATTGATACTTCTACTTCGTCGTAGGAACATTTCGGGGGAGATAAACTGGAAGTGGGTGTTCGAGTAGGAGTTGCTTTGATCACGATTTCAGTTTGTCTACATTATTATTATTATTATTATAAATGTCCAAACTAGCAGTAACAACTGAATTACTTTGGAATTACAAGGTATAAGAACATAGATATTCAAAGTGATTCTATATTTACAAGTAAAAATAGGTAAATTATATAAAAATTACGATAATAAACTAAAGTTTACTTATTATTATAAGCACGAGACGCAGCAGGAATGAAACTGTTCGAAAAACGTTCAGTTCTACACCTACATGTAGGTACTAATAGGTTAGAATAAGACCTTAGATCATAAGTTTGAAGATTTTTAGGCGGTACTAAGGCATTCAGTTTGTGAGTGGGTTCCAACATCTTCGAAAAAAGGCCCTTGCAAACCGGAACTGTTCTACGTTCATAAAGAGTCATTAAGTTTGCTTTAAGCAAACATTCAGCATAGGTAGTTCCAGGAAAAAAAATTTTAATGGCCGTTTCTGTATTTTTTCGACTTGATCACTCCGGTACTGAGGAAGGCCATAATGCCACACCTGACAAGCATATTCCACAATTGGTCGAATATGTGTGCAATAGGTTGAGATCAGGATATGAGAAGGTAAAGCATTCAGTTCTTTTAAGAAGGCGCAGACCATACAAACGCTTCGCGGCTTTCTTGAAAATGTAGTCAATATGGCGGTTTCATTTAAGATCGTCTGAAAGGACAACACCCAATAATTTTGCCTCGGAAACGACGTCGACCTCTTGACCACGGATGGTAATAGGGGCAAACGATGGAATAAGCTTAGAAAAGCAGACACGCAATTCTTTGGTCTTTGATACATTTAACTCCATATTATTGACAGATGACCATTCAGAGCAGCTGATGATGTTAGCAGGTAACTGGGACGGGGAATTGTTTGATATTATTTCCCAAAGGCTAGTATCATCAACAAATTTAGCAGTTTCATCCCGCCACAGCCAAGTCATTGATCATAATCAAAAATAATAGCGGGCCAAGCTTTGTTCCTTGTGGAACGCCGGCGTTTAAAAACTTCCACTCAGAAAAGAACTGACCAACACGGGTTCTTTGTTGTCTGTCTGTTAGAAAGTTTGCGATCCAGTTGAGTAACACGGGATGAATTTCCATGTCTTTCATTTTTTTCAAAAGAATGTTATGATCTAATCGATCAAACGCCTTAGAGAAATCAAGTAAACAAATCCGTATGGTGTTACCTTCTTTGTCAGCTGCTTCATACCATGAATGTAGCATGTAGATTAATGCCATTATAGTGCTTGAACTTTTCAGCGAACCAAACTGCAAGGGATCAATTTTTTTGAGACGGAGTTAAGAAGCCATTTGTAGGGAAAGGATTCAAGAATCTTGCTGATAATTGGTGTGAGGGAGATTGGTCTAAAGTCAGAATCAACATCTTTACGGGGCAAAGATTTTTGAATTGGTGTAATATTTGCTGCCTTCCATATTGAGGAAACAAATCCTTCACGAACTGATGCATTAAAAATGGAACACAAAGGTCGGCACAACACTGAAGCGTTTTCCCGGAAGAGCCAAGAAGGAATTTCATCGGGACCAACAGATGAATGAAGTTTAGATGATAATAGAGCCTTTTCCGTCTCCTCGACAGAGATGCAGAAATCATCTGGAATGTCATTTGTGGGAAGGGGGAGCCAGTTCAGACTGGGTAAGGAGGACCCTACTGCAACGAACTTGTCATTGAGACGACTAAACCAGACGACTCAGAGTTTGATCTGCAACAACTGCCAACAAAATATTACTGTGATTGCCACACAGAATAGTATAGTACGTATTTCTTTACAATTCCCACCATCCATGTTCCCCAAGGCTCCCTCCATCTACTAACATTCCTTTCTGCGTGTTTTATCCTTGCTTCCATTCCGCCGTGCATATGTACAATTTTCCTCCAATTTCTGTTAGTTTGTTCTATGTTCTTTACTGAAGAGAAGCTGATGTACAAGTGCATTTCCAAACAGCTTCGTGTTTTGTGCACGTATCACGAAGAAAAGAAACTTTTGTATTTTCTCTATTAGCAAAGTATTTTTCATAGCAATTTTACGGAAATTAGACTAAGCATTTCCAAGAAGAACTACAACAACAACTTTCACTGATTTCGTACTCCATGATAACACACAACCTCGAACCCTGCAGGGTCTTCAGTATATCTGCGCTTCGGATAACAACTTTCATTGATTACTGCATTTGATCTTTCCTCCTTGGTATATATATGGCACATTTCATCAATGTATATATGCGTTCCGTTGTGCCCCTCCAATTTCTTTCATTGCAAAGGGGAAAGTAGTCCTAACATAAACTAAAACTAATTGACAACTCACAAGTAATGGGACTATAGTCTGTCTTTTATTGCATTGTTATAAATCAATCCTTTTCCACAACCGCGTGATTTTAAGTTTTAATCCACAGTTAGAAATCAGCCACAACAGCAAAATTATATATGCAATGGATGGCAAATACAGCATAATAAACTGTCGAAAACACCTGACAGGTTTTCGCCAGCCACGTCAGTGGCGCTGTGGCGGGGGGGGGGGGAGACATGCCCCCTCCCCCCTATTGTTGACTGCGTCGGAAAATTGGAAATTTGTTATGTCAAGCATATATACTTACATATACGAGCGAGAATTTTACTTCTCTTTGTTGTTTGACAATGCGAAACATGTTTGAATAAAAAAATGTATAGATCAAATATTGCCGGAAATCAGACTCAGTTTACGTTTCCCCAATATAAGTTTATAGAATAGTCAATATTTAATTCAATATGATTCCATAATTCATATATTATTTATGTTGGAAAAAATAGTGTTTGTCGGAAAAATGCTGCCCTTGCCCCCCCCCCCCCTAAAACATGGAACCTACGACGCCCTGAGCCACGATTTTCATCAGTTGTGCTAGCTGAAGATCCGGGGCCGGTTGGGGATTTCCACAAAATCAAATTAATACACCCTTCTGAAACGTGTTGACTATACATCCTTGTTTTCGTAAATGTCAATTTGGATTTATAAGCTTTATCTTGCTACAGGTGATACCGTTTCAGTGCGGGAAAATAAAACAAGATAAAGGGCTTTAAAGCCGATATTGATCATTGGCTATCTATATATAGGCTGGCTAAGTGTTTTATCTTTTAGATCATCAATGGGTATATGCAAATTATTACAAATATTTTTACCTCCTCCCCATTCAATGTTATATGTCTTCCCAATAATCCAGACACAAAAGATACTAACTGCAACCCAACATTGAACAAGGGACGGGGAAGTTTTTCCAAATTATAGGTTGTTAATTGGTAAAATGATTGTGATTTATTACATTTCATATGAGATAAAGTGCCAGTGATAGTGATTATTCAAGTTATAATGGTAATAAATTATTTATGCAAGAGGCGTGACTCGTGAGGACCTGTAACAATTTGCGTAAATAACAAAGACTAATGAAGTTGCAGCCACTGAAGTGAAACATATGCAATCATATGACGATTTCTCTCAACATCTCTTTGAGTAATCTTACAGTTTAGTGCAGATAGTCAATATATCTGATCATGTCGAACACTACTGACGAACAACGTGCCTATCATTTGCGCAAAATGCGCACCCGCTTCAGACGGTTAGATGTAAATAAAGATGGTTTCATATCAAGGGACGATTTCGAGTACATGGCAAACAAATTGCTAGAGTACAGTAAAATGGGCGAGGAACATGCAGAATCGACACGGAAAGCATTTACCTTTGTTGCTGATAATCTTGGCCTGAAATCAGGAGTAAAGACCCCGGTTGAGGAGGCAGCGAAGGAGGCAAGCAGACAAATGATGTCTATGGCACCTGCGAAACAATTGGCTGTCCTACACTCTGGTCATAATGCGCTGTTTGATGCTTTAGACCTTGACAAAGACGGCTACATTTCCCAGGAAGAATTCAAAATATATTTTCAAGTAATTGGTCCTGATATTTCTGAAGCTGAGATGCAACATTCCTTCAATACCATAGATGAAAACAAGAATGGGCAAGTATCTCGTGAAGAGTTCCTCGCAGCTGCATTCGATTTCATGTTTGGAGTGGAAGAAACAGAAATTTCGGAAGTATTCTTTGGACATTTACTGCCGTAGACTCAATATTGAAACTGAGATTTCTATATATATATGGATCATCCTTTGTTTTGCATGTTACACTAGGCTGTATTATTGATTTCCTTTATTGCTACTTTGGACCAATCTTTGAACAAATATTAGTAACTTTGTAGAATTATGTAACTCTGTAGAAATAGTTTTGTAGGAATATCGTGAGGGGCCTACTTGGCTAAGCCTGCCGCACACGAGAAACTTGCTGAGCTAACCGCCTCGCGTGGCGGCTGGCTCAGCTATGCATTTTCACCGCGCACGTTGGGAAAACTACTCAACAACAACATAATTGACAAACTGAATCGTTTGCATTTTCCTCCAATTGTGTTGAAAGTCACATGAAGAAACTATGGTTTCTCATTGGCTAATTGATTAACAGCTCAGCACTAAGCTCACAACATCCGCATACGTTGAGACTATTTCACCTCGCGAGGTGAAAAATATCAAACACCGCGATAGAGATTTTCCTCAAGGCCTCTAGAGGTCAAATCCTCACGGAAACTATCCGCACACGAGAGAAACTTGCTGAGCTAGCTGCCACGCGAGGCGGTTAGCTCAGCAAGTTGCTCTCGTGTGCGGCAGGCTTAATTAAGTGTACAAAATTAACCGTGATCATTTAATCATTGTTCCTATTCCAATTCAACTAATCGAGTTCTATTGCCATTCAATAGACCTTATGCATAATGACGCCACAAGGCTTGATGCCCACGAGGAATGCTGGTCTTAATTAGCAGTCATCGCCCGGGAAATTTTCGATAGTGCCCATTTTTAATTGTTTAATTTTCCATGAGATGACTACCAAGACCAGCATTCCTCCCGGGCATCAAGCCTTGTGACGTCATTATGCATGAGGTATATTCCAATGGACCTTCAAGTTAACATAGAGTAAGGATTATATATAGCTCAGTGGCCAAGGCCAAAACCAATACTCAGCGGAAATGAAATATACATTGTAGTACGTATACTTCATGTTAGCAGCGTACAAGGTCGTTTCCCCAGGTTTCGAAACGAATGCGGTGTAGTAAAGAACAAAAAACGAAGAAAATAACGTTCTGATAACCATGGCAACCACACTAAAATTTCTACTGAATGATTTTCAAACGTGAAATAAACCCTGAAATACAAACCATATTGTTTTCTATGATACATCTTCAAAACGTCTCAAAGAGGGAGGGGAACAAAAGGTGTTTAAGGATGATACAAATTAACTTTCTGTCGGTACTGACACTGGAGTTACCAGGCAATCGGCAGATTCGTGCTTCCACCCCACCTCGATGCACCCCCACCCCCTCCAAAATTAATTGCATGGAGACGGCCCTGTTCGGTCGCATTATCTGACTCACTGGACAAACTGATTGTATTCTTTCAAGAGCATTGCATGCAAAATGTACTTCTTTCTTTTTTGAAAGATTTATCAAGATTCAAGGTCACAAACGTTTAAGCGTAAGGTAATTTCTGGTGTATACAGCTAATTCGAAAAAGGTTGTCCTTTGCAAACCTTAAACTCTAAGCGTGCAAAGCATAATGGGAACATCAATTAATCAGTTTAGAAATCATATATGGGGCCCATTTCTTATAGACATGGTAAATATCTCCTTACGAGAATTGGCTGTATATGAGTATATGATATTTTGAACGAGACTACATGATGTCAATCCGCAAAGTAATTTGCCGCACTTACAAATCGAAAACACGAGTCATAAATTGGAACTTACGAATATTCACGGTTTGTACAAAAAATGTAAAATAATTTAATAATTTTATGCTGTCGCCTCTTGGCTTCTGTACAATCGCGACAGTATTGACTACTGGGCAACCATGCACAACACGAGCATGCTATAGCTATAATTCACAGTCACATGCAATTTGCCGAAAGATTTGTCGTCGTGGTATCACGTCTATGTATTTTTGGTGTTACAACTCTGCATTCTGTGAGATTTATCACATGATATTAACTACAGTAGTTTCTCAATTTGTTTCATTTTAATTTTTTAATTTTATAATATTATATACAAGTTCTTTAGTTATAATCCAGATTTCAATATCAAGAATAGGATAAAGTGTTTAAAGGGTATTGGCAACAAAAAATTTTATTGATTTTATTGCTTCATCTGAAAGAGCATGAAAAAATAAGCCGATTGGCCGTTTACTGTTCTATTCTATCTCATCTGGTTCCGAAGTTATACGCAAAAATGTGCAAAATATAAATTGCTGATTCAGCACATTCTGTGACGTCATAAACTGGGTAAGTATGTTTATTGAATAGTAAACTAAAGCATAGCTGAGTTATTATTGGCTCAAATCAAATGAAATTTTGCATACAGATAGTGCATGATGAGATGCATGGAAAAATACTTCTAATTTCGTTGTCAAGGCAACACAGTCGTTCCCAGGCCTCTTACACTGATTTTGAATAACTAGTTGCATTTATCTATGTGTATGTCATTTTCGAATTATTATCATGCAAGTAAACTTTTGGCATGCATAGGTATCATACACATACTTCTGATATTATTTTATTCTTATCAGTACCTTGAATAAAGCTGTTTCATAAAATTGGCGCAAGGGGCCTGGAAACGACATTGTTACCTTGGCAACAAAATTAGAAGTGTTTTTCCATGCGTCTCATCATGTACAATCAGTATGCAAAATTTCATTTGATTTGGGCCCATAATAACTGAGCTATGCTTCAGTGTAGTATTCAATAAACATACTTACCCAGCTAATGACGTCACACGTTGTGCTGAATCAGCAATTTATATTTTCACATTTTTGCGTATAACTTCGGAACTAGATGAGATAGAATAGAGCATTAAACGGCCAATCGGCTTATTTTTTCATGCTCTTTCAGATGAAGCAATAAGATAGATGAAGCAATTTTTGTTGCCAATACCCTTTAACAAAAGGTAATACAATTTACTGATAGTAAGATAATATACATGCGTACTCAACCCAAACGCCCCCCTCCCCAAACCCCATACATATATTATATGTTTAAATTTGCATAATTCACATCTGTTCAATGGCTTCAAATGTGACTGAGGCTTGTAAACCTACGAATTTGAGATGATCTTGCTAGAGGTGAAATTTAATTCTTGATTTTGTGACTTTGAAACGCTTGGTTCCAGTCTCCTCACTTTAGTTACTAAATACAGAATTGTCAATGTTCCAAACACGATTTTGAAATAAAATAAACGCTCTGCCTACCGAGATATTGCTGGGCGACACTTGTGTTTCTGTATCAACTCAGGACCACACGTCATTATCCTTCCAAGCGCTTAAACACCGACTCAAATATAACAAACACAGTAAATAATTGTTTAATGCTTTTGAATAATCTCGGGAATTTTTTCGAAGAGCAATAAGCAAAAGTACCCATTAATACATCTTTCCCGCTCCAGATTTCGCTTCATTCAACATGAGAGAAAGTGTCGGATCCTGTTTTGCAGCTTCAGAAAATTCATTCAAAGACAAAACACCATCTTGATTCTTGTCAAAATTTCTAAAAATCCTATCTGTTCTTTTATCAGACACGTCATAAGCTTTACTGTTCTGATTCAGTACTTTTTCTACGGAATGTACGATCAATTGCATTTCTTTCCTTGTAATGAAACCATTGCCATCAACATCATAGACTTTGAAAGCCCATTCCAGCTTCTGATCCGCTGATCCGCGTGTTGTCACTGATAGTGAAACCATGAATTCTCTGAAGTCTATGAAAAACCAAGAGGATATAAATATATATATATTTTAGTATCTATAAGCCGAAAAAATAATAATTTGAGAGTCTGATATCTTAATTATACAACTAGTTTGACCGTGCAGCCTATCTGTGACAGGAAATTTCCAAGAACGTTTTTATGCAAAATCAACAAAGTACTGAGGTCGGTTCCGCTTTACGGAGCTGATATCGCGGAATAAAGAAGAACGGTTAAACATTGAAATGGATGCTAAGGGTCGCGCTTGAAAGGACAAGTGAGGAGTGAAGAGATCCGACTGAAGAAGATGTGGAATGGTAGACATTGCAGAGACGGTGAGGGAAGGAAGGCTAAGATGATATAGAACGAATAATAATCAAAAAGAAAGGAAGGACATTGTGAAGCTGCATGGACATGACAGGATACAGAGGACATTGAAGAAGATATCAAGATCTTAGCCTCCTCCGCAGACGACGCTGTGTAGGTTTTCCAAATTTCCAAAATTTGTGTCTGAGAAAATTGTAAATTTTACTGAAATAATAAGGATTCGGACGAGACCCTGCATATGGTATAAACCGGATCAGAGTTGCATTTATGTTCTTCTAAATTAACTATATGCCCATGGCCATGCTGTTGTGAGAATTGGCGTAATATGATTAATTTTGATAATTCATGCAGTTAAACAGCTGTCACTGTCAGTCAAATTGCATGTGTCATATGTAAAGTATAATGTCAATAGTAGGCTATGCCAACTAAAAAACCAGAGAGAGATCGATTCATACTAAAACTAAGAACTATATGTCATGAGTGTCAGGTTCGGCTGAACATTAAGCCTTACAGTATTCCCGACACCGTTGAATCACATTTTGAAATTTCATGTTTTAATGATCAGTCACAGTAAAATTTCGATCGTCATAATTAATAATTTCAAAAATTGGTTTAATATTGTTTTTTCTTGTTCTCGCCAAGAGTATTACAAAGTTCTAATATTCCAAGACATTCAGCAGGCGCTCATTATATTTTCTTGCTGTCGGAACCTTTTCAAACAATGAACCCTACTGAGCACTTGCCATTCTACGATATTTTTTTCTAAATCTGAGGTAAACCAAATTTTAAAATTAGAAATGTATCACTAATTGTACCAGACGTACCGTTTTAATATTGTGTCAGGAAAATTTTACGAAACGACAGCGCACCCAATGTGCTTTCCGTCAATGAGGTGGCTGCAGCGGTCATGGCGGTACTGATTCGTACTTCAACAAAATTAATCTTAATATTTAAGTACAATCTAGTTGACTGTCTTAAGCAAATGCAAACACATGCGTACAGACTAACAATTTGAAACCATTTTATCTTGAATATAATGACTAATGTCGAAATCCTGTCTTAGTTTCTAGCCGTCAATTGTTTTCCTGAGGACGAAGTTGTTTGTTATTTTCATGTGATTTTTGTAAGTCATTGACATTGTATATAAATATTTTTTGTAAACAAATAATTGAAAATCGAACATACATGATCTGTGTTAAACTGTTTGGTTTCAAAATTGCCAAAATATTTTCTCGCAAACACTATCATTTAGACATAGAGTAAGCACAACATATTTTTTGTCTTGAAGCTTGATTTATACGTTAACGCGGTATAAGCGTATCCGTTACTCGTATAAGTACGATCACAGATTAGTCCCTAGTCCTCTGTGCACGCATTTGATTCAGTCCGTGACGTCACCGAGCCGTCACCTCATTAATATGCAGAAACGCGTAATAGGCATACTAAGAGGCCTAGGGACTAGGCTGGTACGATCATGTCAAGGAAAGAGCCTGGGAACGAGGTTGGTGCAGTGAACTCTACTATGGGTTGGTGTTACTGTAAGTGTGCATTCTCGTACCCAGAGGTCAGAGCCCTTCTTACGCGCGGTCAACGGAGCGCGACGAGGGGCTCTGGCCAAATCCATATCAAACTGGCATCTGATTGGCTACAACGAACGTTATTGTTCTAATACCGGATATATTCTATTGCCATGTTTTTATGGTACCGTAAACCTCCGACTATAAGTCCCCCTCCCCCGAATACAAGCCCCCCCCCCGAATATAAGCCCACCACATATAATAACCCTCACCTCATTCCAAATATAAGCCCCCGAATATAATCCCCGAATATAAGCCCCCAAATATAAGTCCCCCGAATATAAGCCCAGTAGCCCACTACGTTATTCAACATTGATATTGTCTTTTAATATAGCGGAGAACGATATTTAAAAACATTGTCATTGTCTTTATTGCCGACTATGGTAATCAAAGCGCATTATTAATACATGTTTATTTTCCTGTTTATGACTGACTTGTTTATGTCTGACTTGTTTATTACTAACACGTCCATGTATTAGCCCCCCGTATATAAGCCCCCCCTTGTATAAGCCCATCAAAAAACGTTTACGAAACAGTATATAGTAAGCCCAGGGCTTATAGTCGGAGGTTTACGATATTCGGTTATGGATTTGGCCAGAGCCCCTCGTCGCACCGCACGTAGGAAGGGCTCTGGGTACGAGAATGTGTAAGTGAAGAGGCCTAGGGACTAGGCTGGGCTTCTCGGCTGCCTGCGAAGCCCTGGGAACGAGGATGGTAAGTGTGTGACATGCTTACATAATCCCCTGTAATTTCTCAGTCAAAATTATTCACTACTGAGAAATTTTTATGTCACCAATTTTAAGTGACTCTATAATCTATATAGTCCAGGAAGATTTAATGGCGGTCATGTCGACGATTGTTGCGACCTTTGCAACCTTTGCGATCACATCGTGAAGGTGACAGAACGGAAATTGTACTGAAATCTCAAACCATAGTGATATGAAAGCTAGGGAATATAACAATTTACAATTCCTACCACAGATATACGCAATACGCTAATGACGTATAATGTGCTGGTTGAATAGATAAGTTGTTTCATCACAATTTATGAGTTCAAACATGCATTGCAGTTGGTAGAACATACATTCGGTTTATACTAATTTCCCGACGAAGCCGAAGGACCTTTCCTCGAAATGTCGAATTTCGCTTTGTATAAATTGTTGCACCCCTATCAATGAAAGCTTGTTATAAATAAAGACAATGTTATAAAAAATCAGACGAAAGGAATATATCATGTAGCATTCCGAACCGAAATATTATCAGGAAATAGTATGAAGCCATCATGAGTTGATGAGAATATCATGAGATACATCTGCATAGAGAACATGTTGTTTTTAAATTTAAAAAGTGGGAAAGGCTTTCAATAAGATTCAATAAATTTTGATATTTGAATATACAGCTATATTGTTTTATTGACATTATTGAGACTTATCACGCATCAGATTTAAAGTGATATATTTACGAAGAGAAAAACGGCTAAGCATGGTGGATCCAGTTTCGGGAAGAACGGAAACAGTCAAACAGCCTGTTTCCTAATCTGAATGATATTTCCCATAATCTCATAAATAAATCTGTTAAATCATAAAATCAGTCGCGTGGCCGGCAGACAAATTAAGTTTGTTTTTCCATCCCACTAACCTTGGAATAACTCCCCCTTACTCTTTTAATACGGCTGGGTTTTTGCAAACTGATCAAACATTCACGATGTTTGCATTTGTCGGTGTATTTTATTCCTTTCTCGATGTTTCAGACGACGAATTAGTCGCTGCTTCTTATTTACACGGAACCATATGCTCTTTGCAGACCGTCAACTGTGCCGCTCTTTCAGCATGCATGATTGGTTGTAAAGTTATTGAAGCCACATAAGGGTCTAAATGGGGCTAACTGACTTTGCCCGCGTAATTTGACTGACAGGCAGATAAGAAAACATCTTAATTAACGGAGAGCTGACAAACGATGAAACACCAATTTCGGACCTGAGGTCGGCTTCCAAAAAATCTTACTGCCAGTTGTCTGCGATATTCAAAGGGGGGCCCCCTTCAAAGACTAATTAACTCAGCTAGATCAGCGTGGAGATGAACACTTGAGATGGTTCAACATATTCCGAGGACATGAAATTCAATGAAATGTTTCAATAAAATTTTTATATTTGTATCATTGTCTTAGCCAGTAAACTTGTGAGGCAAAATGGAATTTCTTTTTATTAATTTATTATTTTATAATTTTAGAATTTAGGAAACCTTGACAGTCGTTAATCTATTCATTCGCAACGTTTTGGATCCGTAACTCGTAAGCCCGATCATGGTTCATGGATCATCATCAGTTCAAATTATGAAGATCCGGACTTACACTACGGATCGAAAGGTTTGCGAAATAAGTAATCGCTGTAATTGCTTCTGTCGCCACGCAAATCTACAAAGAAATTATTGATTTGAGGCTGTGGCCTTATAATATTTTTCGGTCTCACTCCAAAACACTAATCAATTAAATTCGCAGGAAGCAGCTTTCCTTTGGACTCAGCATGCATCAGTTTTGACGCCGTATATGAAATAACTATAGCAAATTATCACATGAAACAATGAAGAAATCGTCGAATTAAACAAAACAAAATTTCGAACTGAGAAAGATTAGAAACTGAGCCTGAGGAATTTTGTGTTCACTCTGTTGTGTTTAGATATATGAATTTATGCTATAATCCTTATAGTTATATTATTTATCCGAATGATATTTTTGTTGCCAGGTTTTCCATTGTTTTAACTTGTACCTCTCGCTTTTTAATGCAGACAATATAAATTATAGTTTAGTCGGTATATGGCTCACAACATTTTTTGTCTTTCAAAAAAGACTTTTAATACTGAAATTAAATATACTTTGCTTTCTTCTCATTAGTGTTAAGGTTGCTAGGCCAACCAATTCAATTCATAAGAATCGCACAACACTATATGTATATGCCATGCACTATATAAATTTGGAGGATTTGAGAATAGGAAACCAGTAACTTGTGAAATCAGACTATAAATCTAATAACACACTAAACAGTAAAAGTGAAGCAAACCGAGCGTCAAAAAACTCTTGACAGACTTGCAACAAAGGCAAAGCTGATTTCAATTTATGTTAATCAGACATGTCTTTGATATGGACGTTTCTACTCGTAAAATAAATTGAATCAGCTTTTGCTGCCAGTGCAGTATTTTGGTGTTTCTGCACTCAGATCTAAAGTAGTAGTTTCTATAAGCTTACCGATTTTGCCGTCCGAATTCCCATCAAATGTACGGAATATATGATCAGCAAATTCCCTCGCATCGCCTTTCGGGAAGAAACTCTGATACATGTTTTCAAATTGCGGCTTGGAAATAAATCCGTCAGGATATTCTTTTATAAATTTTTGATACCATTTCTCCAGTTCCTGTTCTTCAAATTTCGTGCGATTTAGGAGATGTATGAGTTGATGGGGATCCATTTTACTTTGTTTCTTGCCCATCTCGCCAGCGTATGGTGAATCACGCTAAATTATATAAAATTGCGATGTCTAATCAGGACACGTAACCACAAACCTTTTTTTTCGCCGTCGTTTCAAACGATTCCAGACGCACCCACGTTTTTTTAAGGCGACAAAAGCGACGTTTTTGCGGACAGTGTTAGATGTCGTCCCGCACACTATTATCGCCCAGAATGGCCGTGTATAAACACACTGATATTTGCATATATAAGCTGCAGCAGAGTAGCGCGTGAATAATATTGAGTGGTCGCCACCTAAAGTTAATATAAATAGATTGTACTGTGACTGTCTGACGATATAATAACTAGCGGCGTTTATTCCAAATTAAATGCTTTCTAAGTTGCCTTCTGAGGTTGAACCGCATTGATTCATTACATAATGCTACACGCGTCTTGAGATTTTTGAACAACTTTTGCTGCACATAATTGCTGTTTATCTTTTTCATGCAGTTTATCTAATGAATATGGTCTCGATTTATGCGCGGTTGCCGTGCAACATTCTGTAAAACGATCATGCTTAGCCAATGTATCAGATCTCGCTGTCAAATACGAATCAGCTTTTCATTTTAATCTTGATTACGGTGTCATGTATTGAACTGCTATGTGTTTCGATCTCATTTCAATAATAATTTGTCAGCTGTTGCCGAGTCAACAAATGAAAGAATAATCAGTTCTTTCAACAAAACATGCTGGGGAGCGTTGCGAATTAGAAATGAAATTAAACATTGAAAATAACACAACTGTGGTGTGATATACTACTTCACACCCGCAAGGAAACATCGTGCTAATTAATTAAAGCGCTGGGTTGGTTTTACACTTGAATTATACTTCAGTAGTTTCAATATCGCAATAATCTCAAGCACGAAGTAATATGAAATATAATATATAAGATACTATAGTCCTATGATACCAAAGATGCCATATAGTCCACACGAGCATTCGAGCAACCTCGTATAAACGTCAGAATACCAGAAGCCACCGGAGCTTCCTGAACCAAAACGTTTACCTGCATGCCTCAGGCTCATATCATAGCCAGTAGATTTTTATGCAGTAGCCTTTGTTTATGTTTCGCAATTTACAATTGTGACTGAAAATGTTAACTATACGCAATTGATGAGCAAAACGAAACTCAATTTCAAATTGAAATTAGGAAAACATAAAACTAACAGATGTAACAAAATCCCCCAAATAAAAAACCCAGATGGACAGATTAAATGGTCGCATCGTGAAAATCTCAAACGGTTGGTGCCAGTGTAGGTACAGCGACGATAATGTGACAACCCATTGATAATTTGAAAACAGAACATTTTGTCAAGCGGACCCTGAAGAGAAAAAATCATCAGATGCCAAGCATAATGACACGTCTTGAATATCGACCATATCCAATAGTTATAAATCGTTTTACCCAGTGCTGTAACCGATACAAGTTATAATGTAAATTATGTAATAAAAGTAACTGCATGGTTACAGTTATACATCTAATTACAGAGTTACACCTCTGTCACATTCTTTCATCTCTGTCCCAAGAATTTTCAAAACTTTGATCGATTTTGCAGTCTGAACATTAAAAATCCTGCGAAACAGACTAGTTTTCTACAGTATATACATGTTGCACTTGTAGGCACCAGTGCCTGCTGTCAGTCAGATCAGTGAAAATCTAGCATATAGTTTCCGACATCTAGCACTGCAGCGCGACAAAGGAAAAATATTCCAGCGACGGTGTGCAAAATTGAACGAGAACTCCGCGTCGTCGAAACTTAGGATAAAATGGCGGATAATACATTGGATATCGCCAAAAGTAACGACTCTCTCGAGGTTACAGAAACAAGTTATCTTCCTAAGAAAGTAACTAGTTACCGTTACAGTTACTCCAAAAAGTAACGATTACATGTATAGTTATACTTGTAACGAAGTTACTCAAGCACTGGTTTTATACGAAAACAAATTAAAGAAGATATTCTTATTATTACTGCCAAATTTTACTAGTAAAGATTTATTTTTTAGAAGACATTTTTAGTAAAATATCCACCGAGCAGCTGACATGAACAAATTAAAAACGTCAATGAATAATTAGAAAAGTAGAAGCAGCTGAAGACGGAAAACAGTAGTAAAATATTACGAATAAGTCGGAACAATATTTTTTATCCTATAGTTACAAGATTAAGCAAGATGTTAATTTTGTACCAAATATTTCAGAATGGAATGGACATATATTGTAACAGGAATCTACATTATATATTATTAGATTTAGAGAGATGCTCTTGTCATGCATAATTTACTATGAAATCAGTCGAACCGCGGTGGTATAACATGAAGTTCAATGAGATTAATAGAAAAGCAAACATTGGGAAGATCGTCACTTAGTCTTCCGACGTGTCTCGTGTCAATAGAATGTTCTAGACTGCATATGTGACAAATATATCTCAAACATTGAATACGACTACACCGTGCATTTTGATTTTCTTTACATGCATTTTGGACTTCTAAATTGATTCCTCTTTGACTTTGCCCTTGGAATTTGAAACTTTTATGAATGACTGAAATGAATGAATATATTTAAATTAGCAGCAAGAAAAATTATATGTAAAGCTTGCAAACAAATTGACTATATGATACAGTTCTCACTGACATTAACGCACTAATCCATTGGCATTGAGTTAAGAGATTGATATACGCATTTCAAAATTGCATGATGAACACAACACCTCGCCGTATTTGCAATAAAGCTATTATATCCATTCTTAAATAATTAAGAAATGAAAAAACCGCAAATAAAACATTCACCACAGCTGACAAAATGCTTCTGATACAACATTTCATCAAATATACTGTACTGATTGTCTAAAACCGCGATATTGCATTATCAGTATATGTAAATGTTTAGCCTGTGGTCTTATTCATGCGGTGTACGTCCATTTACTGATTATACTGTATTATACTGTACTATTGGTCTAACAGGATAAAGGGTCTTTTTATGGCACTCAAAAATCAGTATACCTCTTCAAGACATGAAGCAATCGGAATTGAATTAATAAAGTAATTAAAACTAAGGACCGTTAATCATGTTTATGCCTCGGGTTCACACCGATGCGAAATGGGGTGGGTAGTGGGTTGGTAAAAATGGGGCAATTTGCTAGGCTTACCCGCCGTATACAGTGTATATTTTCATCATATGAATGCTAATCGATTAAGAGAAATAATTAGCATAGCATTATCGAGTTTTTTTTTAACGACGAGGCAAGCGACTTCCGCGTTTCTTTTGCCACTATATATTTGTCATTTGTATAGTAAATATAGTTGTATAACTTTTCACTCTTATTACATGCGATTTAATGCGTTAGTTTTGGCATCACGCCTGAATGTCTTGTTAATTTAATCAATGTGATTTTTTCTCACATGTATATACTATATTAATTTTGAATAATAATATATATATTATCTGGAGCCCCCCCCCCCCGACTTTTGTTCAGGACAACACCGTAAGTCTTTCAAAACTGAGGAGAAACGGGGGGGGGGGTGTAACCTCTTAATGTTTTCATCTATGACATAAAATATACCAAATTTGTGGCTTGTGTGGGGGGGGGGGGTACGCCCCCGGACGGCTGGACGATCAGATATCCACTCGTTTGAGGCTGGCTACGTCCTCCTCGTCCCTTAGACACTCTAGGCCTCTGGACTCGGACGGATTGGTCGTACTACAGTTACAATCGTGCAGGCTACAGCCTGGAGTGAGGCATTTTCGACGTATCTATAAAGAATAAAATCCAGGAAATACTCGTGAATAGTTCTATATTTTAAGTTTTCGAGGGTTTTAAGATTGACTTTGTATTTCCTCATGTCCGCGATATAGGAGTCGTGCCTTCTATTCATCTATCAATAAACCCATGATAATGTCGGGCAATTTTTTGTCCCTAGCTCGTACGTCTATGGGTTGTAACTCCCTTTTTCACCCAAAATGGTCGTGGAAAGCAAAAAAATGAGCAGTTAGACTCTTCAACTATTATTGAATCGAGTGAGATGCCAACAAAAATCTCGATATTTACCCATAACCTAAAACATGCTGCACCGGAATCGCAGAGCCGCAAGCTCGTTTCCTGCCAGGGACCAACCTCGTACCCAGGATCTTTCTTTTGGACTAGCCTGCGTAGCAGGCCCTCCCTCGACCTGTAGTTGCATTTTCACAGCTTTCCTGGTTAGGTCTAATAAATGTATATAAATTTCCATTCAATGAATTCCATCTACAAGACCCTTCAACTATGACATTGAGACATTCTATAACATCATTAAATTAATTTAACATGAATAACATATGTTTACCGCTCGTCCTTCAGCGCCATTCGTTCGTCCTTCCGCCCTTCCGTATCCGCGTGTTAACTAAAGTGGAAACACGGTCAAGAAAAATGCAAACAACAAACATCGGCAAACAGGAGTTCAAATATGGCGTCCAACCTGTTGGCAGTTTTTGACTTTGACCACACTCTTGTGGATGGTAACACAGACACTTGGATTACAAAACTGTATGAAGACGCAAGACATCTACAAAATAATCAAGACTTGTGTTGGACTGACATAATGGCTGAAGTATTTCGTACACTACATGAGAAAAAGTTCACAAAACTGGACTTTGAACATTGCCTTCAAAGTTTACCATTCACTGAAGGAATGAAAGAGTTGCTTAGTTTTATTTCGACCCAAAACATTCAATGTGCAATTATATCAGATTCGAATTCTTATTTCATTAAATACCTATTGGAGTTTGGTAATGTTATGCATTGTGTGAAAGAGATATATTCCAACCCAGCAAACTGGACTGATTCCCAACTTTTAACCATAAAGCATTACCACACTCATAACTGTGGTCAATGCCCTATTAATATGTGTAAAGGAGATATATTAAAGTCGTATATCAGGAATACTGATTCAGCAGAGAAAACCATCCTGTACATAGGTGATGGTCGAAATGATTATTGTGCAACTCTACAAATGAAACCAAGTGATTATGTATTTGCAAGAGAAGGCTATCGCTTATTGAAATTGCTCAAGCAGAGTGTACAAATACTACAAAAAACTCAACCGATTGTTATACCATGGACAACTGGCTTTGATATTTTATCAGAGGTGAAGAGTATTGTCGAGGAACAGGAGTGAAATGTCAAACAATTGAATAACTATACAATATTTGTTTCTGAAAAGGATGACTAATATAAACCATTTTAATTAATCCATATTTGAATCATTCATGTATAATTACAAAAATTAGTTTTCACATATTGTTAAAATTTCATCACCTTTATACAAGTTATTCTGTTTCAAATGGTTACATTAACTCAACAGTACCATTCTTGTTCTTGTACAGTCAACTATAAACACTCAACATGTACATTTACACTTGCGTTACTTTGTACATTTAGTACCATTGTTTGTGAGAATATTACATGCTTTTATGTTGCACCTCCTATCATATTACTGGCTGGTGTAAGTTGCACTCAAAGCGGCTTGAGTTAAATTCCACACTGGTCAAATCTAAGTTAGCCAGGGACAACTAAACTATTTTTATGTGATGTAAAACAAAGATGCAAATAAATTTATATTTTGAAACAAATTGTATTAGTTAAAGAATAAAGTTGAGTGCTAGTGCTCTCCCCTTGACAAGTGAAATTGTCTGGCATATAAGACACAGTAAAATAATAAAGTAGCGCTCATTGCCATTTGGGCAAATGCAGCTTAAGGGGTAATATGAAATGAAATTGTTAACTTTTTATGGAAGGTTTGATATCAAATCATTAAAATTATAACTAGGGTACCTGCAAGGTAGGGATTGCTGCGGGCATTAAAAGCAAATAGAACTACAGTAAATAGCACAAATTATATATCAAGCACAGTTATTACTCGCAGCGACTAGTGAGCTGTGAACTTAAGGCCAATAAGCCAGTAAGGAATCGATTCTTACCATGAGATATTAAACATGCGCGTCTCATTGACATACAGGTACTAAATTAATTATATAACACAAGTTTTTGCTATCAGATTTCATATCAAGTTTACTGCTAGGCGCATTTACCACATTATATAGACTATATACACAGATTTATGTTAACTATCAGTGGCCAAACTCCATTGAATGAACAACGCACGAATCAATGCAAAAATAACGAAAATTAGAACACTGAATCGTTTTGAAAACTTGTGCTAAGCCGGACTGCCGAAGCCAAGGCCTTTCCATAGTGAGTTTTAATTACGCATGTGTAGTGCGGTAATGAGTGCGGTGAGACGGATTTATGAAAACTGCGCATACAAATGCGCACAACCACAATTCCATGCGACGCTAAAAATCTGCTTTTTTACTGCCTACTACACAAATTAGGCTGCTGCTTCGCTCGCTCGCTTCAGGCTCGTTCGCTCCGCAGCAATTATTAAAGGTTCATTATGAAATTGTTCATTGAGGGTATACACAGGAAACGGCTGCTATGATAAAACTTCAGAACAACATATACATAGCCACTGCCAGGATTGCAGTTTTTCAGTGATGCGTTTTGTAACCAAGTATCGCCCTATGTAAAGGAATCCAAGATGGTGTCGGATTCTGGATCCTGGCTCGTGGATTCCGGATCCTGATCCGTGGATTCCGGATCCTGATCCACGGATTCCGGATTCCTTCTTAATAATAGTAAGTGGATTCTTTGACTAATATTTACTTTTTATAAAGATTTCAATAACTAACCTGTATAACATCGTCAAGATAAGGCTTTGTTATATTTTGTAAGATTAGAGGATCAAAAACTGCTGTAAACATGCATGCAATATAGTCTTATACATGTACATCAGTAACCTTTAAACACTTTTAAAAAACAAAACATGATATTAAAGCTTATTGCATCAACATAATAACAAGAAACACTAAAGGTCAATATTACGAAGCATTATTTCATTTAAGACATAAAGCTCATAATTATTATTATTATTATTATTATTTGGTAAGTTCTGTTACCTAACGCAGTATAAAACGAGTAGTATTTCTTCCTAACGAGCTCACTCCTTTAAGTCTTAATTAATGGTCTTGTTTCTTTTGATTCAGCAGATACTCTTTCCTGCTCCTCCTCTTCTTCATCTTTACTTTCATCATCCCAAGCCTACTCAACCATCCCAAGCCTACTTAACAAGCCTACTCAACCAGATGTCTTCGTTGGGAGACAAAATAACATTTCAACTGTCTTCAAGTAAGAAATATCCACCTTTGCTAAGATGCAGTTCGGCTTGTTTTCCATTGAGATATGTCACCGCAAGTGTAAATCATTGGATCTGTTGTTTGATTAAACCACTGAAATTTTACAGCGTTGCTCATGTATTTTCTAGTAGCCAATTTGACATAAATATTTTGCATCAGTACGGTAAGTCAATAGGGGGACAATTCTCTCCTACGATTATGTGTACGATTATGTCCTACGATTATATCATCTTTTAAGTAGACCACACGCACTCTTATGTTGTCTGTGCTTTGTCCTCCATATGCACCATCGGCAACAAGACACGCAGTTGTTACATCGGGTATATCTGATGGATTTGAGATAACTTGCGGACGCATACTCAAGGTGCACGGCAAGGTACCTGTCTGTTAATTCCTTAGTCTTTATAAGCAAACATTTGTTCGTCGAACTCTTCTTCCATGTTCTTGGATAAAATTTGTCATCACTCTGTTTCTTTTCGTTTGTCTTCTTTGGCATCCCCACCTCCTTTTTGTGTGGAAGATTGTCTGTTGGCCCTGCCAGACAAATTTATAATCATTTATAATCTTCTCGGGATAAAACGAATATGGGCCGGCGAAGTGTCTTAAGTGTCTCTGGCAAATCCAAAGAATGCTATCTTCAACCAAGGGTGGGTTGACTACAAAATTTTTGTAGTTCGCTATAATTACAGCTACTTCAAAAATATGTAGTCAGCTCCAACTACAGTACCGCTACTTTTGAACAAAGGTAGTTCGCTACCGACTACAGCTACTGCTTAAAAAATGTAGCGAACTATTTCGCTATTTCGCTACACCATATTTTTTAGTTTTACTGTATTTAGAGCATCTACTAACTCAGGCTGAAATGTAACTTTTAACAAATCGACTTACGAGTAGCAACAATAAACACAAAACAACATTTTTTTCTAAGCAATACAGTGTTCAGGAGTGCAAATTGACTATTGAGTATTCATTTTAAGCAAACCATGTCTCAATATCATGCTATTCTATCAAGTTGCTAACAATTTTGAAAAGTAGCGAATAGCGATTCGCTGTTTGAAAAGTAGTCAACTACTTGGCTACTTTTAGGCAAAATGTAGTTCGCTATAACTACAGCTACTATTTTAAAAAAGTAGTAAAAAATTACTGGCTACTTGAAAATTGTAGTTCGCTACAGTAGCGAACTACAACTACTTCGCTACTACCCACCCTTGTCTTCAACACACCGATTGCTCGCTTGTATGCGTATTCTGCAACGCATACCTTTAAAGAAAGGCTCTACGCTTAATGTTGTCAGGCTTGTGAAGCGAATCTTGAATTGTTGGCCCATTCCTCATGGTTAATCTCCATCAGCGTGTTTAGTAGACTGGTGAGGGAGTCTAATATACCATTTCAAAAGATTGCCTCGTTCGCGGTATAACCATGCCTGGACCGTTTGTATTTATCCCCCGGTTCTAACTGTAGCTTCGTTCTCTAGATTAGCAAAAAAGGCAGCAACTTCCTGTACAATTCTCAGGTAGTCGTTGTATGTTATAGGTAACTTCTACTGTTCTGCTTTTCTAACAAGCCTAAACAGATTTGCGTATTTAGCCATTTCTTGTTGGATTGGTATCAGTCCTACTGCTGAAATGACATTGATCCTTCGAGATCCTTATCCATAACAAGTACTTTTGAAACGCCTGGGTACTGAGTACACTCCTTTTGCAGGCTTTTTAATAATTCTAGAATTCTACATGTTTCATTGTTCATCACTTTTCTCTCTCCTTGGTTCTTGTGCTTTTTTCCAATTTCCTAACTTTTTCCTTGAATAATATTTTATAAATATGTTTCAGTTTGCCTCAATATCTTGGCAAAAACTGTAGAAAACGATCAGTGTTTCACACGTACCAGTAATTCGACTAAAGACTTAACTATTTCGGCGAGGTAGTCAACAAATTTGCGCCCTTCTTCGCGCTCAAGTGCATAATTCAGAGTTAGTTTGTTTGTTCTCATTAACACTTTATGTAAATTTTATAAGGCGGGGATACTTGTATTGCATGAATTTAATGAGATCACGTACGTTAAGGTTTGATGTTTCACGCTACAAAACCATTATATTTTATAAAGTATGAAAGCTGGATTCCGTATTCCATGATTAAAATTATGGATTCCGGATCCGAGTCAATGGATTCCGGATTCCACGTCATGGATTCCGGATTCTAAAGTGCAAATTTTTGTTGGATTCCAGAATCCGGATTCCTTTACATAGGGAGAAATAAACCGAAAAACATTTACCGATTTACGATTTGTTTTACGTTATCCATGTAAATGCCGTGATTTCGTAAATCAGTTTATACCAATGGTTTTAGTACTGACAATATTACCATTTTATAATATTTTCTCTGTTTAAACAACTAAAATTGTTATACTATTATTGCCGTAATTTTCTGAATGGCCAACCCGATTTTCCGAATATGTTATCTTGTTAAAGATAAAAATCCCCAATACCCCCCTCGCTACGGCCCTGGTTATAATTAACATAATAATTTTTAATGACTTTAGCATGGACATATTCACGTTCACTGATTGGGACAATCCTCATGTTCAGTTGAATAAAAGTTTTTTAACTAACTAGACATAGCATTATATAGACCATGCATAATTGGACCAACTGCACGACCCATAACAAAATTCGCATGCATGTATAATGAAAGCAGTCCTCCAGATGCTGTGTATCAGGGATGGATCTATAGTCAGGGTGCCAGGGCCGTTCCTAGACGCGATAATTTTTTTTTTGGGGGGAGGGTGTGTAACGGATATCTGATAATGGATATAATAATGTGTAAATAAGTCAAGATTAGTAAGTCATAATTAGCCGCGGATGCTCCACTAGCAAGCTGCATCCGTGATATAGTAAAAATAGCTCTCTAAATAATTAAAGGAAGGTAACACCCTAGAGATAGAGAATATAAATATGGAATCGGAAAATGAATAAAGTTAAGTTGGATCTAGACCACGTTGTGTGTTGTGTTAGCTCGGCTCGTTACAGGTGTATATCATATATTCGTGTTCACATACCGTAAAAACACGAGTATACGAATATACCCCCCCCCCCTCGCCAATTATCGCGCTAGGAACGGCCCTGCAGGGTGCTGATCGGGCTTTAGCACTAATAAGATGCCTTTGGCACTGGTAAAACAAGATACGTTTTAAAAATGTCTTACGGATATTCTTTCCATGATTGTGGATAGAGCAACCTTTTAAATTAAGAGAATTAATTTTGAAGGCAAAATATTTATAAGAGATTTAATCTCACGTGTTTGAATTATACTATCAAGCAAATATATAGCTTCCTACACCTTTTCTAATGAGACTTA